GTGGGAGGTCTTGTTCTCTGCGGGAAAGTGCATCAGGGCGTCCTGCAAGTTCCCCCGGCCGGTAGTCCAGTGTAAAGTTATACCTGCTTAACAACGCAGCCCATCGCATTTGTCGTTCATTTAACCGTCGTAGTGTTGTGAAGTATTTTAGGTTTTTATGGTCTGTTAGTATACGAAAACCTTCGATACTGCATAATTCTGCTTCCCATTCCCTTAAAGCGTTGATAATAGCCAGTAATTCCTTGTCATGAATCTCATAATTGCATTCCGCCGGACTGTTTTTCTTAGAGAAATAGGCGCAAGGCCTTAATAGTCCGTTATCGTCGTACTGTGATAATGTTCCCCTGTAGCCCACATTGAGGAATCTGCTTCAACAACAGTCTCCCTCTCGGGGCTAAACTGTATAAGAATCGGGGCAGTGGTAAACATTGTCTTCAGTTGCTGGAAGGCCTTCTCGCATGATTCGGTCCATTTGAACTCGTGTCCTTTCGCGTTAACTGATTTAACGGCGCAGCGATATCCGCATAATTCCTTATAAAGCGGCGATAAAAGTTTGCGAATCCTAAAAATGATCGTACACCCTTAACAGTCGTGGGGACAGCCCATTCCAGTATTGCTTTAACCTTTGCAGGGTCCATGCGTACGCCTTTACCCGCTTCAATAATAAATCCCAAATACTTGGTGCTTTTGACTTCAAACTCGCACTTGTCAATATCCAATTGTAATCCGGCCCTTTGTAGTCGTTCCAATACCTTGTTAACATGGCTTCGGTGCTCAGCAAGTGACCCTGATGAGAAAATTAATATATCGTCTAAGTATGCCGAAGCGAACTCGTCTAGAAAGTCACGCAGGATCCATTAATATACCGCTGAAATGTGCTTGGAGCGTTCGCCAAGCCGAAAGGTGTTACTAGCCATTCGTAAAGGCCAAATCTAGTCCGGAAGGCTGTCATCCATTCGTCTCCTGGCGAGATCCGGATTTTATGAAATGCAGCAATAACATCAAGCTTGGTAAACCAGCATGCCTTCCCAATCCTTTCCAGTGTCTCATTAATTAAAGGAAGTGGATATCGGTCCTTTTTGTGATTGCATTTAAGCCTCGATAATCACAACAAAAACGTAGTCCTCCTCCTGGTTTCTTTACTAAGAGAACCGGGGCTGCAGCGGGCGAATTGCTGACTCGTATAAACTGTTTGTCCAATAATTCTAAAAGGGTCTTCCTGAGGACTAGTAATTCATCGCGAGACATGTTGTACAGCGGTCCATGTGGGGGTTCACGAGTATTTCCGTTTTCGTCTTTTTCCAGCTCAATTTTATGGTCGACTCCAGCTCCACGGAGCGGTGGGAGTTTGTCGGCTTCTTCGCGGCTGAATACCGGGAGAAATTGGTGGTAATGAGCTGGTAGTTTGTCTTTAGGGTCCGTGTATTTCTTTACTGTAAGTGCTTTCTCAATATCTTTTAGGCTTGCGGCAAAACTCGTATCTCCTTGTTCTTTCTTCTTTTCCTAGCCCACATATTAAAGGAGTTGGCGTTAATGGGAGCAATTTTAGGGATTCCGGTCTGGTGGTATTCGCTGCTGACTTCAGTTCCAGTGTCTTGGAAGATTAACTTTAATCTATCAGTGGATATATTGGCTCTTTGAGAGATTAGCCATGGGAGTCCTAGTATAATATCGTGGCCTATATCAGTCGGGGCCACGTAGAGGAATATCCTTCGTTGGTAGTGACCTCCAATATCTAATGACATGTAGGCTACCTCGGTGACATACTCTCTAGCACCCCCAATTCCTTTAATAAACCGTGGCGGGATGGTAATGCGCTGGAGACAGCTTTTTGGGCAAACTTGGAAGAGATCATCCCATAAGGGTCACAGCCTGTATCAACTAAAAGCATTTGCATTGTATTCCTTGTTAACCAGGGCTGTAATTATAAAGGGTGGACCTTCCATATTTTCCTTAAAGTTTTCCCATTCTTCTTTCGCCTCTATCCGCTCCTGTTCGCGACTTAAAACAGGAGCTACACTTTTCCCGCTTTGTCTTTGTCTTCCAGGTTGTCCTCGTCCTCCAGCACCGCACCGGTGATATTAGCGACTATGGGGATCCTAGGCGGAGGTGGTTGGGGCCTCCTGGGAGGTTGGAAGGGACAGTCTTTAACTATATGGCCTGGGGCTCCGCAACGTACGCACAGCCTTTCACTCCATCGTCGGTTAATCTCCTCCTGAGTTACCCATTTGGCACGTCGGGAGCTGGCAGTTTTCACTGCTGGTTCCCAGTCCATAGTATCACTAGAAGGGATAACAGCTTCACCGGAGTTTTTGTAATATGGTGGTGCCCATGGTCCCTTCTCTTTCCGCTTAAAATTCTCAAGGCGATGAGAGATCTCCTGCACTTGTTGGCAAAATCCATCATAAGTCTCTTTTTCCTCGATATTTATTAATCGGTTCTCAATCGTTCGGTTTAACGCGCTCTTCAAATACCCCTTTTTAACTCTATCTTCCCAACCGCTGCCACCCGCTTCGAGGAGTAACCCATTGAGTTCTGCGACCAACTCTAGTACAGAGCGGTTTCCTTGGCGTAGAGTATTTAGGCGTACTAGGGCCTTCTCTTGACGGGTTGGGTCACTAAAGGCGCTTTCCAGCTGGCTGTAAAATCCTTGGAGCGTGAAGCTTGGAGAGGACTCATTGGCTGCGATCCATGCATGGATCCTTGCTGCTGCCTTGCCTCCCAGGCGGCTATAGCCGTACCATATTTGTTCCAACTCTCCTCCAAGAGAGGCCTCGTCTATCAGTAACTAACTTCGCTTTCAGTTGGCTTAAAACTGTGGGAAAAGCGTAAGGTCTGTCCCGTCGAACCGTTCGGGGTCGGCTAGCTTCGGGCGAGGGCGCTGTTGTATAGGGAGGTAGGGGGTAGGTACGGGTGCTGCGCTCGGTGTGGTGTTCGAAGTTGCCGGGGTTGGAGTCATTTGGAGTGCTGCTTGGAGCTCCGCGCGTAATGTCTGGATTTGCCCCTGGAAGTGATCCCGTTGCAGACCAAGAGCTATCTGCTGTTGTTCTATCATTTGACGAAATAGGGTTCGGCCCATGTTGGTAGTTCTGTACTCCCACTTGGTGGGTTATATTCTCCTTCCATTCTGTTCGGTATTAGTTGTTTTCCGTTCTGTTCTATTCCATTCCGTTTCAGTATAAGATAAGTGACGAACGATTCCTAATGTCAAGGGCTGAACCCATAGAACCTACAAGATAGGTTATGTACAAGAAGGAATCGTTGAAGAAGGGAAGAAAGGAAGAAAGGAAGAAAGGAAGAGGAAACAAGCGGTAAACAAACAAGGTGGGGAGTCACGTGACATCGATCGAGGGCCAATGGGCCAAAAGGGTCAGTAGGGACAGTAGGGACAGTAGGGACAGTAGGGACAGTAGGGACAGTAGGGACAGTAGGGACAATAGGGACAATAGGGACAATAGGGACAACGGGGACAATAGGGACAATAGGGACAACGGGGACAGTAGGGACAATAGGGACAACGGGGACAGTAGGGACATTGGCCCGAGAGGTCAAACGGGCTCTAGCCCTTTACAGTCCGAGTATTTAAAGCTAAGAAAACTATTTAAAAAAAGAAACTATAAGGACACCCTTTTGAGATCCATATGTTATTATCTTATCAGGATGTTCCTATATCTACTGATGGTTGAGATATTAATTGAGATATTAGGGTCTTAAAGAGTGCGATTTTAGATGGTGTACAGAGGTGCGGCGCTGCTCTCATGCGGCGCTCGCTTACCGGTTACGTAGTAGATTCATGACCTGTATAGAGTTGTATAGAGTAAATGAGACCGTGATCCGTAATATATTGGATCACTAGTCATAACTTAGACAGAATTCGAATCCCCAGACTGCTCCCGGGTCACAAGACCTGGAGATGGAGCCCCTAGATCGTACTGGGTTAGCAGTTCCGTGGCAAGAAATTCTATATCAACTGTCTTCACGCATAGAGATCCAATGGGAAGAACAAGACGACGAACGTCGCGAATCCGGCTGCGCCTCACCGAAAACTTTGCTGAACAGGTTGTACAACTGGCTTGGCGGACAGGTTGACGCCAAGGGATGGCAGGACTGTCTCGTACTGTATGGAGTACTTGTACAGACAGTAAGATACCGTACATATACATACAAAAGAACCTCAGGATTCATCGGAACCAGCCGGGGGAGGGTAAGAGCCAATCAGTGGACAGAAGCATGCCAAGAGGGCCAAGATTTGAAGGTGCGGAAACCAAATGAGACTAGTGGGGTACATCCGGTGATCACGCCTGGGGGAAGTTTCAAGTGGCCTGGGGAAGCAAGGATCGCAACTTCATTCTTCGATCCGTGGATGGAGAATGGACGAAAGCCAAGATCAATGATCCATTAATGGGTCAAGAAGGACACACCTAAGTACCAGGGTGGTTGGGAAGAGAGACGAGTCAAGGCCAATGACGAGACGTGGCAATCCTTGGCTTATCCGCATTTTGTTTCTGGACTGGGCAATTCCACCCCTATCGTACTAGCACTATGAGGGAGTACTAGTAAGATAGTGATTGACTGTACTAGGCACACTTACCAGGGACTATGAATTACTCTGAATACGGAGTCCGATGGAGATACTATCCATTCTCGGGAATGAGCGAGAATGACCAAGGAGGAATCCTGGAACAAATATTTCGGGCAATCACACCATCGACTCCGCCGATGGTTCCATCGGTTGTGACATTCGTCGATCTATACGGCCTCCTTCTTGGCGGCCTTTTTTTTTTTTTTTTTTACTCCTTTCTTCTTCCCAAAGAACAGTCCGTCTAGCTTACTTATCTTGCTCTCATTCCCCGTCATCTCCTTTCTCCGTCGTCTCCTAATTCCTCCTCGATCACACATTCGTCTCCTTTCGTCCACCCCACATCCGCTTTCATCGATTTGACTGACTAACCGACTGGCTGACTGACTGACGGTCTGAGTGTGGCTTCAATCTACTCATCATGGCCACCAAGAAGCCCAACATTCTCTACATTATGGCCGACCAGATGGCCGCACCCCTTCTGGCCTTTCATGACAAGACCTCTCCCATCAAAACCCCCAACCTGAACCGTCTGGCGGAGGAGGGCGTGGTCTTCGACTCCGCCTACTGCAACTCCCCGCTGTGCGCTCCGTCCCGTTTCGTCATGGTGACTGGTCAATTACCCTCCAAGATTGGCGCCTATGACAATGCCTCGGACCTGCCCGCCGACACTCCGACCTATGCCCACTATCTACGGCGCGAGGGCTACCACACGGCGCTCGCGGGGAAGATGCACTTTTGCGGCCCGGACCAGCTACACGGCTACGAACAGCGGTTGACCAGCGACATCTATCCCGGTGACTACGGATGGTCCGTGAACTGGGACGAGCCGGTAAGGAGATATCCCTGACGAAAACTTGCGACATCCGTTACTGACCGTTGGCGCTTTTGTCCAGGAAATTCGTCAGGACTGGTATCACAACATGTCCTCCGTCATGGAGGCAGGCCCCGTCGTGCGTACCAACCAGCTGGATTTCGACGAGGAGGTCATCTACAAGTCGACCCAGTATCTCTACGACCATGTGCGCCAGCGCAACGACCAGCCCTTCTGTTTGACGGTTTCCATGACCCACCCGCACGACCCCTACGCGATGACCAAAGAGTTCTGGGATCTGTACGAAAACGTGGACATCCCGCTCCCCAGGAACCCCGCCATCCCCCACGACCAGCAGGATCCGCACTCCCAGCGCGTCCTAAAGTGCATTGACTTGTTTGGCAAGGAGATGCCCGACGAGCGCATCAAGGCGGCGCGCCGTGCATACTACGCCGCCTGCACGTACGTGGACACCAACGTGGGCAAGCTGTTGAAGGTTCTGGACAACTGTGGCCTGCGCGACAACACCATCATCGTCTTCACGGGCGACCACGGCGACATGCTCGGCGAGCGCGGACTCTGGTACAAGATGGTCTGGTACGAGAACTCGGCCCGCGTGCCTATGATCGTGCATGCGCCCCAGCGGTTTGCGCCCAAGCGAGTTTCGCAGAACGTGTCGACCATGGATCTCCTGCCGACTTTTGTGGATCTGGTCGGAGCCCAATTGGTGCCGGGACTGCCGCTCGACGGCGTCTCGCTGCTGCCATACCTGACGGGACAGGACGGCCTGCGCACCGACACCGTGCTGGGCGAGTATATGGCCGAAGGCACGCAGTCGCCAGTGATGATGATCCGGCGCGGCCGCTGGAAGTTTATCTACTCGCTGATCGACCCGCCCATGCTGTACGATCTGAAATCTGACCCGGAGGAGAAGGTCAATCTGGTGGCGGGGCTGGCAGACTTGTCGCGCGCCACCACAGCCAAATCGGTGGCGCCACAGGTGCAGCCGACAGCGCTGCCCACCCCTGTGGACTCGCCGCGAGCTTCCCCGCGGAGGCAGGCGGCGACCACAGTATATCCGTTCCCGTCCCCGCCGCGCACACCGAGCCCCGGCAAAGGCGTGGCAGCGATGCCGACGATGACGGAGCCGGCCAAGCTGCTGGCGTACTTTGTGGACGAGGTACAGACGCGATGGGATCTGGAACGGATCCGCGACGATGTTCTGCAGTCTCAGCGACGGCGTCGACTGGTTTATTCGGCGTTGATTAGGGGTAATCCATCGATTTGGGATTACGAGCCACGGGTGGATCCGAGCACGCAATACGTGCGGAACCAAGGGAAGGGGGCATTGGACGACGTGGAATTGATATCACGATGGCCGAGAGTACTTCAGCGTGCAGCTGGATTTTAAGAATAAGAAAGACAGAAGAGAGGAAAGGAAAGATCTTGCTATTACATTGGTTAGTTATTGAGCGAGGTATACCCGTTTGCATTCACAGATTGATTTAGCATGGATGCGTTATATATGGTATGCGATCAATGTAAATGATGAATTAGGAAATAAACGAGACAGTAAAATAAGAATTAGAATGAGTCAATGATGGAATCCCGACCAAATGCCGACGTCATATATAACTCCGCACCAGATCGCCGGGGTTATTAATCAGTTCATCCTCCAACAAATTAAGATCAATCAATCAATCATTTTCTAAATTTTTATTTCTTTTTTTGAAAGAAGAATGTCCAAAATAATCCTCGCAGTCTCCCAATCCCGCACGCAATCCACGCTTTCCGCCACACTGACCTCCCTCTCCAGTATCACCCAGAAAGCCTCTGCGCGAGGCGTGCATCTCATCCTATTCCCGGAGGCCTATCTAGGTGGCTACCCACGAACCTGTTCCTTTGGCAGCAGCGTGGGCGCCCGCGAACCCCACGGCCGGGACCAATTCCTCTCTTATTTCCAATCCGCAGTAGATCTCGGCGATACGCCGTCTGGAGGGGGAGACGACTGGCTTCAAAGAAAACTCCCCCTGGGAGAAGGGAAATATCGAGGCGATGGAACGAGGGAGAAACTCGAGGAGATCGCCCGTGACACCGGGGTATTTATCGTCACTGGGGTGATTGAGCGCGCGGGAGGGAGTCTTTATTGTTCGGTGGTTTATATTGATCCTGTTAGAGGGTGTTTGGGGAAGAGGAGGAAGGTTATGCCTGTACTTTATATACCCCTATGCATCCTTCCCTATCCTATCCCATCCCTTCCTATATCCAACAGATATACTAATAATAATGATGGTGATGATGATGATAGACAGGAACAGAACGCCTCATCTGGGCCCAAGGATCCCCCTCCACCCTGAAAGCCATCACAACCCATCTGAACAAAGTCCCCGTGACGCTAGCCGCGGCCATATGCTGGGAAAACTACATGCCTCTGCTTAGACAGAGTCTGTACGCCCAGAACGTCAATATCTATCTTGCGCCGACGGCGGATGCGCGCGAGACTTGGTTGGCGTTGATGCGGACCGTGGCGTTCGAGGGGAGGGCGTTTGTGCTTAGCGCGAATCAGTGTGTGAAACATAATGAGTTGCCGGATTGGATTACAGCTGGTAATTCTGCTGCGCAGCAGCAGCAGCAGGCTCATGTCTATGGACATGCACAAGGAGATGGACAAGTACATCGAAAACGATCAGTGACAGCAGAAGGACCACATGAGATAGTCTGGCCTGGAGAATTCGGGGACAATATACAGGACAAGGCTAGGACAGATAAGAAACAGAATCAGAATCAAGGTTTGTCTTCCAGTTCATCTATGCCATATACTAACTAGTATAGAATACATCTCTCGTGGCGGATCTTGCATCGTTGATCCTCAGGGCCAGGTCCTCGCCGGTCCCATCTGGGAAGTATCCGCGGATGATGTCGACGAAGGTCTCCTCGTGGCGGAGATCGATATCCTGGATTGTGAGCGTGGTCGTCTGGATCTCGACGTGGCGGGTAGTTATTCACGCAGTGATGCGTTCAAATTGCATGTTGAGGGGTTGGATTTGAATCCTCCTCCTTTTTAGATATCTACTGTGTGTATCTGTCTACATACCATCTATATCTATCTAATATATCTATCTACGTCCATATCTACGTCCATATCTACTATATATCTACCATACATCTGCCAAGTAATATTGCTATGTACTAATCCATCGAATATACAGGCGCCTTCACCAACACATTCACTGGCCCTCTCCCTCGCACATCCGCCATCACAAACGTCGAAAACCGAACCCGCGCTCCCTCCGAGCTCGTCGATCGCTCCCCAGGGCTCGGGGCCGTGGCCGTGGCAGGGGCCGTGGCAGGGGTCGTGGCAGGTGCCGTGGCACTGGCAATGGCAGTGCTAGGACTAGGACCCTGTCGCCGCCCCATCAGGGAACTAAACACTGACCGCACGCGCTGTTCCCGACCCGGTGCCGTCTCCGGGGTTGACCCCGACGAGGAATCGCGATCCTCCTCATCCGGTCCCGGGGCGTCCGAACGGTCCTGGTCGCCGGATCCGCGCGTGCCGTTAGACTCTGCTCCGCTAGTCAACGGCGGGATCCCAGTCTCCAACTTCATCGTCGGCTCGTGCACACTCGTGCCCGGCAGGACATAGTCGACGCAGATGTCCCGGGACTCCAGGGGGATCTTCTCCGAGATGCCGATGGCGTTCTCCACGATCATCCGCGCGCCGTTATCGAGACCCGGCGGTGGAGGGTGCTGCAGGTAGGTGACCAGCGTTGCCACCAGGCTCTCCACCAGCCGATCGATCAACTGCACGCGGTTTTCATCGGCAGCCGGGCCGATCAGAGCGTCCTCGAGTCCATCCAACGTGGTGCGGCGCCAGTTTGAAATACGGGCGATGGCATTCTCCTTGTCCTCCTCCGTGACGGTCTTGCCCTGCTGCCGGCGCAGGTTGTTCTCAATGCTCTTCAGCTGTTGACCCAGCGAGGGTTCCAGGGCCGGGTGGAAGTACCGCCCAAAGAGCTCATCCACCAGCCAGCGGCTCATGACCGCGCGGCCGATGGCCGTCATCTCCTTGGTGCCCGTCATATGCGCATCCTCGTTCACGTACCCGTTCAGCCAGGGTGGGAGACACTTCCAATCCTTCCGGATGGAGAATGCCAGGTCCTTGATCGCTCCGTCGAGACGACCAAACCGGTTGGCATACTCGTTGTCATCCAGGACGGTTCGGGACACCGCCATGCGCTGATGCGCGACCGTGTTTTGAAGATGCTGCACCTGGGCTTCTTTTTCAAAATAGTAGCGTTTCACTTTGGAATATTTGGCCTCTGCGAAGGGGAGAGAATCAAGTCAGCTGCGGGGCTATTCCGAGCGAGGGAGGGCTACACATACGGAGTTCGTCATGTTTCTGGACCAAGGATCGCACGTCGACCTCGCCCTCGTCGCGGGTGCGGCTATGGCTGGAGGTCGGCGTGCTGCGTCCCGGCTCCGAGCCTTGGGACGGATTGGTATTGTTCGACGGCGGGGTCTGCGAATAAGCCGGAGGGTTGTTGGTGGCAGGACCCGGCGGAGCGCCCGTGGACGGACGTTCCGACATGCCCTGCGGCGGAAGGGCCGAGGCGTCTGTCGAATGGTTGGGCAAAGGCCGTAAGGGAGAAGGGGGGCCGATAGACTGTCGTGAAGGCGGCCGAGCACTGGACGGATCCAGAGATGGTTGTTGCTGGGGCGGACCGGGGAGCAACTCGACAGGATGCCTGGGCGGGTCGATGGGCGACGGACGGTACTGCTGCTGATTGCTTTGTTGGTCCAACAGCAGGGTTGAATCGGTATTGGCACGAGGGATGGAGGGTGGATTGGGGGAACGAGACAACCGCGGGTTCTGAGAAGAAGATAGATGCAAGTCCGGGGGCGGCATAGGCGACTGAGGGGTCGTGCGGACGGACTCTACCACATACTCTCGCGAGCGGGAGGTCAGGGGCGGGCCGTCGGCAGAGCTGGTGTCCACCGACAAGGGGCGCTGTCGACGGGAGGCAGGCGAGGACCTCCTTAAGGATCGATGGCGCTCGAGAGGGCCCGTGGAATCTCTGGTTGCTGAGGAGTGCAAGGAAAAAAGGTTTCGGATGGAACGTCGTTGATTCCGGTCGTCGTGATCGTCGTGATCGTGATGGTCGCGGTCGTCGTCGGATGGGTCCACATCAACGAAGCGCGGCGGAGGCGCAGTAGGGGATGCGGGAACAGCGACGGGGAGATCACTGTCGGACTGGCGTTGGCTCTGGGAGCGGTCCAGTGAAGGGGAGGAGGGAGAGTGAGCGGGATGATGGTATGGAGGAGGAACCGGTAGCGGATGAGGTGGTGGAGGTGATTGATGTTGAAGAAGTTGCTGATGCTGGCGGTGTTGTTGGTGAAGATTGGCGGTGGGGACAGAGACACGGCGGTCGACCAGTTGGGGGAGATGCTCGACAGATCGGAATGCAGGTGAGTTGGAAGGGGGAGACTTGGGTCTTTTGCGGAAGAGTGGCATGAGGGATGAAGAATAGGATAAAGAAAGAAGTCAAAGAAGAAGAAAGGAAGAAAGAAAGAAGAAAGATGGAAATGAAAGGTGATGAATGAAAAAGGAAGAAGACAGAAAGACAGAAAGACAAAGCGGGACGTCACGATGGTGATTGGCTCGACAGGGACTAGTCTATATATAGATTTGGAAGAATATATTAATGGATAGAGGGAAAGAGAATAAATATAATTCATCTACAGCTAGATCTACGACTAACACACTCCATGCGTCTTGCCCGTCTTCCCCTGCAGAGAATGCTTTTCCCCCTTGTAGTGTGGATGGTTGTGCTTCGCCTTGTGCGAGTTGGTCGTATGTGTACGCACATGCCTATCATAGTCAGTCTTCCCGGAGAAATTTGATAGGAATAAAAGAAAGAAAAAACTAAATAAAATAAAATAAAGGGAAAACCTACTGTTGATACCGCTCCATCATCGTCTTGTCCATATCGCTCAACGTCTTCAATGCCAATTTGATATCCGCCAGCAGCGTGTCGCACCGACTCATACTAAAATCCTCGCGCACAACCACTCGCATCAACTTCAACGAGTTACTATGCGGCGCCATGGTGTACGCAGGGACAACCCATCCACGCTCGCGCAGCTGATGCGCCAACGCAAACTCGTCAAAGTGGTCCTCCCGGTGGGCCGGCAATCGGAAGGCAACCAGGGGTAATCCGCGACCACGACGCTGGCTCATGATCACGAATCCCAACTGCTCCAGCTGCTCCGCCAGATAGTCCGCGATGCGCGTGATGTTGACCATGATGGACCGGTACCCACGCTTCCCGAGCCGGATCATCTGGTAGTACTGCCCGATGACCTGCGACGCACCCTTGGAGAAATTCAGCGTGAAGCTGGCCTGCTCTGCGCCCAGGTAGTTGATGTTGAAGATCAGGTCCTTAGGCAGGTACTCCGGGGACCGCCACACAATCCAGCCCACCCCGGGGTAGACGAGGCCGTACTTGTGGCCCGACACGTTGATGGAGACCACCTTCTCCAGGCGGAAATCCCACTGCAGCGACGGGTGTATGAAGGGAGCCACGAAGCCCCCGCTGGCGGCGTCCACATGGATCGGACAGTCAATTTTCCGTTCCACGAGGAGGTCGTTGATCGCCTTCACGTCCTCGTACTCGCCCGTGTACGTGGTACCCAGAATGGCGCAGATGCCAATGGTGTTCTCGTCGACCAGGTCCACCGCCTGCTGCGGGTCGATCACATAACGGTCCTCAGTGCAGTAGACGTAGCGCTCTTCAACGTCAAAGTACCGGGACGCCTTCTCCCAGCACACTTGCACCGCGCTGTTCATCACTAGGTTGGGTCGTGAGCAGTCCTTGCCTTCGGCGCGTCGTTTGTTCTGCCATCGCCGCTTCATGGCGAGGGTGCCCAGCATGATGGCCTCCGAGGATCCGATGGTTGAGGTCCCCATGGGATGGTCGTCACTCTCTACGGGAGCATTGAAGAGATGAGCGATCATGTTGACACAGCGGTTTTGGATCTCCGCCGATTGCGGGTATTCCTCGTAGTCGATGAAGTTCTTGCTGAAAGAATCGGCCATGAGCTTTTCCGCCTCGTCTTCCTGTGACGTGGTGAGCTTGCCCTAGATCTGTACGTGGGAGATGGCGAGCGTGCATACCATATAAGTTGTGACAAAACTCGCCAAGCTATTACACCCTTCGGCGTGAGTAATTTCCCACCACACCCGGGGGATCGACAACCTACTTGAGCATCGGATTCCCATCCAGACTCAGCTCATCTTTGATCATACGGTAGGCCACCTCGCGAGGCATCTCGCCTTCCGGCATCTCCGTCTGGGGCAGCTGCTGGGTGGCGAACCGCGTGCCGTACACACTCGAGTAGAACCCATCTTCCTCGACAGCGTCCAACTTGATGGAATCAACCCGCTTGATCGTAGGATCCAGGGCATCGCTAGGGCGATGGACTCTAGCGAGATGGACCATTGTTTTATATAGGCAAAGATAAAATGGATTCAATTGGTACAGTATCCAAGGATAGAAAGCACACAGAGTGAGAGCAACAGAAGAAAAACCAACCTAACGGGGGGAAGGACAGGGAGTCGGCCGTCTTTAACCTCTCGACGGGTATACCGGCCCGGTGTTAGGAGACCTCAGACAGCGCTGGAAGAGGGGTAGGAATCGACTGGCTGTCGAGAGACGTTGAGCACATCGCCAGTCCATACCGTCGATTCGGTTGGACCACTTACCATGATGGTAGCCTGGAAGAGGGGTGTCAGCACTGCAGCATGGATCCCAAGCGTCGCTCTGATTGCACACCTCCATCCTGGCGATGGAGAGAGGGGCTGAGGTCTAAAATCTCGGGCGCGAATCGCCGGGCCAGAGTCAGGACCACAGACACTGAAAGCTTGGAGAAAGCTTAGCCCAGATCGATAGAGACGGATAACCGGATGGATATCCATCTTCTCAGCCAACGACAACTGTCTCGTGGAGCCAACGGAAGGAAAGGACTGTATCATGCCGAAAATAAACCGGAACTTAACTACGTAACAGGGAGGACATTGATGGTGAGAGAGGCCAAATGGCGGTGAATGACTGAACGAGAGGAAGCGATTTTCGTCTCCCATGATTACCATTAACTAATAATACCTCGTCTCAGTGCAAGCGATATATGAAACGAATAACATGAAATCGAATAATAAAAGAAAGAGAGAAAAGAAAAAAGAAAAAGAACAAAGAAAGAAATCTCAGGAATAATTTTGCACCAACCCCCCTGCAGAATCCGAATGCCGATATCCCATGTTTACCCAATCCTTCCCTTCATCCCTTTTGGTATCCTGCCATCTCTCGTCGTATATCATACAACAGAATTCATACAGTGAAACATTCACCTCTTCTGAGGGTTTGTTGCCTTTTCACCTTTTTATTTTTTCTCTTTTTTTTTTTATTTTGTTTTCTTCTGCGGTGTCGCGGTCGAACACTTTTCTCCTTTTCATCCAACCATGTGTGGGTATCAGCAATTAAGGACTCGTTTCTCAGTCTGTGTCAAGTTCACCATACCACAGCAACTAAATACAGACATACGGTGGACAAACAGTAACGACATTTAGCTCTTCTCCCCCTTGATCTTGCGCTTAAGCCAGCCGAAGAAGCCGTTCTTGCGCTTCTCGGCTTTGGCGGCTTCATTCTTGGCAGCCTCTTGAGCCTTGTCAGCCTCTGCCTTGGCTGTCTCTTTGGCCTTGTCCGTAAGCTGCTTGCCTTCCTGGGGCTTTGTATCGCTGGCACCCGCACCCTCTTTCGGCGCTTCCTGGACCGGCTGAGAATCCCGGACTTTAGCCTCTTCTGGCTTCTTGATCTCTTCCGGTGTCTTGGTCTCGTCGGTCTTCTTGGGCTTGTCGGTCTTCTTGGTTTCTTCCGTCTTCTTGGCCTCCTCTGGCTTCCTGGCCGCAGAAGTAGCGGCAGCAGCGGCAGCAACGACCGGAGACCTGGTCTCCGTGGCAGCTTGGTATTTGGTCGCACCGGTTGGCTCCTGCTTCAGATCAGATGCGGCCGCCTTCTGGGTAGCGGGCTGTGTGCCAGTATCCTTGTGGGCCGCTTCCTTAGCCGGAGCCTTGTCATGGATGGTCGAGGGAACTCGGATTTCTCGCTCCGTGGATGTAGCGGCAGGTGCAGTCGTAGCCGTACCCGTGCTTGTAAGAGCTGCAGGAGCTGCGGCAGCTGTCTCCTTGGCTGTAGACGAAGGCGCAGGGGTTTCTGTGTCCTTTGCCGCTGTAGAGGCGGGCACTTCCGAAGTCTTAGTGCTGACGGGAGTCTCTTGCTGCGGCTTAGAGGCCTCACGATCTCCAACCTCCTTGGTAGCAGTGGGGGCTCCAGTCGGTGCAATCGCCGCCGCAGTCTGGGGCTTGGCGGACGTGTCCGTAGCAGTAGAGGTGGCTGCGCCCGTTGCAGGCACAGCCGTACTGGATGCAACATTGGAGGATGTGGCAGTAACAGCCTTATCGTCAACAGAGGACAAACCTGGCACAGCCAGAACCGATAACACTTTATCTCTCGGGTCCGCGCCAAGCCCAGGGACTATCTGAGGTTGCACCGTAGAAGCCTTCTCGCTGGGCAATTCGGCCTTGGTTGCTGCAGCCGTCGATTCAGATGGCTTGGCGGCTGGCACCTCATTGTCTGTCTTGGGAATCTTAGCAGGCTTGGTGTCCTCTTCCTTGGCGGCTGGGGTGGTCTCGTGGGGTCGCTTCACATGAACTGCATCGGCAGCGTCTGATGCTGCGGCGGTGATCGGTTCGACGACAGCAGGTTCCTTTGGCCGTTCGGGCAATGTCTTAGACTCCTCTGCGACTGCCTCGGGCAATGCAGCTATTAGGAAGGGAAAAAAGAAAGGTCAGTACCTAGGTGGGTAACACGAAGTGTTGAATGGGGCTCACTTGACTTCTTCGCCTCTTCTCCGACCGCGGATGCAGTCTTGCTGCCTTCCTCAGAGATCTGTTGCGGGGCGGAGGTTGTGTCGGGGGCGGCAGTGGTAGTCGCTGCAGTGGCAGCATCTCGAGTTTCTGACGTAACACCTTCAGTCTCTCCTTCGCTCTTCTGGAGGGTTTCCTCAACCTCATTGCCTGGGGTTCTGGGTAGCACAAAAGATCAAAATAGTCAGTACTGCAGGTTGGATTCAATATCGGGCAAACAAAGCCACAACAAAATTTCACGACGTGTGCGCGCGGCCACAATGACCACTTACAGAGTGTTTTCGACATCGGTGGCCTTCTTGCTGGCAGCGGCGGCAGCAGCAACGCTGTTGCCTTTGCTCTTGCCCTTATTCTTGGATTTTCCTCCTTTCTTAGGCATTATGATCGAGTATCCTGCAGGCACCAGTGAGTTCCAGGAGTCTGGCCACGTAGTGATGACGACACCGGTGTGCGCATGTATCGGGAGGCGCAGAAGACACTTACAGACGAATCGATTGCACTTGATTGGGGATGGAAATCAGGAAAGCTAAGAGTAGGACGACCTGTCGGGGGAAGTCGAAGGATGAGAGGTGGATTGAAGGAGAGGGAGGTTAGGGGCGGCCGATTTGGTATGTTGGTTCTTTCCGAATGCCTAATCGAAATCGGGGAACGTTAATCCGCGGCTGAGGGACGGCAGGGAACAATAGGCCTGATTGGATTAATGACGCAGGGTGAACCAATTTGCCCTGCCTGCTATAGTAATATATAATGCGATCGATATCCCGTTGTCGATGTGTGATTGTAAGGGGACGGAGATATATGCAAGAGGGATCCTCGATACGATCGCAAAGCTGAAAAACCCGCCCACGCCGGTCACCTGAGTCGCGCAATCCCAGGGAGGCCGACCAGTTTTACATACACGTACAATGGACAATACACCAGAGGGCTAGAGGTGCCTAGGCCTATGTACGAAATGAAATAGAAAAGGATGGGATACCTCGTTTGCAAGGAAATTGCGATTGTCCGAGTCTATGCAGATACATTGGTTATACGGTGTATTACGAGGTCTTCAAATCGCGAACCACCAAAAACATTAGGCTACAGAATGTCGCATTAAACTTAGGGAACCACTAAATTATCGGAATCCATCCATCGAGTCTCCTGGTTGCGGGTTTCCCCTATGCCAGGATCGAAGCTGAGGCTACTCGACTAGAGCTGTTTGCGGCGATCGGTCGTGTGCCTGCAGCAGTGGCCACGCACTAACGCGGTGATAGCCCTAAGCATGGTGATAGTTAATCCGAGACATGTCCGGATTCATTACGATCGGCTATTATTGGCCTACATGTAATTGCTACTCAACTATACGGAGTACACAGTACAGAGTATGTACAGAGATGGGTTAATTGAGAATCTTTCTAATCTTATGTCGAGTATGCCAGTCATCAAGGAGTTACCCGGACTACATTCAAACGAGCACTTTGCATTATCCACAACACACGCGTAAACCATCTACCTGTCTTAAACAACCAGCAAAACTCGACACGTAGATAACTACTGAAACGATCTACTGCAGATGATAGTTGTTCTACTACCTATCTTCCATCTAACCAGCACATCTTCCCTGGCCTACAACCCCTCCACTGGTAGTTCAAGATAAACTTTGCGTCCCTCACCTGACTCTCTGGGGTAAGGGTTGGGCAGCGAGGGCATGGAAATGATGTAGTAACTTCATCCCTTGCAGATGACCATCCCATCACAGCATTCCTTAGTCTGCCCGGTTCAGGAATGCGGAAATAGCTACCTTCTAGAATAAACACAGCCTCCTTCTGGACTGCAACCTCACGTAAGTTGCAGGAATGTGGCGTACTGACGGCCACGTTGGCAGGGACAAAATAAAAACACAAAACATGCTGCAGGGAAGAACACGAGAATCTATTAGAACATATGGAAATCTAACGACAACAACCAAAAAGAGGTAAAAAATTGACCTACGCAGGGATCGAACCTGCAATCTTTTGATTCGTAGTCAAACGCCTTGCCATTGGGCCAGCAGGCCATTTCTTTTATGTAGGGTTGCATTAAAATGCTATGTAGGGCAAAATTACTGCTGACGCCGACCGGAAACAGCGTGCCGAGTGGAGAGTAGCCGACCTAACCGGCGGATCGCCCGGAAGCAACCCTCAATGCGACAATATCATTTGCCCATGTACTTATGACCCGTAACATTCTTGATTAATATTTACTGTGTAATACTACATATCAATGTCGCTCACGATACCCAGCTCCTGCAGCCATGACGGCATAGTGGACACTCTGTGGCAGCCAGTGGTGGATGATGGATGAGCCGCCAAGGAGGCCACCGCCTAAGCATGACGTTGCATAACCTAACCGATCCGGTATGTTCAGACGCTGGCCTTGCCAGATGCTAAGAGAGCAAGGCGTATTCAGGTCGGCGGTGGCATGTTGATCTGTCTTAGCCTGCCTTTCCAGAATTGTTCGCTGCAGGACCACGACGGCCTCGTTTGCCATTTCATACCTAGTATGGATGTATTTAAATCTTGCCACCCCAATCTGAATGCCGCGGAGATACTACGTACACCCACTCGGCGACAAGATCCAGTTGGTCACTGAAACTTTGAAGGCTGAATGAAAGAGAAACCCCATGACCAGGATTATCCGGGATACTATTGCTTGGCCAGACAGGCCTATCCGGTGAGCCACCAGCCAGGACGCCAAAAACCATGGTTGTTTCGGCAGGAAAAGGCAGTACCTGGACCGACCAATGTAACCCGATGACCCGATTAATTGGCCTAAAGGAAGGGGTTAGTCAGCGAATGATTGGGACGGATGGCACCGAGACACGGATTGCTGGAAGGAGGAATCTTCCGGAACCCGGGCGGGTGAATTCCCTGTTGTCAGAGTCGTTGAATTTTCTTCGAACACGGGGCCGTATGGGAGCTAGTCGTCGTGTCTTTTCGCTTTATTTTTGGTTTTCTTTCCTTCTTTTTCACCTTTCCCAAGCTGTATAAGTGGACGGCAGGCAAGGCAGAACTAGTTACGGAGTACAGTAAGAACAATTACTTCCTATAGCTGCCCTGGTAAGAGATCAGAATCGCCATAATTCACGCACAAGCCCTGTGGGCCCCTCCACGTTGGCCCCTCCTTTCGCAATTACCGGATTGGAGATTCCATCCAGAGGGGTGTGTTAGACTGGTAGTAAACTAGCAGTAGTAATACTCGGGCGGTTCTGACGGTGTCTGGGGTCCATCAACGTCAGCGTCATACCCAATCATCGCCCCCCAGTTGGGAATGGAGTCCCAATCCTATTAAGTCATCCCATGAGAACGAACCGTGTAATTGCGCCTGCTAGTTCCAATCTGTTAAGACTCCCACCGTCTAGCCAAATCTACTAGACTCCTACCGTCCTAGACTATATCTATCCTCTCCCACCAATTCCACATTCCCCCCCGTCCTCCAATCTGACCCCAATCTGTTATCTGTTTCGCTCTCGCTCTCCTGGAAAGTATTCTTTTCTTTCTTTCCCTCCCTTTCCGTTTCTTCCTCCAATCTCCCCTCCATGCATACGATGATATCAAAGTTTGCTCCTCTAATCGATTGTCTCCTGTGCTTGCACGCTCTCCCTCGCGTCCATTCCCTGTCTGGGAAGGGTCTGCTGTTGTGAAGTGTTGACTCGACGTGTACTTCAACTTCTCTCAGAACCATCGAAAAGCATATACTACCAATTCGTGTGCTAGCCATCCACGTGTTCTTGCTCGTACCTATTTCATCAACTTTTTTTTTACTCCATCCGTCTCGTGTCTCGCGCCAAAATGAGTCTACGACAGAAAGTTCGCAGAGTATTCCACCGCAGTGGGAGCGGCTCGAAAGTCAAGGGCAATGGCATTAAGATCGAGTATTATAAGCGTCATGAGATCCCCCGGTCCAAGTTCAAGGGTCCGTTTGATCGGGAACACCAGAAAAGATTGGCTGCATGGTCGTTCAAGGAAGCCCAGGCCGATCGTCCCCGTCAATTCGACCTCTCTCTCTCTCCTTGCGCCACATTGCCCGACTATCTGAAATCTAGTTATGAGGAGGACGACGAGGATGTGGCCCCTGATCAAATTCGAACTACGGCACCAGAAATAACTCTCGCCGACGGTATGTATCATCCGTTTCCCCTATAGCCATACTCGTCCTACCGCTCGTTCAAGAGAAGCCTACGTGACGGTTTTTTACTCCTTTTTTTCCTTTTCTAACAACTATCAGAAGCCTCCATCGAATATCATAGAGAGACCGGCTCAGGATCTTCCTCATCTACCGCTGTTGACCCTGAAAGCTACAGCTCTTCATTGAAGACGCTTCTTCCCGATGTCCTACAACAGGATTCAATCGCTCAAATCAAGAGTCGGTGCGTTACACGTCGCCCGTTATACGAACCATCTCGCCGCCGCCCTTGACTCCTAAGGGCACCTATATGCCATTCGCACCGGAGGATTTGACACGGGCGTTGAACGCTGTGCAAATCTGTTAGTAACTTGTCAACATCTTCTGGCAAGATTTCGATTTGTTACTTGACAATCCATTCTCAAACTTTTTTATTTCTTTCCAACTGCTAAGCGACATTGATGTGCGCCTTTCAATTCAAATCCGCAAAGCGGGCAGCTGTCCTTGGTCACCGGGTAGTGTTCGAGGATTCACTTTCAAGGACCCAACCATCTCCATTAGAGGTCCACCTATGCGGTCGATACGTGAGGGGCAAGTATTATTACCTGTTCCAAGGTCTCGACTGCTCTTTGATGCATGAAACGAACAATGTTTCAAAAAGCGACTGATTGACTAATAATTTTCTGATTGCATTTCGATTGAGCGTATACCCACCCCCCTTGAGGTTCTACTTCGATTTCTTTCCTTTGTGCCTGGAACCTATTACATACTTGGATTCCTGTGGTGGCGGGAATGAATACTTAGTATTATGTGACCGTTACATGAATACTTACAATGCAATTACACTTAACGTTCCACTGGGTGCGCCAAGTCAATAGAACCACTGCACACGCAGCATACAGTTTTCCAAATAAATCCCCGTCCCCCCATCGTAGGCAGTCTGTCTCCTGATATCATTATCTGCAAGCAGGTAGGGAGGGGTGTAGCCCCTCAAAGTTCGACGCCAAGACAATAGACCGACATGTGCGTAAGACGAAAAACTGATCGACAATCGCCAAAGAATCAGTGACGAGGATGGTATCAAATAAGAGGCAAACGAAACTGCTTAACCTGCACTAGTGAGCTAAGATCCCCGATCGTCATTAGTGATGCTACATTGCTCATCATAGCTTATCGGGATGTATACTGTAGCGTATGGATGGTTGTGTACTCCGTAGATGTTCCCCGGTGGCTTGTAGAGCCTATTATTCAATTCTACTTTTGGTCTTTGGGTGTATGCCAAATCGCGATATTGGATCCTATTCTATATATTGTCTTGGGCTGTGTGTTGTTGCTTTGATTTGCTTTTATATACTTTTGGCATGGTCAACGGCTCGATATACTCCGTGCTACTCCGTACATTAATGGATAATTTACTGACAACAAGACCGGATGAATCTCACTGGAGAGTGTATGTATCGTGGCTTATTCCTACCCAGTTTCTGTATCCATCAGCATGTCATCGCGGTTTCGGAGTAGCTTAGTCTGACGCATCTGATGTTTAACAACAACAAGGATTTCCACCCGAGTCCTCAACCCGCCGAGAATAGTCTGACTAGGGATGTACATCCATAACCAGTAGGGTCATAAGCATTCTCTGTATTAGTAATGCCCTCCCAGAGAGAATCTGGGTTGTGAGGGGGAAACATTTGGATATATATTTTCCAGGTGGGTGCATCTTCGAAGTAGTAATTTCTGTTGGATGTCGCTGCGGAGTGAGATTCGAGAAATTGAATTTTTAGGTATTTTGCGCTGGATCTTATCTTCTCTACTCCATAGTGTTGGAGCTCTGGAAGAGATATACTGGGGTTGAGAGGGTCACTGACATGCATGAAGATGTTCGGAGGGTGGTATGTTTCTTGTCGGAGAGTGAACAGGAATGTTTTGTTCGAGACAGAAATGGCACCATCCACGGATGTAGTAATATACATATTGCAGATAAAGTTATGTAGCACAATCCATTGCATTGTTTGGTATCCAACATCATCACTCATAGCACACATCCGAGTAATTGCCCGGTTATCTATAAATCTACTCCTCCTGAGTGACAGTCATGTCTAATACTTCTACTCGTCCTCGTCCGCGAGTCTCGTTGCCCACAAACTCGTTCAACCCTTTGTATGCCCCCGGCTCCGCAAATCCAATTACCTCTAATTCATCACCCACCACTTCTTGCGACTCGACGGATTCAAAGTAGCTCATGATCTTATCCTTGACATTGCTGGGTGTCTTGGCTGATGCTTGCTCTGTATCGGATGCACCAGCCTCTGCATCTGAGTCTTGCTGCCGAGCGATCTTCTTTGATCCTTTACCACCCTTTTTGTTAGATTTGGGTCCGCCACCCGACGGGGTTTCCTTCTCTTTGTTGGATCCTGCAGCTGTCCCTGTCTTAACACTCTGCTTCAAAAGCGACACGGGACAGGTCACCCGAAGACGCATGCGCGCTCGCATCACAGGAATAGGCTGCCAAGCAATGAGCGCCTTCATAGCCTCGAGCGCCTGACTTTTCGCAGACTTATTCGGCGTTACACCAGTCCACAGCGGTTTCCGCGGCTGGGCCGGTCGCGACTCATCATCACCATTTGCATCCCCATTGTTCTGCTGACCCTGCGATTGTTGCATCTGCCCGCTTGCTGAGCTAAGTTGGTCCAAAGCCTTGGAGATCATGCCCGGCGTGTAGACCCGTTTGGTTGTAGGGTCGACTAGTCGTCCGGACACAATATCCAAGACTTCTTTTTCGACGCGCTCCACGATCTCCTTCCGCTCGCGCTCGCCGACTTGCACTTCGCCTTTTCGTAGAATTTCCTGCAGGATCTCGTCCGTGGGGGTGCCGGCACCGAACGCTTTGGCTAGTTCTGCGATGGGGGCGGTCTGGGCCTTAGATACGGATAGGAAGACGGTAGGGACTTGGAGAACATTGTCGAGGTCCTTTTCTGCTCCGGAGCGATACTCTAATAGTTTGTTCTTGTAACACGCCAGTTCGAATCGCTTTTTGCCTGTGATGGAGGTTTTAGCCGGGTTGCCCCGGGGGGGGGGGGGGAGGGTAGTGAAGTGATGAATTCTCCCCATCTGGAACTTCTCCAAAAAGTAAAATGTCATACCAAGATTGGACTACTACACACCTTTTTTTAGTCGTACAATTGATACATTCGTAAATTTAATCTGGTTCGATGGCTGATTGATAGGCATCGTGCACAGCGCGACTTTAGAAGAAGACGCACTTTGCCTAAGGGTGATATGGTCAACAGAGAACTGACTGGAGGTGTAGAAAACCCGCCTAATGCCTTAATGAAGAATCAAGTCAGGAATGCAGCAGTCTCATGATTGGTGTGAATGGCGATAACGGTGGCCCCATGTTACCGATGACTCAGCACGGATGATTCAGCGCCTGACTTGCCATTCCTGTGAGGCACCGTCCCGTGATTGGCCGCCTTCCGCCACTCGTATCGGCGTCATCGGCTCCTGACAACCCCCCCAATCTACATTTCATCCTCTCTTCTTTCCCTCTTCATCTCCCGGGGCCGCTGGATTTCCATCGGCTTCTTTTTATACTTTTGTTGTTGTTGTTGTTGTACACTGTGCGTTGCTGTTCCCATTTTTATGCCATTCCCCGTCTCCCTTTCCTTGCAAGATAACTACCTCAGATAGGATACTGATAAGCTACTAGCTGCAGGCCATCTTGACCCCAGGGTCCTTCTTTCCCACCTTTGCTCTTCTATCACCATCCCTTCTCATTTCATCTCATCCTGAACACCTATAATCAACAATGAGATTCTTACCAGCTGCTTTGCTGGTTGGAGCGGCCACTGCTGCCGTTCCTGCCCAGCAGGTCCTGAACCGGCCCAAGGAGGAACCGACTCTGGGGAGCTTCACCGCTCCAGTCCATGCCTTCCAGGAACAACTCCAGGAACAGCTTAAGACGCTCTCTGATGAGGCTCGTAAGCTGTGGGATGAAATGTCCAACTACTTCCCTGACAGCATGGATCACAATCCTGTCTTCTCTCTTCCTAAGAAGCATAACCGTCGCCCTGACTCTCACTGGGACCATATTGTTCGTGGGTCTGACGTCCAGAGTGTCTGGGTCGACAGTGCCAATGGCGGCAAGGAGCGAGAGCTTGATGGAAAGCTAGAAGCTTACGACCTTAGAGTCAAGAAGACTAACCCCAGCTCCCTCGGTATTGACCCGAACGTGAAGCAGTACACTGGTTATCTGGATGACAACGAGAACGATAAGCATCTGTTCTATTGTGAGTGCAGCCTGTGACAGAAATTTGAATCTTCTGTATCACTAATTATTCTATGTGAAGGGTTCTTCGAATCACGCAATGACCCCAAGAACGACCCCGTTGTTCTGTGGCTCAACGGTGGCCCCGGCTGCTCCTCACTCACGGGCTTGTTCTTAGAACTCGGCCCTAGCAGCATTGACAAGAATATCAAGCCAGTACACAACGATTTCTCTTGGAACTCCAACGCTTCTGTGATTTTCCTTGACCAGCCTGTCAATGTCGGTTATTCTTACAGTGGCTCTGCCGTTAGTGATACTGTTGCTGCCGGCAAGGATATCTATGCCCTCCTGACCCTCTTCTTCAAACAATTCCCAGAGTATGCTACACAGGACTTCCACATCGCGGGCGAGTCCTATGCCGGCCACTATATCCCGGTTTTCGCCTCGGAGATCCTGTCTCACAAGAAGCGCAACATTAACTTGCAGTCCGTCCTCATTGGTAATGGTCTTACAGACGGTCTTACGCAGTATGAATACTATCGTCCCATGGCCTGTGGCGATGGTGGATACCCAGCTGTGCTGGACGAGGGCACTTGCCAGTCAATGGACAATGCTCTTCCCCGCTGCCAGTCGATGATCAAGGCCTGCTACGACTCCGAAAGCACATGGGTCTGTCTCCCTGCGTCGATCTACTGCAACAATGCTATGCTTGGCCCTTACCAGCGTACTGGACAGAATGTCTACGATATTCGTGGCAAATGTGAGGATTCCAGCAACCTTTGCTACAAGGCAATGGGCTACGTTAGTGAGTACTTGAACAAGGCTGAGGTTCGCGAGGCCGTGGGCGCCGAAGTTCAGGGTTACGATTCGTGCAACTTTGACATTAACCGGAACTTCCTCTTCCATGGTGACTGGATGAAGCCATACCACCGCCTTGTTCCTGGTCTCCTTGAGCAGATCCCCATCTTGATATATGCGGGTGATGCTGACTTCATCTGCAACTGGCTTGGCAACAAGGCCTGGACTGAAGCCTTGGAGTGGCCTGGACAGGCAGAATATGCCTCTGCTGTCTTGAAGGATCTTAAGATCGAAGAGAATAAGCACAAGGGAAAGAAGATTGGCGAAGTTAAGTCTCACGGCAACTTCACCTTCGTGCGCATCTTTGGCGGGGGGGCCACATGGTTCCTATGGATCAACCCGAGGCGGGTCTGGAGTTCTTTAACCGCTGGCTCGGAGGTGAATGGTTCTAGATGATTAGATGAAGACGCATTAAGCACTATGATCCCGTTAGACATGCAGAATTAGGCTCCCAATTTGTGAACCCTATTTCATGTGTTCAGAAAGTATGAATATTCTCATGATTTAGTATTAGTAAAGTATAGAAAGTATATGCTTTGCGCAACAGTTCCGGTTGCAAGATGTGATTTGGGTCGATCGTTGTAAAGCTATACCTTTACCACTCCCGCCTTCTCTAGAGGATCAACGAGAGTCCTGCGAGAAGAGCGACAGTGGAACAGAAAACAATGAAGGTAATGTGGTACCTCCAGACTAAGCTGCCCATACCTACTACGCCAAATAGCATAAAATGGAATTTTTGATGATGTTCATTTCATATTGGTATGATTCTTTCACTTTTTTAGACCCGTGTTCTCTTATATTCAGGTCCCACAAAATTTCGTTAAAACACACCAACATACAATAAGAATTTCTCCCCCCTTTCCCAGAATCCACTCCAGCAAGTACGAAGGAACGAAATAGCCTTCCCGTATAGTTTAGCCCTTCTTCTTGCTGACACCGACGGTGCGGCCACGACGGCCGGTGGTCTTGGTGTGCTGACCACGGACACGAAGACCCCAGTAGTGACGCAGACCACGGTGAGAACGGATTTTCTTCAGGCGCTCGAGGTCCTCACGGAGCTTGCTGTCGAGGCCATTGGACAGAACCTGCGAGTCCTTGCCATCGGTGATGTCGCGCTGTCTGTTCAGGAACCAGGTGGGGATCTTGTACTGGGTAGGGTTCTGGAGGATGGTGACGACACGTTCGAGCTCTTCGGTGGTGAGCTCACCGGCGCTATAGGAGAAAGCAAATTCGTTAATTTTGGTTGTTCGGAGATATCAATCATGAATAAGTCTTCCTGTCGAGCGATTCCTCTTCTCATTCCCATTTTCATTGGCCGGAAATTATCGGATTAAAAAAAAAAAAAAAAAAAAAAAACCAAACATACCGCTTGGAAAGGTCAACATCAGCCTTCTTGCAGACCAAGTTGGAGTAACGGCGACCGACACCCTTGATCTGGGTCAAGGCGTACATGATCTTCTGCTTGCCGTCAACATTGGTGTTGAGCAGACGCAAGATGTACTGGAAGTTCGTCTTCTCGCCGGACACGAGCGCTGTAGTTCACCAAAAAGAATCGCAGTCAGCCATCTGTTTCTAGGACTTTCGCAAGACCAAAAAAAAACGCCATCCGAGTCGCTCATATCGTCCATGTCGTCGACATCGAATATGCCATCTCCTCCTATCAGAATTCCCAGAGCGATAGAAAAACAGGTAAAGGATCATTTCGGGAGTAGGACAGCACGTACACATGATGGGCGATGGCGCGACGGGATCGCGTTGATTGTCGACAGCGAGAGGGATGAGAAGGAGGTGAAATCGAGGGCTTCGCTGGGCTTCTAACTTTGCTCTCCCGTTGTGGGATCGGGTAAGTAGCGATCTAGCTTGAATTGGTATGGTGCGCTTGAGGGCTCGCTTGTGCTGCACTAGTCCAGGGTTGGCTGGTGTCAGTCAAGGGCACTAGACTGTTTAGGTGCATTGCACGTGATTCATGTGTATGAGTACAATACTCCGTATTTGGTGTTCTTGTTATTCTACTTAGAGAGCAAAAAGGAGATGGGTGGGTCGTAGCAACTTGTTCAATGATGACTCTGACTAGTTGTTAAGCGAACAGCTAGTACAGTATTATTCAGAACTTTACGATAGACGGGTGCTGCATCTGTTGGTGTTTTTTGAAAATAGTTTTGTAATTTAATATCTAATGTGTAATTTGTCAAAAACATAGCGTATCATTTCCTCGATGGTCTAACGGTCATGATTTCCGCTTGTCACTCAATAGAGAACGAGCGCGGGAGACCTGGGTTCGACTCCCAGTCGGGGAGTTTTCTTTTTCCTCCAATTTTTACTAACAACATTTACTAATAGTTATTTTGTTGCTTGTATTTGAAAAGGAATAGTAGTTAATAACTTGGTCTTGAAACATGCGTGCGTTAAAGGCATACGTAAATTAGTAGATGCTGGCTTTGAGGCTCAGAAGGTGGGGTGACTTGCCTTTCTCTCAATCTTTACGTTTTCCAATCCGTGGATGCCTCGAGGTCCCAAAATAGCTCCATCGTCAAAAACAAGAACCCTGTCTGCGAAATCAATTTGAGACGGCTTATGTACCCTGCTTCATCTGTTTCATCTTTTGTTTACAAAGAATGCCTCGTTCATTATATGGAATTCGTCAGCGACAATCACAGTCTTGTCGAATTCGCTTGCAATGTCTCGATTTGTGAGTGATTGATTGAAAATAAAATTGAGCATGGATTACTGGCTTCCTACGCTAGTAGTTTATTCCAACTTTATCCAGATCTTCGCTTGTGACAGGTGGGCGGTCCTGACCTATCTATATTCGCTTGGGTCCCCTGAAGCTTTATTGACTATCTATTGCTATGAGATCATGAGACTGTCTCGTCACAGAACTTCCATAGCCTACCGTCATCGATTCTTCAGATGTGACACCGGTATTCCGTGAAAACACAACAATCAATGATCGTATACTAGGAATTTCATTGTCCTGATGATATTTGGCCAGGACTACAAGTTTCCAGGCTCATGCTACTAGAAGAAAAAGTTGTGTTCCTTAAATAGTATCTCTTTGGCTCTTTGAAATCTGGTTCTTTAACAAGGTAATGAATGCTCACGCACCGGCATTTTACAATTCTGCCTTTCACTCGACTGTGACTCAACCTGGAAACAATATCCAGTGGATTATTGCGTTTTCTTTAATTCAATCTATGTTATTGAAGAATTCTTTAACCCTTAAGCCATAGTGGCTGAAGCGGACTCGAAATGCTTTGTATGACTCGATTGACATTCCAACATGGCCAGCGTCACTGGGGACAAAGGACACAATACATTCCATCAGGATTTCTCTACACTAATGTTCTCTTCACTAAGCATGGAATCCCAGCAAGGGCTTGACCAGGGTTCTGGGATGAAAGAACCACATACACAGGAGAGGCGTTTAGTACAATGGCCACGGGATAGCTGTGTTCTCAATGACTGGGAGATTGATTAGGCCCGCGCATATTCAATTCGGCGTCTTGGAATAGGTATAAGATGGAGAGTCTCTTTGTGTTTCGCTTCTTACATCTTGGGATGAGTTGCATCACCATCAGGGCCGCAATCCTGAGCATTTATTGAACTGAATTCCCGCGCATTTCGATGCCCTGGATAGACGAATTCACCAACCTAACCTCACACGTGCGATTAATATTGCCTGTTGACCGTTTCCCTCTGTTTTATCTCTCACCAATTTTCTATGGTATTTGTTTGAGTGACAGTTCTCTTTTGGCCAAGACCCAAAATGTCTTCAAATCGTACCAGTGATGACGAATCACTGCCCCCGGAAACCCCGCTGTTGTATCCCAAGTTCGATTTCGATGCACTGCCTTATCCTTCAGATAACTGGGAGTTTCTGGGAGAGACGGTGCTGTATGTCATACGCAACCGCAGGTTCCAGAAACTGCGTATGGAGGAACTACTCAGTCATCACTCTTGGGGCATGGATCTAGGTCTAGCGAGACGTGTGACCAATGACAAGCTAGCCAGGACCATTTGGAAGCTGTTTTATTATATGGCGCCTATGCATCGGCCTAAGTCGTACGAGGAACTGTTTGATTATAGAAGAGACGCTGGTCCTCGACTGTTGAAATGCTCGCTCGAAAACCCAACCCCTCTCCCGATCAGCAGGTACTACCCTCACCTGCCCTCGAGTAACCAAACCGTGGGACCACACTATAGGAGGCCTAAGGATGCTGCACGTTCCCAACCAGATGCGTACATCGAACAGATGCTATACTCAGTCTCCGAACGTCCAGACGATGGCGAAGATGATAGAGACGATGATGACGATGACGACGACGATGAAGACGATGGAGACGACGGAGACGACGGAGACGATCCAGATTATGAAAACAATGCGAATTTTAAAATCCCCCAGATTGACACGGAGTCATCCAGTCGCCATGTCAGCGTCGCTAGTCGAGCCAAAGACAGACATGCCGCACGACCTCTTGTGGCCAAAAAGATTGCAGAGGCCATTGAACGGACCATCATGAGCTTTACGTGTTCAGACCTTGAGCGCCATCCCACTGCTACACCACAGCAAGCGCGGCCATATAAGGTTGCAACCAGCCCGGATGACCTATTAAAAGCTGTTATTGGGTCTTTTCCAGCAACAGCTACGGTGAAACTCTCTGCGGACCCGAAAAACATTGATAATATGATAATGCATCATGATGGCTATAACTACCCATACCGAGGGCGAGGCCCTGTGTGGAGTAATAATTCAGCTGCCGTTGATTGTATTATTGTCATTGCCAGGTTCCTTGATGCCGGGTCAACCAATATCGATCGTTCAAAGAAAGGATGGCGCGACCTCTTCACCGCGCCGGAAAGGGCATTGATAGAAGCTGCTGACGCTAACTGGGATCTCTGCACCCCCAGTGAGAGTGCACAGTTGAGGGATCGTTTCTGGCAGGTGGTGGCTGAAGTAGACCCTGCTGTTCGGGTTGGACTAGAAGCTCCTCTGTGGAACATCTGGAACCTATCGACACATAATTTCTCTCAATTCCGGTTCACCTACAGCGAGACTGTGCGCCAATGCAGATGTAAAGCAGACTCGGGCGAGCAATCTGGTCAACAGGAGAAAATGAAAAGTTCCTTCGTGATTCCATTCGTGCTTCCCGAGGACAAGAAAGGCGTGACAATGCAGGAACTACTTGCTCGAACCTTTGCGCCTGAATTGACCTACGATTGCAGCGAATGCCGTTCTAGAAATTCCATCACCCGTATTCGAGTGCTAAAGGAACCTCCTGCGCGCTTAGTGACAACGCTTGATGGAAGTGCAACTGTTAGAAATCATAGCAAGGACATCACCTTTGAATATATCAATTATCAAGGTCAGCGCTTATTGGTAACTTATCGTTGGCTGGGAGGGATATATTACCGGAACAACCATCTTCGGGTCTACTGGAATGACAATAAACGAGGCGAAATGGACGCTGGGGAGATCCGTCTGTATGACAGTGTGATGAACCTAGGCCTCGTCGTTGGAGGCCTTCCGCAAGGCCACCGGGATGAAAAAGTACCAGCGCACTGGTGGGTCGGCTCCGCGATTCCTCTGCTGGTCTACGAGCGTGTTGATAACGTGGGTCTCGAAGTTCTCACTACTGCTATGAATACGGTGAAGTCAATGGCCAAGGTCGTTGGGACCAAAAAGCTTCTTGCCGAAGAGCTTGATTCCTGGGTGCGAACCGATTGCCCTGCAAATGCTCCAGATTGGCCTGATCAGCGGCTCCTGTCCAACGCCGGAGATCGTTTCCACGAGTCGCCGGTCCCATATATGCCAGTTCCTTTTGCCCCGCCTCCCGCAGATCCGAGGCCCCAAGGTGAAGTAGAAGATGTTGCCATGGCAGACGAACCTACGTTCTTGATGCCTCCAGCGACACCGGCCATGTCGATGCTGAATAGGCCTTATATTGTACGAACACCTTCCCCGCTCGATAATGCTTTTCTGCAGAGCCTGTCTCCTCCTAGCTTAGCCCAATTCCTTGGCCACCCTCCTACCGATGCAAGCCTCCCTGCGGGACCTTCCAGCGGGCCCAACATGAATAACAACATGAGCATGGACACCAGTACTCAAATCGACGACAACTCCTGGATGAATTTCCTGGACGTAGCTGCAATTAACCGCTCTCCACAAGGAACTTTGCTCTGGTTTCCGTCTCCTTCACAGCAACAGGGAACAGCGCTGCCCGACCAGCAGCAACAACAACAGCAGCAGGAAGGAGAGAAGACTACAGTGGAGACAGTTCGTTCAGCGCCATTGCGGGCACGTGGACCGATCATTCGTGTTATTCACGTAGAGGAGGATGACACCGATGACGGAAAGAAATCTAGCAGGCCTAGGAAGAAACAACAGGTCTCTAAAGCCTTGGCAACCATGAAACGCAAGCGAATGTGATATATTTTAGTATGAGATTGGTCTTATTGCTTCTTGCGATAATAGTTAATCTGGGAACCTGTCTTTCTTACTTTTTATAAGCTCCTTGGCGTTTCCCTCATTTTTTTTTTTACTTCTCAGTTATTGTTGATCAGTATTTGTGCTTTGGATGTGTCATTGAGGATGTTTGGCTACATAACTGTTATATCTGGAGTAACTATTAACTATAGTTAGCTCCAACCATCACAGCTACCATTCGATCAACCGATGCAAGGCCTTCCTTTGGCTCTGGAGTGACTGACCGAGCGAGGAAATAGCTGCAATCCCTGCGAAAAACCGACGGATTCTTCTTGTGTGTCTGGCTAGTCGACCAATGAAGGGGTTTTCATAAGTCAGAGCGGAGGACGCCGTCGCCTTCCCCGCATTGTCAGTTCCTTCCCCGACGATTTCTTCTGGTCTTTCTTCCTGGCCCTTCCCCTTTTCCCAACTTTTTCGCTCTCCTTTTGATCTGTGTTGTTTATTTCATTCTATATTTTCCATACTTGAATCAATCCAGACAAACATGCTTGGTATTCGAATAAACAAACAAGTTCTAAATCTATCAACAAAACAGGGCGGTTCTCTATGCCCTTCTTCTATCTACATGCCTTGAACAATCCTCATTAAACGCATATATAATCTACAGTCGTGCCCGATCTCCCCCAGTCTGGCTCTTTAGCGGTCCAGTAGGCGTATTACTTTTCTTCGGTGCGGACACGTATCCTCCCTTGATGTTATCCGTATTAATAATGGTGCCCTTCTCGTCACGCTTGATCCCAAGCTCGATCAGCTTAGCAAACACCTTTGCGAAATGGTCGAAAAACAAGTCCTTGTCTTCCGCATATCGCTCCACCCACTGTCGGAATGATGGATCGGTGATCAAGGAGATGTCGGTGGGAAGCATCATCAATGGTTCATCACCCTCTTCCGCGTCCGGATCAAAGTAGTTGAACTGCTGAACGCCGTTGGAGAGTGTGCGGGGCTTCCACTGCAGCTTTAGAAGCAACTTGAAAAACTGATTCGAGAACCGAGTTGGGTTGTTCACCCAGGGACCCTCGAACCCACTACGGTCGATATGGCAACGGCCCAGATTATGGCCACCAGCCAGTGCAACAATCTCCTGGTCGTCGAATCCCATGCGGTTGAAAATAAAACGAAGATGGTCTGCACCCTGCGCTCCGTCGGGCAACCGGCCACGGGGCGGTACCTTCGAATCGTCGACCAGATCGGTCCTGCCAGGCTTCCATTCGATTTTGGGTCCGCCCATCTCCTCGATGGCCACTGCACCTGCTAGCGTCCACAAATCGGCATATGTGATCCAAGGATTCTTTTCCTTCACCGGCTCCAAGAAAGCTCGTCCGTACTGCAGACCCGCGTTGGCTGGGTCGCCTCCCTCTGCTTCATATCGCATTCCGGCGCCATTTGAGCCACCCGTGTCGGAATCAAGATCGTAGGTACCCGAAGAGTGCCTGGGAGACGTTCGTCGGTTAGGACCACGGATTTATTGCAGAACAAGAAACAAAATCTCCAGGGAAGAGGTGCGAAAGGGAAAAAAACAAAACACTTACCATGCCAGGCGAACGAATACAGGGCCAGCGCTACCATCATCATAGTCCGGCTTCTTCAATTGGGCAACTATGTCCCGTCGCACGGCAGCATAATCCCCTGGTTTGCTCATCTCGGCCGATATTTTGTCTGGGGTAAACTGTTCGGATGGGTGGGTCGAAGAAGCAAGTACAGGAAAATTCAGCACCCCTGGTCTCGACGCGGCTCAAAAGCAATAGCGACAGAGGGAAGAGAGAAAAGAATGACTGATACCCCTGCGAAGAAATACCGACGGGATTGAGAAGACTTTGAACTCAGGAGGCGTTGCCATTCTGCTCCCACATGAAGAGAAATCAGAAGTGGATCCGCGGCATCGAATCAATAATATGGACTTGTGGCCGACAGTATCCAAATGCCGAGGTCCAATGTCCCTGACGCTTCCCACGGCTATCTCGACCATCAGCGCGACTTTGACCGGAGATAGATAATACGACGGGATTACTGTTTTCCAATTCGGGGCACCGTCTACGGCATTTCCCTTCCCATTGCAATTTGCCTTACTGGGTGCAGAGATGACTGGGATACATGATACATTGCGTAGTGATAATGGATGGCTCTAAAATCAAGCTCGAAAAAGATCTTTGCGGCTAACCGTTTTAATTTGCGTCATTCCGGGAAAGGTTTTCGTGAGCGAGATCTGGGCGCATCCGACCAAAGGCCGTCGATGTGAAATACCTCGGAACTTGAATTCCCGACTATAACACGCGATTATATTTCAGTTTGACACCACGATTACGCCGGATGCCCAGCAACTTCTGCCTGAATATTCTACTAAATATAAGCCAAACGTCTTACTGGCTCTCTACCTTACAGCGAGGGTATTGGGTCAGGAACAGGTGATTTAAATCAATCACAAGATGGTCCGAACAATTGATTTAAGGTTGTCGCCACTTGTTCCGCCGCTGATATCGACGCTTTTCTGACTGGTCCTGAGCGATCCACCCATGTGAAGATGATTGAGAACGCCTTTACTAATCTTCCGATCTGGACTTTGAGGGCCATGTTCCTCAAGGTTTAACGGAACAAACATATGAGAATGTCGAATCTTGATTGATTGGCACTCATTGCAAGGGATCACTCGCAACAGACGTCTCATTGGTCCGAACAGACTTATCTTCCCCTACCGCTCGTCTGTTGCCATTTCCCGCTATGGTGTGGAGGAAATCGCATTTGAAAACTCTCTTAGTGTATGCGAGCTCCTTGTTCAATTTCTCTACTCTCTTTTTCCACCGTCCATGCATTGCATCGGACCGTTTCACAAACTCCCCGAATTGCCTGCGCATCCATCTTTTCTCCCTTCGCCACTGTTTTGCCCGTCGTTGGTAACGTCTAATTGTGCGCCCCAGCATGCGACGGTGCGAGCCCTCGACGCGCGTGATGATTTGAATCACCTCGTCAATAGGAGCCGTATGTTTGGAGCTAAGGATTCCGCGATCGACCAGCTTATAGATGCGTATGAATACGCTGGAGATGTCATTGGCGATCGATCTTATGGTAGCACTTTTAGAAGCTGGCGACAGTGACTCTATGTCCTGGAGACGCATTGCACATGGACCGGGCTTGTTCATGGACGATTTTTTTCTTGTCAAAGTATGGTATCAAGTGTAGCTGTAGTTGGTCGTAGCGATGTATTAGAGGAAGCTACTAGAGGGTCGCAGAATTTAAGCTAGGTGTATGAAAGATTATTCTTGCAGGTAATCTGCGTTGATTGACCAAACAATGAACTATTCAGTACATAAGACAAGAAGAGATAAAATGTTAATACTAAATCTAGAAGAAGTACCGCTTACTTGCTTCTTCCTTAAAGGTCCATGACATCGAATATCAAACTTGTTTTCCTTAAAAAAAAAAAAAGAAGTCACAATCTCACCATTACTACCATCAAACAAAAACTAAGTGGAGGATGAAGGGGTGGGTATCTGCAGATTCTCTCTTTTTAGAACAGCAACAATTGCATCCCCTACCCCCCTTATCCCATCTTTCCCTCCTAGATCGGGCTTACGAATCCCTGCGTCCAACACTGCTCGGACTGCGTCTTTACCTGTCGTGCTTCGGTCTCCATATTTAGCGAATACCGGAACATGAGCACCACGCAGAGAATCATCGCAATCGGGTTGGCGATATTTCGGTCGCGACTCTGTTTGTACTTAGTTGACTAGTAGGTATCCGCATACAAACTAAACGTGATACAGACATTTTTAAAAAAATAAACAATTAATTGAATAAATAAAATAACATCTAGACAAATAGACAAAGGAAAAGAAAGTATATCCCAGTATGGATGTATTCATCGCAGTAGCAATCAACATGCTTGTAGGGTCTCCACAATATGGAGAAAGATACAAGGAGATCAACCAAGACACAGCTCAGACACAAATCCATCGTATCTCGCAGATCGGTTCATATAGAATAACTTATCTTGATAGTTATGCAACATCATGAGCAGCATATAGACCAAAGAGGCAGCCAGGGCTAGCCCTACCCCTCGTGTTTGCACTGTTTGTTTCCCTCTACTGTAGTAACTGTAATTGATGGCTTTAAGTTCAAGATTTCTGGATGATCGCATCGCTTACCAAACCACCATCCCTCTCTGCAGTCACCATGGCCCGGGTCGAAGAGCTCCCCGATGACTTTGACGAGTCGATCAACCTCAATGAGCAGCCCCAAGAGACAGAAATCCCGCCCGACAAGGCATTCACCGACGGTCCTCTCCCCACCACCGAAGATGAACCCATCTTTCCAATCAACGAGGAAAGGCTTAAGGAGATGGAGGAAAAGGACCCCTTAGCACCGAAAATGTCGCAGAACATGGCATCGGTACGGTCGCATACCATGGATGAACTGGCGGATATGTTGAATAAAACCCCACTGTTCATGACGGATATCAATAAAGCGGGTGATGAGAGTGAGATCTTCTTTTCTTCTCCCCTTTCGGGATAAGGGTCTTTAGTGGGCTAATGCGACAGTTTAGATGGGGAGAATATCATGTTGGATGCCATCCAGGCGCTGCAGAACGAAGGAACGCGCGGCGATGTGGCGCAGAATTTTAGAGAGCAAGGCAATGAGGCGGCCAAGGAAAAACGATGGATCGATGCCAAAGAGTTCTATACCAAGGCTATAGCTGTCTTACTGGCCAAGGAAGACAAATGGGATAAGCCGGAAGATGCTCAGGAGGAGGAGAAACTGAAGCGCCAAGTGGAAGAGGCTTCCTACTCCAACCGCGCCTTGTGCAATTTGGAGCTGGGTAGGTAATTTGTCCTCCTATTTTTGACGTGACTGGTGCTTATTTGTTAGGTAACTATCGGTCGACAACACTGGACTGTGCCTCCGTACTGAAACTCAACCCCCGAAATGTCAAGGCATTCTATCGTTCTTCGATGGCACTATTCGCCCTTGACAAGATCCCGGAAGCGGAGGATGTCGTGAGTCGCGGCTTTGCTCTCGATCCCAGCAACAAATCACTCCAAGGAGTAGCGGTGAAAGTGGCAGATCGCAAAGCGGCTCTAGAGCGTATTGCCGCCAAGAAGAAGGCCGAGTCGGAGAGAGCGCGCAAGGAAAAAACGATGCTGAGTACGGCTTTGCGGGCTAGACAGATCAGAACTCGCAAGACCGAGCAGCCTCCAGAGATGGAGGACGTAGGGATTCGTCTGACGCCAGATCCTCTCTCCCCAGAAAGCACCCTTGAATTCCCAACGGTGTTTCTGTACCACATGGATGCGCAGTCTGACTTCATTAAGTCCTTTTCGGAAATGAATGCCATCGAGGACCATCTTGATTACATTTTCCCCTTGCCATGGGACACGAAGAAGGAGTATACAGCAAGCGGCGTGGAATGTTTCATGGACACGGTGACTGGCGGGCTGATCAAGGCGGGGAAAAAGCTACCGCTCCTACAGATTCTCAGCGGAGGCAAGGTGGAGGTCGTTGATGAATTGGTCCGGATCTACGTCGTACCGATTTCTAAGACTGGGAAATTCATTGCAGAAATGAAAGCAAGGAAGGAGGGATGAACCTCTTTGCTTGCAGAGCTCTACCCTCCGGGCCGGGATGGTGCTGATGAGATACCATAACTGACCTAGGGTAAACAATGAATGCCGCCATGCTGCTGCTTGAGGGAGTGGTCTACGGACTATAAACACCATTCAGCAATCGGTTCGCCGCAGGCGCTGCCACGAGCCAACAGGTTGAATATATCTTGAACACTGTTGGCAGCTACACAAAGGTGGAGGACCTCAGCATCAGTAATGGCAGTTCTCAACTTCGGATGTCAAGTCTGTGTTGATCCTGGTTCGTGCAATTTAGTCAACGGACTGACTGTATATGCATGGTACTTGGCAAGTTCATGGGCCGACTCCCCATTGTATATAAACACATACGTACTTGATTTCTAGAGACCTCTTTATATTTCCCTTTCCGTTTTAGTGCTCACCCCTCGTCTGAGCGGCCTGAGCTGATCACTGAGCACGGACTGAGCAGAGGGGTGAGTAGCCTGAGCAAGGTAGCCTCAATAAAATGCACCACACTAGCTTTGCCAGTGAACCGGTTATCTTCCGTCGTAACCCTTTTCACTATTTTCCCCTTTACCTACTCAAACAAAACGATGGCATCATCAATGGAATGGGCAATTATAGTCATACCTTCTGCTCCACCTGCGAGGCAAAACTTCAGGTGGAGAGTAATAATCCGATGACTTCTCCCAGTACGAATGTCCATTGCAGATTTGTGGTGAAAACCCATCTAAGCCACGATACTGAACCTTCAAATATATAGAGCATGATAAGTTGATTTCTCTGTTTGCAAGGATAACTTGGTTAATCTGTATGCCTTTCCAAAGAAAACATTTCGCTTCTACTGTCATGTCTCTGTAATGGTCGCGCCCCTGCTTGAACCACCAAGTCTTAGCTACTATTAATTCCTACGAATCTGCGTTGGCCTGCATCGTCTCGGACAGGAGAGCGAGGCAGTGAACCAGAATCAGCCCTAATCATCCCATAGAGCAAATCAGAGTGAATTGACAATATGGTGGACTGCATGTACTAAACGAAGTTGCCAAGGGATGATGTGCAAGTTTGCTGGGTTCCTCTTGATGTGCGCGATGGCGACTTCACTGCCACCGGTGGTAAAGCACCGGTGTGTTGGTCGGATGCTTTACATATAACGACACTCCCCATCATTTCATGTCGCTAGCTATGGCCATCGCTAACTATGCTACCAAAGATGATGTCTTCCCATGGCAGGTGGTCGGCAAATCCGCTGGACTCAAACAGTCCATTGAAAAGGCAAAGTTGGCTGATCCCCCCACTGCGACGGACCTTCGCCTGTAATAAAAGGGTATGAGTAACTTTGCGCTTCGCTGTTTCAACACGCTAGCCCATGATCATGAAAGCGGAGTCCAGGTCGCCAGCACTCTCCTTCAATTGCCTTCCTACTGTACCAAGCACTACAACTTCGTGCGAGTTAGTCTTTGGTGGCTAAGACAACGTGCTCGTGCCATGGTTCAGTTGGAAGACTGTGATGGGACATCCTTAGCTCCCATAGTTGACGCAGAAGAAATGATGACCAAAATTCCCTGTTCCATTGACGATGCCATCTCCTTGCTGCGGAGGGTAAAGGGGAATGACGGTGAAAAGTGTTACACGAAAAACGGATAGTGGTGAACTCTCGTGTGGTGCATTTTATTAAGGCTGCCTTACTCAGACCACTCACCCCTCTGCTCAGGCCGGATTCCAGGGGCTAACCCAGGGATAATTTCGAGCGAGATGAATAATGCCGAACTCATCAACCATAGATGTGGGGACTAATTCGTGGGGCATACCGAACCGACACGAATTCTTTCCAGACCCTCTTTGCTGGTATTTGAAGCAGGTCGAGAGATGATGTTTCGAATAAAACTGTTTCTTTCGAGCAACCGCGTTACTGTCATGACCTCCTCGTGCAAGGAAGGCTTCGTCAGATTCTGAGACTTGGGCTGAAGCCGGCATGGCGGGAAGGGCGACCTCGGAGTCATTTGGTATTGTGGGTCAATGCTCTGGACGATAATGTTTTCAAGGTAATAGATCATACGCGCTGTATATTCAGTATGCGATCCCGCAGCGAAGAGAACGCTAAGTTTCCCCGTAGCTATACCAGTGCATGGAGGTGCAGCATGCCTCGGCCATTTGTTTTAACTACTCCAAAGTAATTGGAGACGTCTCCCAAGATCCCTATATTTTCGCAGCCACAACCCAGGAGCCCGTGCAGCACTGCTTTACAGACATAATAAAAGAACTTTGCCGCTATAACAGGGTTAGAGGTAGCCACACCCTCCGAATAGCAGCATCAGCGGCTGTCAGATATTACCTGTGTATTCTATCCCTGCCAGCATTATTACCAAGGGGTTTCGCAAGTCAGATAGCTTGATGGTGATCCAAAACGCAGGCATCCCAAACTGGACGATAATTCCTCGAATTTCGGAACGCATCATTAACCTTTAGGGGGCCGAACTTGGAACGCGCATTCCAATAGTCATAATGTTTCGTTAAGGGCGTTGAATAACGGGATTATCAAATTTCTGACCGGCTGCCACAGCTTTCACGGCATTTTGCAGCTGGTCCAGAGTTAAGGAAGCGATATCGTCCGCCGTTGACCTCCAATTTAGACGCTTTATAAGGTAATTGTTCCCCAACGAAGATTTTCGTAACTGGATCACATCGCATAGAAGATACATGAACGTTTTGTGTATTGCGAATCTACTTTAATGAGCAGATCCCAAAAAGGTCTTTGCTTAGGGGCTCTTACTTTCTCCTGTGGTGGAGGTCATCATTCCAGCTGAGACCGAAGTCTATTTTGCCCATGCGAAGAGGAATAGGGGCTTGCTAGCACAAGTGGTGAAGTGGCTCGTCGACAATTGCACAAAGCAATGCGAAACAATCTTTCTCAACCGTTCTCTCTCTTTTTTTTTTGGAGCATCCTTCATCACGAAGGCTCCAAGGGTTTGATATGCTTGGGCGGCTGATAAAACATCTAAGACCGACGGTTAACACCACGGTGGGTAAATCCTTCTCTCAATTTTGAGGGATTCGCGACTAGAAACCTTCGTCTAAAGCTGTGGAAGGCATCTGAGAGAGTAGCACTGGATTCATGCCTACTACTATTTAAGTGGTTGACACAGATTAATGGCTAGCTAGACAATAAAACGTTTAGTATCTCGAGTGAATGACAATGGACACGTCGATACCTTGTTTAAAGGCTCAACAAGCAGCTCTTCGCGAGTTGTGAATGATTTCTATTCTGCATCTGATCCGTAACGCGAATTTTAAAACTTGCCCCCTTAACATGGCATCCTAGTGAAGGCTAGCGATCTCTTATTTGATCCCGATTTCAGCATGGCCAAGTCGGGATGCTTGAAACAAGGCGTTGGTCTTAGGTGTAACTGGATACTGGCTTTCCCCATGACAGTCTCTTCAGGTTAGATTTTTGGCGGACGATCGAAGAACGAACATGTCATCCCCAGTAAGATTCCAGCATACACAGACCAAGCTGTCAATGAACGAAACTTGCGGTTGGCCATCTCTCCCAGAGCCTAAGCTTGTCCAATCGATTCATTCACAAATATAAACCCGTCAAGTATATTCTGCATAATACAGGACCCGAATGACTAACGGCCGCTTGGGCATTTCATACCCAATCTCTTTATGCTGACACCGAGAGGACTCTCATTAGCATTGCATGAATATCTTTGCCTGTGAGTGCCGAAAAAGGAGTGCTTCGTTGATGCAGAGGGCTCCCATTACTGCTGCTAAAAATGCGGGCAGGGTGTGTTGTCCTCGGCATGATACATCTCAGTGCATTGTTTGCTCGTCGAAATGCTACGATCAGCCAGTGGTAGGCAAATTAAAAGTCAAAGGGATTGACTGATCAACAGTGGATATACCAACCCCTATCGGTCTGGCTTGCAAGTATTTTGATTGAGATGATGGTACCAAACTATCTGAAGGAACAACAAGAGTGCCGGATATCGGCACCGGCGCTGTCAGTTGACATGGTTAGGCAGACGGATTTCGCCCGTTATCCGAGATAGTGTTAAGCTGCTTCGGAGAATCCTGTGCATGTCCATAGGCCGACATACATCAGCATTAACACATAGAAGCGTAGTAGCATATCCCTAACCTTCGGTGGAGTAAATTAGAGCGAGAGCCCGAATGAAAGGACATTTAGTTCCTTCTCGCGCTGCTTGACCTTGCGCGGAAGACGAAGCTGTAAAGTCTCTTTCATGCACCCAATAGCTGTTTGTCCAAGCCCAAGAGCAGAAGCAACCACCAGCTCATCATCCAAGTTTTAAAAATTGTCGGTAATTACCCCGCCTCCCGTCATCCTTAGTCCATACTGGCTGGCAAGGTCAGTCCCGTAAGCTAAATGCATCTCGAATTCGTTTTACTTTATGTGGTTTTTAACACTTCGCTCGAGACTATACCATACTTCTCAGAATATTGTCGAAAGTCGATTGTTTGGACAGTTAACAAGAGTCTTGAGATAGCCTCTTGAACTGTGAGAGACTTGTAGACATGCTTCCTATCTGTCCGGGTCACCATTGTTTTTTAAGACTCACATGAGGAGGGAGAACGAGGAAATAAGATCAGAAATATACCGGTATTATAGTTATTTCTGCGAGATTTCTACACGTTAGGCAGCAAAAACTAACGCAGGGTTGGCTGACCTGTTCGGGAAGAGGGGTTTACTTTTGAGGCAGTGCTGCCTAGGTTGTTGTATAGCCAATAATAACAATGGTCCCTGTGCCTGAGGATACCGAAATCGGTGGAAATCGACTGGAAATACAATGTAAGTCCAACCTAAAATACGAGGATGCTGGTCCTCATAATCTATTTATAAATGAGTTCAGATGCATCTCATCATTATCACTCCCGTTCTCCCCAAAGAGACTTCTGGGCCAATAACGAGCAGCTAATGAGACAGTTTGAGAGTTGTTATGCATCTGTCTTCATGTAATCACCAGCGGTATTCTGCAAGTATTTTGTGGGATCTCCGTAAACACTTACCAAAGATCCCTTTCATCCTCTAAACCCGAGACAGATGTCCGTTTCGACTGCTTGTTGACGGCCTTTGTGAGATACACAGCAGATCTCCGAAAGAAATTGCGGACAAAATCGCTAACACCTTTCACGAGTAAGACGGTGTATTGCAGCATCGATAGAACTGGGACAGAGAATCTGAAGTAATGGAATGAATAACTTGAAGCTACAGTTGCTTCTAGAAGGGATAGGATTGGTGCATTCGGATTCGGACTTATTGATACTTATGTTCTAGCCGCCAAGAATCTTGACTAGGTTAGATATTGGTCCCCAGCTAATCGAAACCATAGTGGAATTCCACTGGAACTAAGTGGACCCCTATGGCATTCAAACTAACAGTCCTTAGACATTGCTAACGGATAACTCTTGTAGATTTTGTCTAATACTCAATGAAATTACCGTACAAACTTTGTTTTCTTAATATATATCAGGTTTGAAAAGGCGTAAGCCAGAATAGAGCGCAGTCAACATAAGGGAACTCAATATAGAATGTTCAACATAGAGGGAGAATCAACGTAGAATGTTCAATATAGACAAGGAGTCAACATGGAAAGGTCGACGTAGAGTCAGATACAGTACCACCAGCTTGACCTATGTTAATTAAATACCGGAGAAAACCTTTTGATGGAACTCAACTCAAATTCATTTATAAGTTGTACCATTTCAGGAAAGGAAAGATGATTTCCACTGAAGGCTTTCCATACTTTCAACACATTATTTCCCGAAAAGTATCTCGCACAATGTGTCAGGGGTTGAACCCGTTGAACCTATAAGATATGCTATGCACAATGTTGAAGGAAGAAAGAAAGAGAAAAATGAGAGTCACGTGTTGGAGGTCGAGGTACAACGGCGCCAAAAAGGCCTGTAGGGCCCATAGGCGCAATAGGGACAGTAGGGACAGTAGGACAATTGGCCCGAGAGGTCAAACGCGCTCCAGCTCTTTACACAATATCATTAGACAGAGAAACCGCGAGCATGCTTCCTGCCCCTGACAATCCAGCTAGAGGATCTTTTTTGCCAGGATTGGGAGCCCCTATAAGCTTGACCATTCTGTTTCTCACCCAAAGATTGGCCCCCCTGAGGCGCTGCAGCGGGGGCTGTCCAGGCTGGGGTGGAAGACACCGCGGTGGAAGACGGTCTAGTAGGGACAATCGCGGTACTCGTAGGTGTTGCACCCCTGCCATTGTAAAGGGCTGGGCCTGGAATCACATAAGTGCGAAGGTTGTTGAAGATATCGACCAGGATTCCGGGATCGGTTGGCTTGTAAAACTGGGTAGCAGGAGTGCCTTTGGGAGTAGCAGTGCCACCCCCTGTCACCTTCAAGTTAATGCATTGTGGGTAAGCTTGTGCACCATTGTCTCCCATTGCGTTATGCAATGCGATGATCTCATGACGAAGGACATAGTTGCCCGCTGTGATATCGGAGGGGATGTTGACCGTCCAGGTATTATTGGCAGCCATAAGCTCATCGCTGGCCCACCTTCCGGGGGACTTGCTGTTGTCGAGAAGACCAGCCTCTCCAATTTTGAAAAACTCAAGCTTCGTTTTGTTCACAGAAGCGCAGCTCCCATTGCAGTTTGCAAGGTAGCTAATAACCTACACTGTTGTTAACGTTCTGACTATATTTAAATACTTCTGTCTCGGTTGTTGCCCGATTCCTTTAATCACTTACCGGACCACGGTGATCTTCAAACCATCTACTCCAGTGCAGCGTCACCTTGCCACCAGCAGTAACCTCCCCAGCGAGAGCACCAGGCTTAGCGTCCTGGTGGCAGATAATATTCGGCTGGTTGTAATCAAAGGTTTGAACATAGGCGTCCTGAGTATCCGCAGTTGACCATGCAATGAGGTCAGGGACGTTTGTTTGACCGGGGTATTTATCGACCAGGAACCCACCATAGGACTTGCCATCAATGTCGATACGATTAATGTGTCCATGAGCTGAGGCCAGACCAGCTGTGCCTAGGATGATGCATGCAAGTTTAGAAAGTGACATTGTTAGTAAAGAGTGACAAGGGCGCACGAAGAGTAACTTCAGTCAATAAAGTAAAGGGAAAAGAATAGTAAGAAGAATAAGAGAGCGTGTTGTACAAGATGAGGAAGAGAAAAGAAGACTTTAATGGGAAAAGAGAAGGACTTTATATGTGCCCAAAGTTGACCAGGCTTGTACTCCAGATTCTAACATTGTTAATAAGACCATGCCTTAATACATTCAAACCATGCAGTAGCCATAGCACATTGGCAATAGTTTCAGGTTAAGACAAGATCGACACAAGCGGTTCACTTAATAAATGAATTCAATGGTCCAATGGGGGTGCTGGCATCCATTGTTCCATGTTTGGATCATGTCTCGAAGAAATGCCAATGAAGTCCCCAGTCCTCATAGGCGCTTACATGGTTCCTGTTTGTGCATTTCTCATCCTGAAGACGAGAGGAGTAATTCTTATAATCCCACCCAACTGAGCCACGAGTACATAATCAACACTCAATGTGAACTCTCATAAAAACTTTAATTGCTGGGATTAACATACTATCCTGGAAGTATCTGTGAAAGTTTGGTTGTCTAGGCGCTAGTCTAGAGGTAAACCACTTGACTATAAAAAGGTACGAGACGGCTGATCGAGAAATCAGTCACATCTAGCGCGCTATATAGTAGGTAATGAGGGCATCCTTCCTAGCCCGAGTAATACTCTAGTTTTAACCCATGCCAGTATCCACTATAAGTGTCTTGGTTTCTTGTTAATATGCATAATATATTAAGTCTTTGACACAATGACTTCATTTATCTTGACCCTGATGATCAGGAGGAAGAAGGATCTATGGTCTCGTATTAATTTACTGGCTGCAATCTCCTCTAAGCGATCTCACAGAGAGTTATAATTACGCAGTAAGAGCATCAGTAACTTGTGTACTGTTGAAAAATTCATTATAAAGTTATGATCAAGGCTGCTGTAGCATGAGAAGAAGCATATATTAGCTATCATATAATAGACAGCCAAGGCAATCTCTAAATAAATGCGACCTACATAATTGTACTACTCATTTTCCTCAGTTTATATTTCACTGGCTGACTTTAACTATACTCCGTAGAGGATGATGGATCAGATATCGTGAAACAATCAGCAAAGGAACCAACCCATGGAAGTTTCAAATTGAAAGGCTTTTAAGGTAGCTCTAGACCTTCGCACAGCCCGCCAAGATGGCCTGTTTGGCCCCCAAACCGGACCCTTTTTTTTTTTGACAGCCAGCCAAGAAATAAATTACAGTAATGTATACAGTGCTTTCTTAAGATTATATATAGATACTTAGATAGTACAAAACTATTACTGTAATTTATTTCTTGGCGGGCTGTCTTGGTGGGCTGCGGGTGAGTACGTCCCCGCATGCCACGAGGTCTAAAGGTACGTAACTGCTTTTTTAGCTTCAGAACTTAAATCGTTCGAAGGTTCCGAAGAACCTTATGCTGTAAAGAACCCTTATATCTCTACAATTAAAATGGTATTAGAGAACGATACTGCAATAATTGCGACATGTAATTCCCAACTAAAAATTTCACCATCCAACTACTTACCTTCCTAGTCAAGTAGTAATTATTATAATGATTGTAAGCCCAGCTGTGCGCTAAAGACCACTATGTGTCAGGTCTTAGACCCAAGAGGTATGGCTTAGGGCGCTAGATGCAACCGATCGGGAGATCAGTTGTCTTTGTACCTTTTTGGTCGAGCGGTCAACCTATACTAGCGTATAGGTAAAACTACCCCGTCACTATGTTTGACTCAAACTGCTGCATACGTACTTGATTTTCTAGAGACCCCTTTGTCTTTCCCTTTCCATTTTAGTGCTCTCCCCACAGACTTCAGGTATCCAGTTTGACACACTATGTATTTATTTCTTATTCAGAGACCACCAGCAAAAGTGCCTTGCGCTGATACGGTCGAGAAGTGGGCCAAAGGGGCGGTAGATCCGAGAGTTCTCACCTTTGAAGACCGTCAGAAACTGCTCTGCCGGCATCCCTATGCTGAATCTAATGCATTTGTGAGAAACTTACTGGCATGGATTTTAACACGCTGGTCGAGAAGGCAGCCCGCACAGATGAGCTGACATATGTGGAAGGTTGGCTTGTTTCGCATGGTACAGCCTATTGGATGGAGACGGGAAATAAGGAAATGTTAGATGTAATCCGGTGGCCTGCTGATATTCGCGACAAATATCTACTCGCTTTGGATGTCATCCAGACGGAAACCGACCGAAAGGCGAGGAAGAACGGTAATATCGCTGTTGAGAGATATCAGCAATTCCTGGAGGAACGTAGGAACCAGATATCCGTGGACGACCGCAAGAATACCCGATGGGTCAGTTGGTTCCCGTGGATGCATGAATTAGAGAAGCGGCCAGAGCAATTTTAGGGCTTTGTCTGCTTTCGCACCTCATTTCAGGATGATGCGGCCTGGAGACATTTCACCGCCGCGGTCGATCTTAGTGTTAGTATGCTGCGGAGTGAGGCTTTGGGGCACCTAATTATCTGCAACAGCGCTGGAAGATTCAGTGGGTGAAGGATCCGACACTGGATAATGCTATGCTTAATGACCTCTGTCAGTACTTCCAACAATTGCGGGACAAGAATAAGATTGAGCCGGGGCTGAGATATGATACCTTCCTATATGCCAACCAGGCTGCTATTCAATCATCTTTGGACCATTTTCCGTTACCAGAGCGTGGCTTTGTTATGACCGCTGATCCTTCTCACAGCCTAAGTAAACTGCCATTTACCCGCACGGGTTCGAGTGCGAAGTCGTTGTCGCTCTAACGGCCGTCTTTACTTGTTTCTACACTCAACTGGTTCCACGGGGGTATTCTAAAGATGATACCACCATTACACGGGAGGTACGACAGAGCTGGGACGTGATTTATCTTAAGTCGACAAAAGTTACCCTCCTATTTCCTCTCTCAACCGGACGTAGAACTTTCAATGACATTGATAATGGTTGGTCAATGATGATACATGGTCGCTGGCTAGAGCTCGGCACAGATATCTACAGATCAAATTCTGCCATCCTATATACAGTGATACCCAGGATAAGACATAGGGGTGGTGCTACTGACCAATGTACCAGTCGAACGCCGATAATACTTTCCCGTGGAGAGAAGACGTGGGAAGAAATGGTCGCTGCACATGTTGACTCATATAAAAGGAGTATACCTGAGTTCAAAGTGTCACCACAATCACGCGGCGTCTTGGCTAGAAGGTCTACAGCATTGTAGGGACGACTCGTCGGCTTAGTATTAGATAGCTAGGTAAGATTTTCGATCATATTTACACCCGAACAAATTTCTCCACATAAATATACCCTGCACAAACTGAACCATATGCCTCTTTGACTCCTGATTAATTATCAAGTTACTTTGAGAGGCGAAACTAATTAATATGTTCTACCCTGGCTGATATTAGCAAACGCTCCCAACATGCATTCGGCTCTGCTCGAAAAGAACACAAAAGAAAAAAAGAGAACAAAACGAGGTCAACACCTAATAGTTGAAATAATAGGGCTGGGTGCAATTTCCAACATCGGTTCCAGGGACCCCGACAATGGGAAGTGGCTGGTGCTGCTGGTTCTGAGGCTGGCTAAAATGTGGTTCGCTATAGTATCTCAACGGAAGCGATTGTGTGTCCAGGGAAACGGGGTGGGAATTCTCGTCCTGAAACATAGCAGCGTTGGGCATATCCAATGGGTATGGAGTCTCTCCTTCATGGGTCCGCTTTTGACTGTTTAAGGGCGGCAACGAGGACGAAACACAGTTATTCCACATTGTAGGCAAACTGGTATTCAGTGTGCTAGTATCTTTACTGTTGTCAATAGTTTCGATTGTCGGCGCGCTTCCAGTGGTCGGGAAGACAGAAGTGTGAGACTCCATGTCAGGAACCGCTCTCCTGTAGACCGGGTTGATATCCGATTTAATCATAGTGTTGGTGGGAGACCCTACGTTCTGAGCATTGCCGACGTCTGGAAGGTGCACGAGAGACACGTAGACAACTGCTTGTCCGTCTATTGAAACGTGAGGATAGTTCTTCGATCGGCAGCAATATCGTGGGACTTACCGGTTCTACCGCTGAGGTACCTTTCTTCCTCCTCTCGGACGCGATAGATTTCATCCAACACTTGCAACCGCTCGCTGGGCATAATCTGACGCCGGATTGACTGATCGGCTTCCTTCAGCTTCTCGACGCATATCGCGTGACTATCTCGCAACTCACACAGAATGTGAACCAGGAGCCGGATTCTCTCTGTAAAGGGGTTAGGCAACGTCTAGACTCAGGCAAAATTGAGACACACCAGATTTGAGGAGATGGTCAGGCTCGCGATGGGTGACACCGGATGGCCACCATGTGGGTTTGGTCATCTCCGGATCAAACTGCTGAGAAATTCCAGAGATGATCTTCCGGCCATTGTAAGGGTAGTTTACCTGCTTGCGGGGCTCGACAAGCTTGATATATGCCTTGGCCAGTATTCGGCAATTGATCTGCTGCAGTCCTTCAAACCCCTTCTCGTAGTATCGTCGCAGCAGGTTGCGGTCCTGCACCGGCAGCATGGTTTTCTGGTGGCAATTGATACTCATTTGGACGACGCACTCGTGAGAGACACACTTTTTCTTGGATTGATGGTTATCCGGGAGCCTGCCACGTCGTTAGACCTCCATTTATCGATTTACACAACTACGAAAGCTCTAACCTCGAGGAACAACGAGTCAGATCGTGATCTAACGACTGTGGTGACAGTGGGCTTCCTCCCCTTGTGTCTTGTGGCTTTGGCACCTGGGAGTCTGCTTTCACCTATTAACCCGAATTATGATATCCAGGGGGGCACAGAGAATTACCTGGAAGCGTTGAGGCGTCACATCTGCTCGACGATGCCACGGCTCTCAAGAAACAGTCGGTTACGTTTGGAGATAAGATTTCTTCGCAATTATTCGCAATAGAAGGTGAAGCTTGGAAGCGCAGTTTTCCGTTCTCGTCTAGGTAGATGAGAGCAAAGTGCATATATCTCGATCCGTCTAGCGACGCATCCATAGAAATAGACGCCTGTGTCTGGAAGTTTGTCAGTATTTGCGCTGTTCTCCACGCCCATACCTGTGTTGGAGTACCATGGGGTGTGGCTGCAGTGACCTATATTCCAAGAGCTTGGAGTGACTAACGATCCCGTCAATTAAATTCTCTTGTTGCCAATCAGATATGGAGAGGATGAACCTACACTCAACAAAGTTCTTCAGAGAGGCACGGGGCCCAGCATTCTAAGATGCAGCAGTAAGTCACCAATGTGCGGCTCCACAAAAAATAAGCTTATAGGACCTTCCTGAGGCGTCTCCTTTTTCGAGACGTCCAACAGCGCGTTTTATATGCGTCCGGGCGGCAAGCGAGCAACCCTAGGTGGGGAAACATAGGGGACGGAAAAGAAAGAAAGGAGAATTCAGCTTCTCTGGCAATGATTCTACAACGTATTGAAACTGATCAGCCCAGATTTGTGTCACTAATGTGCATGGCCATATGTGGCACAACATTTGACAGGATCTCTTCCGCTCGGATGTATTGGGCGTACAAACTACTGCCTTGCTGCATTATTATCGCCTCCAATGATCAGCTGCCTAGGCAAACGAAACCCAAGATCTGATCGTATTTGGATCACACTTTCAGGGCACATACATGGGGAGCAGAACTTACTTTCTTTTACGTTTAGCCGTCAGTGCCCACTGTTTTCGTTGGCGTCGCCTAAACTCTAGCCATTCTCAAGCGAAGTCACAGGCCATTATGCTACTCCGTACAGTTCCAAAAGCTCTACAGTTTAGGGCAACTGAAGACAGGGAGACTTGTTTTGATGTAGTTTTCCTGTTTTAAGGTTTTAAGGGAAAGTTAGCGTATAATCATGAGCAGCTTGGATGTCTAGATTGGATATTGTTGGTGAGTACCCCGTACTCCATGCTGTGGGGTACGTATGTCCGGCTATGTCACTTCTCCAATATGCTTGCTTTTTCCCCTTTTCGATACTTCTAATTATTTTTCTGTTCGCCACCTGAGACTCCTTGCCTGATACATCGGGCATCAGGCATTGATGGATGTACTGTGCCTCCATACTGAATACTGCATTTCATAGAACCAGATCAATATAAGGCCATCCATGAAAAGAGACCTGACACCATGTCTTACAAAGAGACAATACCATACGTGTCTCACTTTACATCCACAGAGACAATGCAGATTCTGACTTCAATTGACGTAGGTGGTTTGTCTCTTGCCCAATCCGACTACGCACTAGGAGGATCAAGTATTGCGGAGAGAACAGGATGATGCAAGTGAGACCTGGTGCCGGCGGAAAACGGTTGCGAGTAAATAGATGGCTTGGAGCTAGTCATGACCCCTGTTATTCTATTGATGCTGCACGGCTAACTCAACCATTGCCGCTGTTATCCACATGGCGAGACCTCAAAAGTTAATCACTGACTCGTAAAGTCTGGACTCGTCTAGCTTGACAGTCTCCCGTGCCAACCCGACTATACGAATATATTTACGGGAGTGGACGATACCTAATGGTGTGTGTGGAGTACGTAGACACTGGCCACACCGAGACATGCGCCTTTTTTCCTGGCCTTTTCTTTTCCTTGGACCTTGCAACGTACCTAGCACCGGTCTTCGAGCCATTCAGTTCGGCTCGGTTCCGGGAATGCTAGTTACTCTACGGAGGGATTACGAAATTTTATTGACCATCCAATCTGGACGTTTGGCACTCGATACTCCACTGTCTCACTTCCTGAGGTGATAAATCACCTCTTGATAGTTAATTCATGTCTTCCGCCTGTTCCATGTGGAAATTTGGTGGTGCAGTATTGAACAGGGTTGTTGCTGATCGCCCAGCGAATGACCACTGTTACATGCAGATGGTCATGCTCACCTCCGGATTTCAAAGGCTCGTCTATACTTATTGGTTCTTCTCGATAATATTCGCTCCGCCCTTAGCGCGGGAAGAATCGTAAACTCTTTGTACCCATCCGATATGGTTTCTTTCCTTATTTTCCCCTCTTTTGTTTTTCAAAGTCATCCACGGAGACAAAGAAGGGGGGAGGGGGGAGATAGAGAAATGAAAATAAAAATAGAAAAAATAAGTTCAGCGGGGCAGCTGCAAACTCGATGTGTCAGCAATCATGTATGTACGTATGTACTCTGTACTCCGTAGGTAGCATGGCGCTTATTGCATATAGAATATGACCCGTCGCCGTGTCTCAGACGACCTCAGAATAAGGGTCCCCGGATACAGTTTCCGACTCATATGGGTCCCATCCCATTGGTACCGATGTGAAGCGGAGCATGTGGAAAATAGTAATGGAGATGACCGGACTCGATAGTCCATGACCACTACCAGATAAAGTATGGAAAACCCTGGAGGGAACCACTCTGCCTCACTTTAAAACTTCCGATGTGCGATGGCTGGCTAGACGCAGATCACTGGACAGGTAGAGCGCGCCCAGTTCTAGGTTTCTAGGTCTATTTGGAAGAACTGGCCAGATTCTTACCGTGTTTCTAGAAATAATGAAATGCCAACAGTACCTTACTGTCACTGAGTCAACAGGAAGATAGGAATAACTAGCAGTTAGGAGAAATGCCAGCACATACATGCTGTACATGATCACTTACCTGTCATGGAAGCCAGGATGAGGACCATTCCCCAGTACTTTTAACTCCGACTATTGCGAATAGTGCCTCTCGAGTCATGGATACATGATGGAGACAATATCTCGGGAGTATTGAGAGACGGAGGCCACTGACATGAGTGAGATCAACCGCACCTATGGCATACAGTATGGAGTACTATGCAACATGCTCCGTGCATATACGTATGCCTATAATGATTTGATTTTCAAGCAATTAAGGCCGAGACCAGCCCTTCTCTTCGCCTCCTTATTCATAGCAGGACGTCCGGACATGGACACCTATGCAACGTTTAATCAAGCCTTAAACCACTAGGACGACTATCGACTCCAGCCCAGGTCGGTCAACGAATAGGGTCCCCTTGCCATTTTCCCTGGGGCCGAGACTCACCTACCGACGGGAGATCTACGAAGTCAATCTATACCGTCCGGAGTCCCCGTAGATACATACATAGTCATCGTACTATGTAGTAGTCAGGGTTGGTCCTGGTGTGTCCCCCACCCACGACAAGGAAACCGAGTAACCAGGCTAAGCGATAGTCCATGTGATGTGTCTCCCGATCGACACCGAAACGGCGGCGGTGGAGAGGGTCTTGTCTCATCTTTCGTTCTAGGACTCTCGACCAGTTGTTTGATATTGGAGGATGCCTGAGGTGTGCATTGTCAGTGTTCTCTGTAGAATGTCACTGTTCCGTCAGTACGTCGAAAAATACCAGTCAATCGGGGGAACTCTATGGCCAAGTTATGTATAATTACATGTATTGTGCATATCATCCAGTACCGTACCTTCTTTTTCTTTCCAATTCTCCATTGAGATTTCCCATTCACCTTCACTCCTTTGGCCTGCGTGTTCTCTTTCCATCTCTTCAACTCCCACATTCTCTCTCTCATCATTCCAACTGACGACCTTCTCTCCCTGGCTCTCCACACTTGGCATCATTCCGATCATTCTAGTCCTACCTGCAGGAACGCTCTCCCTCCCCTGATTGATCGGGGACGACCTGGCACTCCACCGGCCAGAGTCCGCCTGAGTCCGCTGCATTAGTCTGTCCACCCCAAGGCTGATCGCGCTGGATCCGACCAGCAAATCTCTTTCTTTTCCTTCCTGTCCACACACAGTCGATCCATGTTCTTGCGACCTCCTTAATCTCAACTAATCTACGGACTACTGGGTACGACGTCCGCTAGTTAAGTCTAATTAATTTCTCTCCTAGACTATTACTATTATTTACCGCCCATCCGCCAGCGTCAGCGTTTGGGCCTGCCTCCTCGGTCCTATCTGCCAATCATCATTACGGTCTCCATCGTTCCTTTTGCCATTTACTATTTATTTTTATTTCCTTCTTTTTTTTTAAAAAAAAAGAAAGAAAAAAAGATAAGAATTTTGTTATATATATTTTTTACCTAATTACTTCCAGAACACTTCGCTCTGGGGTATTCTATTCCCGCGAGTCATTACAGACTCCGGATTTTGAAACACTCGGATCGATCGTTGTCCGTGCGGTTTTGATGGCAGAACTTTGACGAAAACTAAGAGACAATAATAATATAATAGCAACGGATTAGAAATTACCGTTGATATTATATTATTGAAGCAGGTTTATATAATTCATACTATTTAAGAAAAGGAGAAAAAGAAAAAAACAAAAAAAAAAGTGATCTAAATCAGCGATCAACGTCCACCATGGACCCCAATGCCCCCGGCTACCCTGTGCAGCAGCACCCCTATCCTGTCACGCCCCAGAATCCACAGGGTCAGCAATTTCCTTTCTATCCGAACGCTGGTTCCTCTTTTCCCCAGCAGAAGAATCCCTCCCATCATCCACACCAACAACAGTCGCTCGGTCCCGTGCCTATACAGCCCGGTCCAGGTGGAGCTATGATGCCGCCAGGCTTTCCGCAACATTCGTCCGGTACGTTGGATCGTCTTCTTTTTTTCTTTTTTCTTATTTCTCTTTCTTTCATGCATTCTTTCTCTCTTTCTTCTCTTTTTCTCTTTTTAGAAATTATTATTTGATTTTCTTTCGTTTCTGTTTGGATTGCGTCGCGAGATCAAATTCCACGGAAGGGCACGGCATCTGGAGGCTTCATCCTTAACCCAATTAGGCCAGGCTCGCATAATTCTGGTCTAATGGTTTTTGGATAGAGGCTCTCCATAGTTCTTCACCATCAGACGGCACTTCTCTCCCTGATTTTTGCTTTGTTCCCCCTTGAGCAACAACGTCGGTGAGGAAGCCGCTAACGGAATGCGTGATCTTCCGCCGAGCAGGACCCCACGCCAACTTCTCTGCGCCATTCACCCAGCCACCTGTCCCGACTACGATGGGCCAATTTTTACCACAGCAGACAACCTCGGCGTCAAATCTTCCCACCACTACAGCTCAATCCTTCTCTCAGAACATCGCCTCTATGTCGATGAACGACATGGCCTCTACACAGCAACACCGACCCATGCCCCAGCCAAATCCATCCCAAGCGCCCTCCCAAGCGGCCGCTCAGCCCCCGTCGCCCGCCGCGTCTGCGCGGGAGAGAGCTCGCGTCTCTATTCTTCTCGACATCAACTCGATGTTATTGCAGGAAGTGGTGAACCTGCAATCTGCAGGGAAGGCGGGAGGTCCACCCGCTCAGCAGGGTTCACAGGACAACCACCACGCGTCGGATCAGATCGCCGACGCTACCAAGGGCCCAGTCCAGAAGCCTAGCTCGGAATACTTCGAGTGTATGCGACGGCTACAAGCCAACCTGGCTTACCTAGCGACCGTTGCCGACCGGGCCAAGAAATCTGGCGGAGTGCCTCCGCCTAACCCAGGCATCATGACACCGCCTCCGCACATGCCCGCCATGAACGAAATCTATAACAAGCTCAGTGAGCTTTTCCCCCGGACGGCGCAGGGCACCCCTCACCAAAGTCCTCAGCCCACACACGGCAACGGCAAACCGAGTCCCTCATCGACTGCTGAGCCCGTTGTCTGATACGCGTGAGGGCTCCGTCGACTGAGAACTTGCGTTTCACCCCGACGGTAGCTTGAAGGAACTTTCTCAACACGAACCGAATGAATAGGGCCGCTTGACGGTATCTATATGGCGTCCTGCCGAAATTTTTTCCGGCCTCGGATGCGAGTACCAGCCGTTAATGGGAGGAGAATCGTAGGTCGCTGACCCCCCACGCTATTCTCCGACATCCTTCATTCTTGCGAAACCCCTTTCTGCATTGTGTGCACAACCGGATGCCATACGCGCAGACGTGATCAGAATATATGCGTGATACCAATAATCCCTCGGGTAATCGCTTCCAGAAAGGGAGTCTATCGACGGAAAGGGCGTTATCTGTCTAGTCTTAGGCGTTTACTCGGCCCTGTCCAGTTGTGGGAGGAAGAAAACTAGCGATTCGAGTTACAGTCGGAGAGGAAGAACTGTACCTAATGGGATGGAAGAATGTTTTGTGGATTTATTGTGTATAATACGTCTGATAGAAGCGGGACTATATAGCATCCATGGATGACACCATATAGGGTGTGATCGATGGTCGACACTTGCACGTAACCTTGCACCACCTACGGAGTAACGTATCCAATCCTTCTCCCTCCATGTAGCAGCACTCTATTGTCAGTTGATGCTATCAGAAGACTATCTATGGTCAAAGGATGTACGACGAGGATGAGAGGGAGGGTGATGGTCCAATCAGCAGCCACAACGCCGCTTTCCGCTCTCGTTGTTTCGCCTGACCTTTTTTTTTTTTTTTTTTTTTTTTCTGTTGTCCTCCCTTCATCTCTGTCGTCACTCCCTCGTCCTTCGTCCGTTTTGTCGGGGGATCTTGTGAATTGGATGTCTTGTGTCTGGATCCCTGTGTGCAGAAGGAGCTTGTCTGTCGCTGCTGCTACTAATCATCCTACTAGTCCATCTGCTCTTGCCGTTGCCGCTACCTCATCTACTCCTGCTGCGGCGCCTACGCCGACCCCTTCTTCTTCGTCTTCTCATCTCCCTTTCCCTGCGGAGTCGAGTCTTGCCCGCTATTCACTGGTTCCGTGGTCGCCCATCCCTAGTGTCCGTCCTACGTTGACCACCTTCCCGGATCCCCGTCGTCCGCTGGTCGATTTTCACGCAAACTCGTGGTCAGGCGTCTTCTTATCGGCCGCTGGCAGCGTCAACCATCGAAGCCCCATCCGATCGCTTTCTTCCCTCGTGCGCTCCGCTCGCACTCCTCCAGCCGCCTACAATACAGCTTTGTCTCGGAAAATGGATATGAATGGAGAAACGGGCCCAAAACGTAAGCGCAGTGCCATCGCGGCACCCGCCGAGCGTCCATCGAAACACCTGAAGCCCGAAAGCTCGACATTAACCCCCGGAGACTCGACCCCCGCCAACGGCACCGTCTATGACATCGAGGACGAGGAGGATGCCAGTCGGGTACTGACCATTGGACCTGCTCAGGCGGATTCGCCAGAGTGGCAAGCTACCATTGAGGAGGTAGTGAAAAGTGTGGTCTCGATTCACTTCTGCCAAACATGTGCCTTTGACACGGAACTGTCGATGAGTAGTCAGGCTACGGGCTTCGTGGTCGATGCCGAGAAGGGTTATATCTTGACAAATCGCCATGTGGTCTGTCCCGGTCCTTTCTGGGGGTATTGTATCTTTGATAACCATGAGGAAGTAAGTGGGCAAGCAAGCAAGCAATCAATCAATTAATCCGAATTTTGATTGAATCCTCGGACAAAGGGACATGGCGCTGATTGATTATAGTGCGATGTTCGTCCCATATATCGGGATCCAGTACACGACTTTGGTATTCTCAAATTCGACCCCAAGGCGATTCGATATATGAAGTTAACGGAGCTGAAGCTCCAGCCGGCTGGGGCTCGTGTGGGTTGTGAGATCCGTGTGGTGGGTAACGACGCCGGCGAAAAATTGAGTATTTTGTCCGGCGTCATTAGTCGGCTTGACCGAAACGCGCCCGAATACGGGGATGGCTACAGCGACTTTAATACCAACTACATTCAGGCCGCTGCAGCCGCCAGTGGCGGCAGCTCGGGCAGTCCTGTTGTGAACATCGACGGTAACGCCATTGCTTTGCAGGCTGGTGGTCGTGCAGATGGGGCTGCAACTGACTACTTCCTACCGTTGGATCGCCCGCTGCGTGCGCTAGAATGCATCCGTCGCGGTGAGCCCGTCACGCGAGGCACCATTCAGACCCAGTGGATGCTCAAGCCTTTCGACGAGTGTCGTCGTCTGGGCTTGACTCCCGAATGGGAGGCCACTGTTCGCAAGACGGCCCCCGCGGAGACGAGCATGCTAGTGGCTGAGATCATTCTGCCCGAAGGTCCTGCCGATGGGAAGCTCGAGGAGGGCGATGTCCTCCTGCAGGTGAACGGGAAGCTGCTCACCCAGTTCATCCGGTTGGATGACATCCTGGACTCGAACGTTGGGCAGTCGGTGCGTTTGCTGGTGCAAAGAGGCGGTCAAAATGTAGAACTGGAGTGCCAGGTGGGCGACCTGCACGCTATTACGCCCGACCGCTTTGTCACGGTGGCCGGAGGCACCTTTCATAATCTGTCCTATCAGCAATCGCGGCTGTATGCTATTGCCACTCGTGGTGTCTACGTCTGTGAGGCCGCCGGTTCCTTCAAGCTGGAAAACACTCTATCGGGGTGGCTCATTGATTCGGTGGACAAGCGCCCGACTCGCGATCTGGATGAGTTTGTCGAGGTGATGAAAACCATTCCCGATCGCTCCCGCGTGGTCATCTCGTACCGCCATATCCGAGACCTACACACGAAGGGGACCAGCATTGTGTACGTCGACCGACACTGGCATCCAAAGATGCGGCTGGCGGTCCGCAATGACGAGACCGGGCTTTGGGATTTCTCCGATCTGGCCGATCCCATCCCCGCTATCCCTGCAGTACCACGGAAAGCCGACTTCATCCAGCTCGACAGCGTGACCCAACCCGCCGCCGCAGAGATCGTGCGCAGCTTTGTGCGGGTGTCATGCACGATGCCCTTGAAGCTGGACGGCTACCCGCAGGCCAAAAAGACAGGATTCGGGCTGGTAATCGATGCCGGCAAGGGACTGGTGGTGGTGTCGCGAGCCATCGTTCCATACGATCTCTGTGACATCAACATCACTGTGGCTGACTCGATTATCGTCAATGCCAAGGTGGTCTTCCTGCACCCGCTGCAGAACTACACCATCCTCCAGTACGATCCCAACCTGGTGCAGGCGCCCGTTCAGAGCGCCCGGCTTAGCAAGGAATGCATCAAGCAGGGCCAGGACACCATCTTCGTGGGGTTCAACCAGAATTTCCGCATTGTGGTGGCCAAGACCGCTGTCACCGACATTACCACCGTCTCGATTCCGGCCAATGCCTCTGCGCCGCGCTATCGGGCTATTAACCTGGACGCCATCACGGTTGACACGGGTCTCAGTGGGCAGTGCTCCAACGGGGTTCTGATTGGTGAAGACGGGGTTGTCCAAGCCTTGTGGCTGAACTATCTCGGGGAGCGCACGCCGTCGTCGCACAAGGATGTGGAATATCATCTGGGATTTGCGACACCTTCGTTGCTGCCTGTGACGTCACAGATACAAGAGGGAGTGATGCCCAAGTTGCGCATTCTAAACATGGAAAGCTACGTGGTGCAAATGAGCCAGGCCCGCATCATGGGTGTCTCGGAGGAATGGATCCAGAAAGTGACACAGGCCAATCCGTCGCGGCATCAGCTCTTTATGGTCCGCAAGGTCGACTGTCCTCCGGCCGGCTTGACATATTCTTCGACCGAATCCTTCCAGGAGGGAGATGTGATCCTCACCTTGGATGGGCAGCTGATCACGCGGGTGTCCGAGCTGGACATTATGTACGACAAGGAATTTCTGGAGGCCCTGATTGTGCGGAACGGACAGGAGATGCGGATCCAGGTGCCAACTGTGCCCACTGAGGATCTGGAGACGGATCGAGCCGTGGTCTTCTGTGGTGCCGTTCTGCAGAAGCCGCATCACGCGGTCCGTCAGCAGATTTCCAAGTTGCACAGTGAGGTTTATGTGAGCGCGCGGGTATGTAATTAGCGTTGGTTCTTCCCATAACCGAGTATATTTTCTGACCATGAGCTAGAGCCGGGGTTCTCCCTCGTACCAATACGGCCTCTCCCCAACGAACTTTATCACCGCCGTGAATGGTGTCCCGACTCCGAATTTGGATCGCTTTGTAAAGGAGGTCCAGAAGATTCCAGACAATACGTACTTCCGGTTGCGCGCCGTGACATTTGACAACGTTCCGTGGGTAGTGACCATGAAGAAGAATGACCATTACGTGAGTTTCTATCTCTCATTTCTTTTTTTTTTTTTTTTTTTTTTGGCCTACTTACCGGGTGGTAGTTCCCCATGTCCCAGTACATCAAGGACCCGTCGCATCCAGCCGGCTGGCGAACCGTGTCTCACGACAAGGACAAATATAAAGACGGTATTGAACCGGATGTGGCGAATCTGAACCCCGACGCGATGGACGAGGAATTTGAAGAGGTGAGCGATGTAGAACCAGACAAGGAGTAACTGTATACTAGCCAGGTGACACTATGTATATACATACTTAAAAAATCACATCAACACAATGATAGGAGAGCTTAAGATAGTTGTCGGTGGCACATGGAAGTTCCTGCCAATAATTTTGTCCTACATCTACAGGAGTCATACATATATTATCACATCCTCTTAGTCTATCACCACACTCATGATCATGTGATGTGTCCCTCGCTAATCTTTGATCGAGTTAGTTCTGTTACCATGAATACCTACTCGCCCAGATAACTTTTGGGAAATTTCTTCCTTTGAACTACATAGCATAATAAAGAGAAATATCGCATCAAAGCATCATTGGTCTAGTGGTAGAATTCATCGTTGCCATCGATGAGGCCCGTGTTCGATTCACGGATGATGCATTCTTTTTATTTCTCTAAATATTCTTTTATATTCATTTTTTTTTTTTTTTTTGGTTTTCTTCTTTTGTAATTCTTTTATTTTAATAATAGATTGTCCTCCTCGCTTTTATAATACGGAATTAAATTTGATTCCTTATTCTGCTAGGAATAGCTACCGCTTTTGGATTATTCTGTTTGCCGGTCTCTATGTTACATATATGTGTCGGTTTTGATACACCAAAAGACTTATAATATAATCGTAAAGTCTCCTAGTGTACAGCCAATGTAAAACTGCAAGACGAATATTGTAAAGTCAACTCGATAACATTGATAGAACTTCTTAAGCTCTATATGTAAACCTAACTAAAGCACCAGGCCCGCAAGTAAACCGTAGGGGATACATGATTAAGTAAACACCACCATGCCATGAAAAAATCTAAAATAAAGCATCGGTAAAGTAGCATGGTTGAAATAACGAAACTAAGTTCCGAATGTCCATCCTCCATTCAATCGCAAACGCTGTCGTTCCGCGAGATCTCTTCGGATCTCTTCCTGTGTCAATGCATCCGTCCCAGCCCAGTTCGCGCTGCTAGTCCGCTCGCGGAATTTCTTGATCTTCTTGTCCGACTTGAAGGTCTCTTCAAGTGAGAAAGGCGCGATTGGTCCGAAAATGGAATCCGCTTCCATCCCCTCCTGCCGTCTCAGGATATCCTCGAGCTCCTTTTGCTGGGCCCACTTCGGCACGGGAAGCATCTCCGCGTCCGAATCCTCATCCTCGCTATCCGTAGCAATTTCTGGGAGATGTATGTTCTCGCCGTTGGGGTACTGGGGAGATGGCTTCGGTGGTGCCTTCTGACTAGGTCCCGGGGTCTTATGAGGGCCCGGCTGAGACGACGGATTGGAGGACTCCGCGAAGGGAATCTTCGCGGTTGTGTATTTTGCCATGTCCATTGGATGTGCGGGTCGCTGAGGCTGGGCAGTCTTAAAAATCGACGACCCGGACTGGTGTGATGTAGAAGGTCGAACGTGGCTGAAAATAGAAGGCTTTGTGGGCTCCTAGACCTTGAGGTTAGCAAAGCTCATACAGGTATACTGCCAGGTATAGCTCAAGAAGTCTTACTTTTCGAATACTTGACTCTTTTCGGATGTTGGATTGGCGAATCGGGGGAGCCATTGTGGGCCGCATAACAGAGTTGTGCTCGTCTTCAGTCCTTCGTCTTTTGGTCTCCCCAGACGGCTGAATAGTGTTAGTTTTTGACGCTGGAGGCCGATGGCTTGCTTCTTCATCCAGCCCTCTCTTAGGTGGCTTGGCCGGGTTGGGCTGAGGCTGGTTTATCGAGCGACCAAATGGTTGAATAGATCCAAGTCGTGACGCAGGCCGGGCGGAGGGTGGTGCTGTGGTCGGTACCTAGCGATCTTCATTAGCATGGTTTACGCATTAACGACAATCATCATCTCATTACCTCATTCGCAGGCTGTTGGCTTCCTTGCCTTTCCAGCCGGCGGGCATTCTCCAATCTCCGTTTTTCAATTGCCTGCATTTGGGCTGCCTTCTTGGGATCCTCTGAAGCAAGACGTTCCCGTCGCTCAGCTTCTGCCCGGCTTCGCATCTCTTGCCGACGCGCCTCTTCCTGTTGCTGGGCAGCGCGTCTGCGTTCCAATTCACGCCTCTGCTCTTCTTTACGTCGTGCTTCGCGTTCTTCTTGCTCCCTCTTTCGTTCACTCGCAAGCTGTGCTTTCCTTTGCGATTGGCTGGAAACAGAGCTCTTGAAACTGCTATTCGATGATGCCGTGTGCAATGATGTGTTGCTTGCCTTTTTCTTTAGCGAGGGTTGCTTTGATGTCGAAGCTGGCGCGGGGGCAGGAGCGTTAGGTTCCGCAGCGCTGGAGGCGACTGAAGAGGATGCTAATGGAATCTGCCGAGAGAGCGCACTTCCGACACGGATAGACACAGGCTGAGGCTTGGGCTTCTGCAAAGTGTCGCGGTTAGGTTTGAGTGGGCGACGATCGTTTTGTTTTAAAGATTGTTGTTGCGACGAGGCCTGGGAGGTGAGTTTGGAAGTTGCCTCGTGGCCTATCTCTGGCTCCTTTGATGACTGCTTTTGCACCTGTGGCATCTTCGAAGGACCGATGGACATCGACGTTGGAGCTGAACGCTCCTCGTGCTCAGCCCAAGATTTCTCCTTGGCGTCCTTCAGCTGAGCCGCCCGCTGTTTCTCCTGCTGTCTAGCCTGCTCTGCTTGTTCTTCTTCACGTCGGTGGTCCTCGAGTTCCTTCTGTCTACGTCGCTCTTCCCGCTCCGTGGAACTCCGGGTCTTACGGCCCTCCGGCCTGGGACTCGAAGACTGAGTCTGCTGTGGCTGCTTGTCACTGGTTGTGTCCGTTTGAACATGCCCACGGGGCTGAATACTTCGCTCGCTAGGTGAGGAAGCTTCCATCTTGGCGGCTGCTGAAACGCCTGCGGCATTCGTAAAGAGACCTTTGGCGGACCTAACAATAGATTGTAGCCTTGACTTAGACGCACTCAGAGGGCCATCCTCCTGGTAACTGGGCGAACCAACTGGCGTGGTGGACATGTGAGCATCGTTATATGAGACGGATTCGCCTTTACGATGGCTCAGGCGTTGCGGGGATGAGTAGGTTGGCGTAGATGATTTCCCGCGAGTTTCTTCCGAAATCTGTTTCGCGCTGGTCCTAAGTTTCTCCCCATCATTTGCGTTTTCCATATGGGCATGGAGAACAGTGTTCTTATCGGTGTTTCCTCTAGATTCAAAGCTTGAGGTCTTCTCTCTGGGATCCTTTGTCAGGGACTTATGCGCGATTGTCCGATAGGGCGAGTTCAAAGGCTTGATCCAGTCATCATCGACATCCATAGATTCCGATGCGGTAATTTCACGAGGCTTCTGGCTGGATTCCTCGGGTCTTGCGTCTGGCTTACTTGTAGGAAGTTCGGGGTAGGACACCTGTACAGAAGATAAACCCGGGGCGGAAGGGATAGACTTCGTGGGCCGTGACGGCTGGAGTTTGCCAAGCATGCTGATCTTTTCATGTAGCCTCTGAGTTGACGACTTACTGTGTAATTTGGTGGCCTGGGTGTCTATGCTTGAGTCTTCATGCGCTGTTGCCATGTTTTCGCCGACGTCCGCCGTTTCGTTTTGTGACGGATTCTCATCAACGGCTGCTTGGGTCGTTCTGTGTCCACCTGTCTGCCTACCAAGATAGCTAGAGCCTCCAATACTGTTTAGTTTAGAAGTATCAATGTGACTTGTCCGGGAAATTCTCGATCCGCCCAAACTTTTCTTCGTAAGTGGTTCACGTGCAGGAAGCGACGCAAAAGAAAGGCTGCTCTTGCGGATGGGGGGCCGCTCTGGGGTCGAGCCGTCCGAAGGGGAGCCAATTTCATCGAGCTTATCGAGAGCCATTTCATTCTTGCCATCGTGTTTTTCTTCAGGCTCTTCAGGCTGGACCGAAGGAATTTTTACTGGCGACGACTTTATGTCGGCTATCTTATCCTCTAGATTTGATTCCGGCTCTGAGTTCTGTATGAATTTCGGCTCCTGTTCTTCCTCCTGCCGCTTTTCCTGTTCTGGTTCTGGAGCTGGTTCCTGCTCTGCTCGATGGCTAGACGTAATAATATGCACTGGGCTAGGATTTGAGATTGGTTCTGGTCCTTTTCTCGTCGGTTGAGTCTCAGGAGAGTGCGCTTTTATGCTTTTCTTTGGTGTTGGATCAACATAAATAGGCTCAGCTGTCTTACTACGCTGGCGTACATCCTCCTGGGCGGAGTGGAAAGAGGCCCCTGTTGTGCGACGCTCAGGAGAAGAATGATGTTCCTGTACTTCTGGCTCCTGTACTTCTGCTGGGCTGGGCTCCCTCTCGAACGGCTGGGTCGATGGCTGAGACTCAGGTTGTACCTGAGTCAAGATCATGTCATCTTCACCATCCTCGTCCGGCATACCATGGTAGCCTGAATCCGTGTTGTATTTAGGGAATGAGTTAAGGGTTTTGCTTAGGTCAGGATACTCAGGATTCGAGGTACCATCCGTAGCGTTTTTGGCTTTCGTCGGGCTGGGGCCCGTGGAAGGAGGCGCGGTGGATTTGGTAGGCGAGCGGTGAAATGCTGGGCTGGCATTAAACTTATTCTCAAATCGGTTATGCGACGATGAGAAGACTTCGCTCAAAGGCTAGAGGATGGTTAATAAACGGCCACAGGCAACTTGAGAGGAAATAGGATACGTGCCAGTCGGTTCTCGTTTGCATCTCGTTTCCGCGCTGTTCGTGGTGTTTTGCCTCTTAATTTCCCAGGGGTCTTAAATGCTTCTGCGAAATTGCTGTGCAGCTGTCAGTATGGGCAGTGATGCACGGAATATGTAGGTCACCACAGACAATTGATTGTTGGAGAAGATCTCAGCCATATGTTCATTCAGCCAATCCATTTCATGGCGCACTGGATATTCCACCTCTTCCATCTCCTGATTCACCAGCTGCATCACATTCTCCTTCTCCGTCGAGATCCATGCTGCAGAGCCCACCGACTTCTGCGCCCTCGTGCCTGCAGCAGTCATGGCGATGTAAACAAACACTACTCAACAGGCGACAGGGCAGGAAGGGGGCAAAAGTGCCTCAAAGGGGGTCAAGGGCAAAGCAGGCCATGTACTAGAAGTCGACAAGGAATATGAGAGACATAGAATGGGCGGCGTGTAGACTGTGGGGGAGGCTGTGGGCTGAGATGGTCCGTATGTCTTGTCGGGAGTCGAAGCATCAAAACATCGGATACGCGTGGAGTCCGCCTGATCACGTGAACATATTCGTCACGGAATGCTGCCTCATTTTGCAGGCACCAATAATTTCTCTGGATGCACTTTCTTTCTTTTTGTTTTACTATGTTTCCTCAACCGTGGAATAAGACGGTTCCCGTAACTTTGCCCGATTAACCGTGGAAACCTACGAGCAGATCGGCCTTCTTAATGGAGAATGGGACCAAGTATAAGGTGATGTAACAATCAAAAGACAAATATATTATCAAACAACGATCCGGTCTAGACAGACAGGCAGGTAGATATTGTAGACTGCCATCTGGTACAGATAGTATGTCGTCCATATCTTCGCACGAATGATGTTACCTATGGTATATAGGGAGTATCTGTACTATATACGGAGTACCGATGTGCTGAATCAACAGCTATCCACCTATATAGCGGTAAGTATGGAGGCCGCATAGGTTTAGCTTTTTACTGGTCGATCAGTTGGAAGAACCCCTTGCATGCGATAGTTCTACGCAGCATATATGTGGGATGAAATGATGCATTCACTGGTGTCTATTGTTCTTGTTCTCAGTCCCATCTAAACCAGACCGACGTAGCCGTTATCACATGCCGACCGGTCTAGGAGCCAGAGTTCCCAACAAAAAGTTGCAGGAAGATGGGTGCTTAATGAGGGGGAAATCATTAGAAATCCTGGTAGTATTAGATCAGGGAGGGGTTCGTGCAGTTCGTAGTATGAAGTAGAAAAGAGACAGGGATTTGGCGATATATTTAATGGCGGAGTTGTGAGGCAGCCGGGACCCAAAAAAAGCACCCCATAGGACTCTCGCTTGTTAATTGCATCACCCTATCCTCTTCTTTCATTTCTCCTATCTTTTCCTCCCGATCTGCCATCCCTCACGTCACCAATCTTCGACACTTTCATCTATTTCTCCGTCCCTCTTCTTTCTTCCATTCATTCTGTCCTTTACAACTGTGCCTTTTATTTAGTTTCCTTTCCCCCAGGCTTCCTGCGGAACGCCGCCCCTTCTTCCCTGTATTTCTAAATTCTCTCACACACACGCGCACAAACGCACACGCACATACAATCTTCTGACATGGCCGACACTTCAAGCCCCGGTTTTGTGAGCTACCCCAATACGAGCGGGGGAAGTAAGGTATGTTGGGATAGCTGTTATGCTTGAAATATAACTTACGGAAGACGAACTGAAACTGACTGTGTATCGCCAGTTCTTCCTCTTCAAACTCTTCAAAGACCCTCGAAATGTTACACAAAGCTGATTTAGATTTTCGCTTTTAGGCATCAACAATGCCGTCGCGAAGGGTACCACCCCAGTCTTCCCGCTACCTACGAAATAATGATAGAGGAATTGACGGTTTGCTTCTGCAGGTCCCATAGCTAATAACATCAAGTCTGAGGCACCCGGACAAGAGCTTCGAGATTTGAAAACTTCGCGGTTGACGCCCCCGGTTACCACTGCGACTGGCCAGCCCCTGACCCGTACGTTGTCAAAATCTACGATCTCCCGAAATTAGTCGACTAATGACTTCTAGATTACCATTCCTTGATGTACAGCCTCTTGAGCGTGAGTATTAACCGACCCGCTACTGAGTCCTACCGCCCCGATTCTAACCCGTCCAGTGGGAGCAACCGCGGGCCACCGCTGCGTCATTTGCGACCGTTGTCAGCTTCATACTTGCCGCCCGTTATCTACCTCTCCTCCGCTGGCTCTTCAAATTCATCTATCTGTCCTTGGGATGTGAGTCTTGGAAATTCAAGCCGAAGCAATCGAGCATGTTACTGACCTTTTATTTTCTTTTTTCAAGTCATGGCTACTGCGGAAATTGGTGGTCGAGTTGTTATGTCGCAAGGTCTCGCCAAGTCGTTCCGCCCCCGCAAGTATTACACCGTTCCCAAGGAATATCTAGAAGCAGTGATGGAGGACCTTGAGCAGCTTCTCGATTTTGTCTTGTTAGAATTCCAGCGCATTCTGTTCGCGGAGAACATCGTCCATACGGTTGCTGTATGTTTCACTAAACGCCATATGACTAAGTTGAAGTAACGTCGAGGGGACTAATGGACATATATAGGCCTTCTTTGCTACTTTCACTGCTTACTGGCTGATCAAGTTCCTACCCTTCTGGGGATTGTCCCTTCTCGCTGTTACCATTGCCTATATTGGGCCATTGGTGTACATGAACAACCGTGAAGTTATTGATGCGCATATTGAACATGCCCAGGGGGTCATTAATGCCCAGGCACATCAATTGAAGGACCTCGCAGGGGAACGAACTGCCCATGCGACGGGTATTGTGAGGCAATATGTTGATGATTATAGCGCCAAGGCTCAGGAGTATATCGGCCAGCGTCGTTCTGCGTCACCCGAGATGACCAAGGTTCCTAGCACCGTCATCAAGAAGGAACCCGAACCCGAGCCCGCATTTACTCCTTCCGACTTCCCCGAGGCACCCAAGGATGAGCCAGTGGCGGAATCCTTTGAACTCCCCCCTCAGCCAGTGGAGAAAGAGCCTCTGTTGACAGCTTAATGTTGCTGCTATGCTGAGCTTCCTCGTCCTGGACTTGCCCTGTCAACTGTTCATGTCTTGGCGGGCAAGGATGATGTCGTGGAAAGTGTGGAAATGTAGGAATTGTAATAAAGAATGAGACAGAATGCTGAATGTAACCTTTTTTTTTTAAAAAAAAAAAAAAATTAAAAAAGGAGACAAAAAAAAGCAAGGTGTTGTGGCATCGGGATGGATAATTTGGGATGTACGATGACAAAAGCGGAAGCGTACAATATGTACAGAAGGGACCGAGAGGCGTACAATAAGCGCGTGAATCAGATCGTGAAGGAAAACCCCGGACATTAGGTGCTACTGGAGCAATGAACATACGTCTTTTTGCTGATATGTGGATATTTTCTGAATGATTTACTGGTCCTTTCCCATTTTATTTTTCGATGCATGTTCTGCCAATATTTTCGTAGCGTACACCGTATGTGCTTTTGCATCTCAACCCCTGCTATTATCTATGTTCCGTCTGATTGCAGCTTCTGCTCTGTATGTTCTGTATGTTCTTCATGCCGATACATGGGTTGCTTCGTTTAGATTGTCGAATAAACCAATGCGACTTCTAAGAGGGAAGCCCAAAAGGGTAAGCACTGTACTTACTATGGTTCTATCTTTATCTCTGAGTTACGGGGACGGTTGGTCCAGGAAAAATGTCCGCGTTGTGCGAGTCACAGTTGCATATCTGGTAGTATTTTTGTGTGCCAGCTCAGAAAGGGACTAGTGTACCGGACTATCTTCAAGGACTTGTGTGTTTTTTTCTGGATACTGGATAGGCATGCTTCCATGGCAGTGGGTATCGGCATTCCTCAGATATCGGCCAACCTATCCTTGTTCCGATCACTGCAGTCCACCTGCCCCCTGCAGGACATTCTTTGCACTGCGTTTAGGATTCGATCAAGTGCCTATTCCCGGATCCCCGGTAGAGCAGATCAGCGAGCATGGGCGTTCCGTCGGATCTGAGCACGGCATCAGCGGAATGACTTCGCTTACCCCAGATCGACGGATGTCACACAGGTGTCCCCAGTCTGTTTTATGATGCCGATGGAGACAGGGATCATCCCGCAAAAAGGAGGACCGGGAATTCTTCGCGCGATGGGTCTGCAAATAGAGGTAGCTCAACAATGACGGTTGTTTAATTAGCAGGGGCTTCTAGGGTTGATCCTTGTACTCCTGAAGAAGAGACTGGCGGATGTCTGCCCATGGATACTCGGATGAATGCCTGCAATTGAGCCGGTAGGTTTTCCATTCAATTTTATTGTTGATGATTGTAGTTGGAAATCCACGCATGTTATTGGCTGACTCGTGCCCGCATCTGCTCATGGACCTGACTAATGGTGTTTGTTTAGTTTGCATATGCTCTGACTGGCAACTGCCTTTGCTTTCTGAACTCTGGTTCATCCGTTGACCTCCATCGCATCATCTATCTCTTGCGTCCTATGAGTGCACTCGGTGATGGCCTAGATGATCATCTTTGCACAGGCTCAGTGAGATTCCTGTACTACTGCGAGCTGGTTATTACAATGCGTTGACGCAATATGCTGTCCTACAAAACCAGTAACCACTATCCCATGTTTATTTGGCCCTGGTACTGGAATTGGAACTCGCCCTCTTTTTTTTTTTTTTTTTTTTTTTTTTTTTTTTTTTTTTTAAAAGTCCCATTTACGTATATGAAATTTTAACTGAATCAACTGAAATTGAGGGGATGAATTTTGAAAAATTGTTTGCTAAAATATTTTTAGTCCAAAGCTTTCGTATGTCTCGGATGCTAGGCTTCTGTCGTTTTCTAGATCTTCCACTGTGGATGAGTCTGATCGACAAGGAAGCTTTCCTTGGTTTTCTTTTACATTATTCCTTCTAGGATAATAAGCCTAGCCTCCTGTTATGGCGCTCTGGTGATGAAGTCTTTTTTTTATTTCTCTTATTTGTTATTATTATTGTTCTCTTCTTCCTAGCTAAGGCAAGTTGCATAACCCAAAGAGTGATGGCTACTTTCGTTCTTTCTTTTGAAGAAGAGCACAATGACAAGGCAGGCCTATAGAATCCGAATGTGCTGAGAGTTCTTGATTGTGGGCTAGACAAATCGGCAAGACAAGACTTCCAGAACGCCACCGACGAGTGGGACCGCTGCAGAGAAGCATGCGTGGAAGATTCCCTGGCCTATTTTGCTATTTGGATCATCCTGAAAAACCCGTTACTTACATCTACCCTATTTGAATGTGAAGGTTGGTTTCATGACCTGTACAGGCCGCAGTCTTATCGATATTGAGCAACCTAGTCAATGAACGGGTGTCACGGTTAGGGAAGTGAGGCTTGAACTGAACTGGGATGAGTTCTTCATGGGTGCTGCGGCGTCGCCTGACGAAGAGAGGGGAAAGGGAATGACTCCATGCCCCTTGAAAACTTTGGATGTAACAACCAATATCAACCTTGGCATTCCTAGTCAATTGTCTGTTCAGTGGCAGTAGTTTTGGGCTTTGTCTAGAAGGAGTGGCTGATACCCAACGATCAGTTGAAAGCTTATGGAAAAGGCAATCTACATAAATTCTTTCTTGCGGTAAAGAATTCCCTTTATAACTGTGAATGGTCATCCAGTTGGAAAAGCAGCAGGGCAAAATGAAAAAAAAAAGTCTTGTCTATTAACCATTAGGAGCTAAGTCAGTGGGACTCTTTAGTTGGCAGCACCAGCTGGGTTGCTGTCATACAGGAAAAAGTGTCATGCAGCCTTCCGTGGTCTCAGACCTCCCTGATACCCGCCTCGTCGAGCGAACGCCGTTGGGCTCGTCTGATCATTGGTCATCCGCCTCTGAAGGCTCATTCTTCCGGTTGCTCCAACGGCGGCTTCTACTTGGTGTCGAGGCCACGGACATGGGTGGACTGATATCGATCCCGCTGGTAGACTTAACTTATCCCCCAAGTATCCAAGTCGGTACCGGAATAAGTCGAAACTGTCAACTACAAGAAACAGAGTGATCACTGCGATACAAGTGTCTGTGGATACCCTTTTAGGTTCCATGGTTTCCTTTCCCCTTTTAGGCTTACGCTCGTCAGACCGCCGTCTCCATCTGTTTGCATGGGTAGAGAATCTGGATCATCCCAAAAGCCATTGAGCTGGTTTCAATTACAGCCAACCATGCAAGACCTCCACATGGTGGTAGCAGTCCCTGAAACGTGATCTACCTTGTCTCTCCTGTGGTTCTGCGTCATCTCCTGTCTTGGGTAACTGCAGATGGACGAGTGGAACGGGTGAAGCCTCGAAAACCTGGAGGTGTGCGTTACTTTTTTATTTTGCGAGGGAAACAAGCTGCCGTCAGTCAAGTACTGTTATAGAACTAGCGCCAGTTGGGGGAGGGGAGAAGCCGATGCAAAATGGTTTAACCTGGGGGAAGGGAAATTTTTGCCATACTCCAAATGGGCCTGAGGTATGGCAAGATGGACTCGCCGACTCTGTATGGTCCAATCTGAAGTGTGCCTCGTGATGTGCCTCCTTTGTCCAAGTACCGGGAGAATGTTTCTCATGCCGAAGGCTTCAGTCCATCCAAGACACCCGCCCAACCTATCTGTCCAGAATAGGGTCCCATCCTAAGTCCATGGTTCACCGCTGCTCTGTATGGCACACCCTTCCCCATTCTTGCCTCGAAAGTAGATTGCACGCGGACGAAATTCTCACTGAATAGGACAAACAGAGGGCAACCATTGGGATGCTTTCATCATATGCCGTTAAGTATCCACTCTTTGGGGACATTTCCGAATAGATGAGCGTGGGAAAGGAGGTGAGTGTAGCTCATGATTTTCTGAGACCTTGTCTTTTTTTTTTTTTTTTGCTCTCCCGCTTTATTTATTTATTTATTTTTTATTTATACTAATCTTAATATCTCCTTTTATTCCGTTTTGGCTAGCCTGATGATGCTTAGGACGTTACGGTGAGCTAAGATACCCGTGCCCTGATATCCATTCCATTTCCCTTTTGTTACCATTATCTCTCATTTTTTGACATTTGCTAGACCTTCTAGAACCCGTCTCCCGGTGTCTTAGGATAAGAAAAGGGCAGATTTGTTTGGCTTCGTACATTTTCATCTTCTTCCCAGATAAACCCACACTATTCATCTCGATTTTTTCCACCGTTTTAGTATCGCTGGTGACCTTTCGTCAGTCCTTCGAGAGGGACTGGCTGATGCTATTCCTGTGACTGTCTATATAACGTCTACGCATCATCTTCCCATGGCGTCTATCGAATCGCTCTTGAACCCTGTGCAAGATCTGGAACGGCTTTGTCTTCCAAGTCCAGCGATGACGAGCTCAACGAGCACGATGGCATGTAGGGTGTCTCGTCCAAAGAGGGAAAAGATCGCGAAAGATGCTGCTGTTTTTAAAGAAGACACATTCAGAGGCGAGGTGCGATACCCACCCTGTGAGCAACGTGATGAAGAGTTGGCTAGAATTCATCGCGAATTCGAACTCTACCCTATGGGTAATATTGATCGTTTTCCGCGCCACATCCCGTACAACAGCGACAAGAAGACTTTTCAGGAGCGGACTGGACGCGAGAGCTTTGAAGGTAATTCCGATATACTACGTCAGGAATCATGAACCGTGCTGAACCTTCCCGTAGTTCTGCAGTATACATTCAAGATCCCTGGTGAGGACAAAGAATGGACAGTGATGTGGGATTACAACATCGGTCTTGTTCGAACAACGCACCTCTTCAGATGTCTGGATTACTCCAAGGTTAGACCATTCAACACCTGACGAATCTATTCAAGATTAACTCTATCCTTAAGCTAACACGAGCTAGACCACCCCAGCCAAAGTGCTGAACTCCAATCCTGGTCTTCGCGACATCTCCCACAGTATCACAGGCGGAGCTCTTGTAGCTCAAGGTTCGTACAATTCTCCTAGCCACAGTGCATAAAACAAGCAGTCGAAATAAAGCCAAACGCTAAGCAAATCCCTAGGCTACTGGATGCCATTTGAAGCCGCCAAAGCAGTCGCAGCGACGTTCTGCTGGCGAATCCGACACGTACTCACGCCACTCTTCGGCATCGACTTTCCAGACCTCTGCATCCGACCGGACGACCGCGGCCGGTACGGGCGTATGATCATCGACCGGGCGATTGTGCACAGAGCGACCGAAACCGCCAACTTCTATCGACTGCTGGAGCTCCGTTCGCCACAACCACAACCGCACTCACACCCACACCCTCAGCAACAAGCACTACTCACCTCGCGCCCAACAGGAGGATGTCGAACTACCTCGTCAACAACCCCAAAGCTATTTGGGAAACAACACCAACACCTCCCAAAATCCATCCCTCAGCACTACCAACACTTTCTTCAGCATCAATCTGACTACGCCGAGAGCCTGAGTGGATACGGATCTTCACCCGAGTACAGCGCCGGCACTAGCTCTACAGACACATACTGTGTGTCTCCGGTGAGTCCTTTCCGGAATACATTCACGCCGGTGAATACGCCGCGTAGCACGGAAATCATGGTACGAGGAGGATCGCGGAAGCCTTCATCTTCACCAAGAGGGATTCTTACCTCATTGCAGAAGATGGCTCTGCCAAGGATGATTGTCGTCGACGGGAGTGATGGAGAAAGTGGCTGCTCCGAGAGGACGACATCGTCGTCGACAACGACGACGATGTATTCTTCATCGATGACGTTCAATACACCCAGTGATCATTCGGAATATGACGAAGACGACGACGATGATGAAGAGGAGGATGGTGGTGGTGGTGGTGGTGGTGGTGGTGATGATGATGATGATGATGATGATGATGATGATGATGATGATGATGACTACCGAGACAGCGAGGATGATGCCCACTCCCCAAGTAAGAGGGCTAGAGCATGTCGGATGGAAACGCGATTTCGACGAAAGACCAGCACGACGTTGTTCGCGCGCGAAGTCAAGGCGGCGCATGCGCTGCTCAGTCTGCACATGCAAGAGGCGACAGGCAGTGACGAAGAGGAGACAATGATATGGCGAACAGCCAGTGGACGAAAGAGACGTAGGGCATCAGCCTGATTCATTTTACCACAAGCTGTGAACGTGAATAACGAAGAACGAAAAAATAGAAAACAAAAAAAGAAGAGAAAAATAGATAGGAACGGCGTTTACTTGGGGTTTGGCTTCATCTAAGATTGCCCATTAATTCTCACCAAATCAATCCATCTATCTATTTATCTATTATTATCTATCTAACTGGCTATGCATTTTATCCCAAAAGCCACCATAACATAGATCGTAGAATATAATCACGAAGTAACCGCAAACCGACTCCAAGTCCGAATCACAGGCTCAAAGTGCCAAAAAAAAAATAGGGTACGGGGCCATCACCGCATTGATACAACCCAGGCTAGTCAAGGTCCAATGCACTCCCATATTAGCGTAGAACGGGATCCCAACGACGGCCATCCCTCCTGCCGCGGTATTTCTCGACACCGTCATGGACCCCAGAGCCGAAGCAGCGTAGATGTCATACGAGTCGATGATGTACATATACGAGGAGAAGAAGACGCAGATCGTACCGAACCCAAAAACTGCAGATGCAATGATAGGTGACCAGATGGATATATTACTTATTTCTCTTTGTCAATACGTGTAACCTTTACTAAGGTCAACAGGTGGGGAAGGGAGGGGTTCATACGTAGCTCGTCCATCCCATCCAGAACAACCCGATTGGAATGGTGGGAGTGCCAAACATAGCGAACCAGAGACGGTTTTCAGGACGAGTATTATGTAAGTTTCCTGGTTTTGTATCTCCGTTTTCATTGGCGTGTGTGACCGTGACCAAGACCAAGTTGTCCATTGAGGTAGTCGAGGTAGAAGCAGCAGCAGCGAGGAATTCTCGTTTCGCCCAGTGGTAAGTCAGTGGGATGAGGAGAACCGCGAGTAAGATTCCGATGTACACGGCTTTCCAGACGATACTAGTAAGGCTTTGCGAGATACCGTGGATGTCAATGAAGATGGACGAGTAACTGTCGAAGGTAAAGAGTACGATGCAGATGATGGTCCTAGACCGGTTAATGCCAGGTCCTAGAGAGACAGGTGGTACGGGAGATGGATGGATTATATGTACAGAGAAATACGCAGAATAATGGGCTCATGTATGGCGAGAGATACTTGACCACCGCAAGCGGGGACAATACACAGAAGAGAGCAGTTTTCTGAAGACCAATTTCCGAGTGATACTTCTCGTCGCCGGTGACGGAGCGTAGATGCTGTGCTTTCCATTTCAAGATGAGTGGACCGTAGGTTTCTCGTTAGAAGAGTAGGACTACAACGAGGATGAGCCCGGACATGATGAGGATGATCCAATTGGTCCAGAGAGGCAATCACGGGACCGAGACAGGTCCGCCAAAGGAGAGAATGGCGTGGACAGGGAAGGTGAGGGTTTTCTCGAGCCGATTCCACAAGTCTGCAACGGTGCCTCCGGTGCAGGTAAGAGATGGGCAGCCGAATACGCCGGCCAGGACGCGGAAGGCTAGCTGGGCGCCGATGTTGGGCGCCAGACCAGACGCCATGATGAAGATCATGAAGACAGTCAGAGATCCCACCCATGTAGACGGCATTGCAGCTGAGGATTTCCGAGAAAGGTCCCGAGCTAGAGAGCCCGTTGCAAACCGTGGCTAGGGAGGCCACTACGCCACTGACGTTGAAGGCCGTGCTGTTCTGAGGCAGTACGCCTGCCTTGATCGACGATGCTGCTACCACAGCAAACGCCATGGCGGTGACGATTGAGGTTGCCGTGACCCGGGTCCTCATGTGATAGTTGTGAGGGTTCATGGGGTCTCCATCATGTTCCCAGCCAACCATAAAGACTGACGCTGACGACCCGTCGTCATCCAAAATATCCCTGCGCTCGATGCCAGCAGCATGGGCCGTCCGTCTAGGAGCTCATCTTTGGCCTCGAGCACATCAGGTTGCCCCGATTCCAGTTGTTCCTCGGGCTGTCTGCGCACAATCTGGCCGATGCGGGGGTATTGGAGATAAGCCTGCATGGTGACAAGTTAGTTGCGAACCATGTGCATTGGATAAGAATACCGTCGATTTTAAGAAAACCTACCTACCTAATATACTAATATTATACCCCATGGCGGGCCCCTGCCGGGTTTTGGTCCAAGTGCAAAATTTCTAAACCCGCAAGCGCAAAGACTAATCGGTCAAGCCGAAGGCATAGAACCGATAAGGAGAGGCAACATGTGGGGCGGAGGAAAGAAAGCAGGTCGATGCTGTCCAAATTGTCGGCCGAAGGAAGCGAAAGTCGTCGAGCATATATATATACCCGGATGGACTTCCAGGAGGTCGGCGCCGAACAGTCGAGTCTTATTCTTCCGTATTTATCAGTCGGAATGAGACTAAAGAAATTACAGTGTTAGCAATAGAGAGGATATGGCTGATATTTATAAGTACCTCTATTCTAAATCTTCAGACTTGGGCCTTATTCTGTTTGAACCTTCTTTTTATTTTCTATTTTCTCATTCTTTATGTACATTGGGAAACCCGGCTTCGTCCGGCTCACGCCCAAGTGCTGCGTATAGATTATTCTCATGCCTGAAATCTTGTTTTGCAAGCGGAAGGCCTTATCTTACTGTTTTATCTCTTTGTCCGGTATAATTTAATTTAAAAAGCTTCAGCCCTTATAATACGGCGACTTAAACCAGCTTCTCTGAGCACAATTTGTGTAATACGTGTAGAAAACGATAGCTATTTACTGACTCTAGTCATCATTGAGTAACATTAACATTCTTATTGTTTCTGTACGCATTGAATGCCTCCGGATAACACATGTTCAGGCTTAATTGGAAAGGGGATAGTGAACTAGTTGGTAATTAAAAAAGTTAGCTACTCTACTCTAACAGATCTTAAAGCGTAGTATACTATCTAGAAGACGGGACAGAGGATCAGTCCTTTAGTTATCTTTTGTAAATAATACTATGATGGATAAATCAAGCATACCTCAAACCATTCTAGAGGCATTCTGTGTAATGGGGAACGGTCTTTCATCTCATCACTTATTTACAGTAACTAAAAGAAGTAAAAGAAGAAGACAAATTAAAAAAATGAAGGAAAGAAAAAGAGACCGGAATCAGAGAACGCTTAACGTTCTTTCTCCACCCCTTACTCACTATCATCGTCAAAATCATCCCCCGAGTCACCACCTCCATCCTCCTCACTGTCATCTTCAATCACGTACGTCTTCTTCGCCGCTGCCGTCCGTCGCGCAGGCCGACTGGCCGTCTTCCGTGCCGCGGGACGCACTTCCTCATCCGAATCGTCGTCCTTCTTTCCTGCGGGCGAATCCAAGATGTCATTGGCCATGGCATCAATGTCGTCATCCGACAGATCGTCCGCCAGCTGCTTCTTCTTACTGGCCTTCTTGGCTTGTTTGGCTGCGTAAGCCTTGGCTGCAGGGGAAAGGGTCGTTTGCTTGGTGGCAGAAGCACTAGCCTTAGTAGCAGTAGCGGCGTCCTTCTTCGGACGGCCCCGCGTCTTCGCGGTGGATGATTTGGCCGCTGTGGTCGTTGCTGCCTTGCCCTTGGCGGTCGACTTCGCCTTGCTAGCCACCGGCTTCACGGGCTCGCCATCCTCATCCATGTCCGTATTGTCTGACATCTTCGTGTCCTTGTCCTTGGGCTTGACATGCAGCGACCGACGGGGGGAGTGCTGCGGGACCAGCTTGCTATAATCCGTTTCGTCGGCATCAAAATCGGTCGACAGTTTGGACGTCCTGGAGCTGGACTGCAGACCGGAGCTGCTTCCCGGCCGGGACCGCTCCGAGAAGAGCAGGCGCGAATCGGAAGTAGACGTGCTATTCTTTCCCCCGATACCTTTGACCATATTGCTGACGTCACCCAAGAAGTCGTCACCGTTGTCACTGTCGGAATCACTTATGGTGTGCAACGGGGGACCACGACCGGTCCGGGTGGATGCGAGGGAGGGCTGCGCGGTAATTTCTTGAAGATCGTCATCGTCTAGTTCGTCCTCATCCTTGTCCTTGGGCTTTGCCTTGGCTTTCCCGGCCGGTCGACCTCTCTTGGGAGCTTCTTTCGACGCGCCATCGCCCGCAGCTTTGGCAGCACTCTTGGGGGCCGCTCGGGACTTCTTTGGCACGACCTCTTCGATATCGGAATCTGCCGTGTCCTTATCCTCCTCCTTCAACTTTGGGTCAGACTTGGAGCCTCCTCGGGGCTTTTTGGGCACCACTTCTTCAATATCTGAATTAGCCATATCCACATCCTCATCCTCATCCTTAACCTCATCCTTTGGCTTGGGATCTGCTGCCTTGGAAGTGCCTCGACTCTTCTTGGGGAGTACTTCCATTTCGAATTCATCATCTGAACCATCCTCGTCGGATGGAGTGGATTTGGGCTTGGCCACCGGCTTGCTTAAATAGCTACTGATAAGGCTCGCCTTCGGTTCGGCCTTCTTCTTCGCCCCGGTGGTTTTCTTGGACTTGGGAGCAGCAAAGTCTTCATCATCGGGGTCATCATCAAGGGCTGCTTTGCGTTTCCTAACAGCCAATCCCCGTCCAGATGTCATAAGCTTCGCAGACGTGCGACGGCCCATATTGGCCACCTTCCGCTGCCGCCGAGCTTCGTCGTCAATCTGGAACCGCCATTCGTTGATAAAGTCATCCAGATCCCTCCTCCAGATATCTTCTTTGGACATCTTAATCAGTGCGTCAATCTCAATCTCCTTGTCACCAATCTGGCGACGCAGCCTTTCCACACGCTCCTGCGTCAGCGACCATATGGCCATACCCAAAAGGTAGTCATAGGAGTTTGACAGGATTTCAGTGTCTTCTGCGCCTTCAGATTCCTCTTCCTCGAGAACGGACTCGGTTTCGCCCGCCTTGACAGCGTCTTTGACCTTGGGGAATGGCGTGAAACCTTTCTCCTTCAACTCGGTGACAAGGACGTTCTTCTTTTTCTTGGAAACAACCAATTCCCCATCGATGATCATCTGGACGAACCGGGCTTGATTCGTCAGTTTCTCCAGCTCCTTTTGCAGTTCGGAGAGTTGATACTGCTTCCGTCGCTCGTAGTACTTGAGGCGAACAGCGAAAAATTCCTTGAGGATGTCGTTCACGGTAGCATACTTAGTGATCCGGCCTTCCGGGTCGAAGGCCACCAAGTTTGTAGTGGCAATTGTCTTGGATAACTTGAACTTTTCCTCCAAGCCCTCGGACACGGCCGCCTTCGTATGTTTTTCGTCCATCTGGATAACAAAGTGCACCTTGGTATGTGTGTTGTAATCCTTATAATCCTTGATGAACGAAGGCGTCTTCTCCGCCTTGATTATTTCCTCCAGCTTGTCCTTGAAATCCTGAGTCCAAGTCCGGATAGGCAATTCCGTGATTTCCACCTCCTTCTCTCCGGTTTCTTTGATAATACCGCTGAACTTGTAACGGTCAGAGCCGAGGCTAGTGACTTCACCAGTGAAACCGCGGAACCATGGCTGCATGGGCTTGGCCTCCTCGCCATCCATCATGCGCTTTAGATTGTCGACAACATCCTCAGGATTGTAGTTTGGGATCGAGGAACTCCATCCAGTACCAATACCATCTGCTCCGTTGATCAAGATCATAGGAACGACAGGCATGTAGACTTCTGGCTCAATCTTCTCGCCATCGTCCTCATTGTACGAGAGAAGCGGGTCATCATGGCTATGGAACACACGCCGAGCAAATGGCGACAAACGAGTGTAGATATAACGTGCGCTGGCACAGTCAGAGCCACCCTGAAGACGACTACCAAAGTTTCCACTAGGCTCCAGGCAGTTTATGTTGTTAGATCCGACGAAAGTTTGTGCGAGACCGACAATAGTCTGTTGCAAGGAAGCTTCGCCGTGCTGATACGCTGTCATACCCGAAACATGACCTGCCAGTTCAACCACTTTCATGTCCTTTTTCAGATTGCGACGGAAACAAGCGTACAGGACTTTCCGCTGACCAGGCTTTAGACCATCAACGACAGATGGAATAGAGCGAATATTATCAGCCATACTGAAGAGGATAAGCTCTTTGTTGATAAAGTCAGTGTAGGTGATTTTAGACGCGGAATGATCCAAGAATGTGCCAGGTTTAAATCTCCGCAGCCATTCCTTTCGCTCATCGGCTTTCTTTTTGGAGAAGGCCAACTCAATCAAACCGGCCTCGTTGTCCTGGATGGTGTGAAATTCCTTCAAGTGGCGGTCGAGGTCACGGAAATAAACCTGGGCATCTTCGGTGGTGCTAGTACCCAAACCCTTGTAGTATTTGTGCTCCCAGCGTTCGTTCTGGTGGGCTTCCCTGAATGCCTCATACTCGGGCATGGTAAAGAAGGAGTGCTGCTTGGTCGGGTTCTTGGGGTCACCCTTCCACACCTTGACAATGGGAGTGATGAACTCAATAAGGAACTCGGGAATCTTCAACAGACTAGGGAACTGGGCCTGAAGAAAGTTAATGAGCAGTCCCTTGATGTGGCTACCATCGTGATCCTGATCAGTCATAATCATGAGGTGACCATAACGAAGGCCGCGAGTGTCCGTATATTCTTTCTTATGTTGTAATCCAATGAAGTTCTTAATGTTTTGGATTTCCTGATTCTTGGATATCTGGTCGAAAGAAGCATCACGGACATTGAGCAATTTTCCACGAAGTGGGAAGACACCAAAAAGATCTGGACCGACAACTGCACGCCCAGCCATTGCCAGACCCTTGGCCGAATCCCCTTCTGTCAAGATAAGAGTGCAATGATGACCTTCCTTAGTGCCTGCTTTGTTGGCGTCGGTCAATTTCGGATTGTTCATACGCGAACGGCGACCCCCATCGGACTTCTTTAGCAACTGGTCCGCCTTTTGCTGAGCAAAATGCAGAATGTTCGACATGACTTCCGTTTTCAACACCTTCTTGTAGAAATCGTCTTCCAGCACACACTTGCTGCCAAATTGGGACTGCTTGGTCGTCAATTGCTCCTTGGTTTGCGAGGTGAAGGCGGGATTAACGATAAGCGCGTTCACAAAGATGAAGATGTGATTGCGGATTTGTGCGGGCTTAAGAGTAGCCCCATTCTTATTCTTCTTCTTGACTTGCTCAGCCAGCTTGTAACAAATCTGGTCGGCAATGTAGTTCACGTGGGTGCCTCCCGAAGTTGTGGCAATGGAGTTGACAAATGACACTTGCTGGAAAGCACCATCAGACACTGCAAAACCAATCTCCCACCGGGGGTCAGGGCTACATGTGATGATTTCGTCCTTGGGTGCGGGCCCTTCATCTCCACGCTCTTTGCGAATGGCCTTGGTGTACATTTCCATGTATTTCTTGAAGTTGCGAACGGGGATGCGGCTACCATTCAGCTTCACGGCTACCTTTGCCGTTCCAGCCAAGTCATAGATTCGACGTTTTACAAGGGCCTCGAAGTCATCGTCCATACCCGTCATGCCGAACTTCGCGTAGTCGGGTTTGAAAGTAACTTTAGTGTAGTCGTCACCCTTGGCATCCGTGATCTTAGCTTTACCCATCTTCGTCATGTTGTCGGTCCACGTCTGCTTGTATCTCTTCTTCTGACTTGAATCCTGGGTTTCGATAGTGAACTCGGTGGAGAAGACGTTACAGAGCTTGGCACCAAATCCATTACGCCCACCCGTGATTTTCTGCTGACTATCATCATAGTTTGAAGATGTGAGTAAGTGGCCGAAAATCAGCTCAGGGACGTAGATCTTTTCCTTGGCGTGCATTTCAATCGGAATACCTCGACCGTTATTCCAGACGCTGATTATACCAGAGTCGCGGTCAATAGTCACACGGATTTCGTCCATGTTCTTGTCATTCTGTTTGTTATCGGCGGCGTTGACAACAATTTCATCGAAGATCTTATAGAGACCAGGGACGTAGGACACCTCTCGGAACTCCATCCCCTCCGACTCCGAGCTGTATACCCACATCTGCTGTTTGGACATCTCGGTGGACCCAATATACGTATCCGGACGTTTAATGATATGTTCAAGTTGTGTAAGCTATAGCGTTGGGTTAGCAGGCAGCATGGCATTGTAGGCTCAGAGTCACCTGCCTTCTGGTACTTCTCTGATGCGTTGGTGTCCTTTGTCGGTTCGTCTGCGCCGTCCATTGTGAATGATTCATTCTCAACATCCGCGAGGGGTTTGGAGCCTCCTTTTTTAGTTGCCGGTGCCTTCTTAGGCTTCTTTGGAGGTGTGTGAGAAAGCATGGAGTCATTGTCCGACAGAATATTATCTTCCGAGAGATCGTCATCGCTTTCAGGCTTAGCGCGCTTCTTGGAGGCGGCAGCCTTCCCGACTGATTTCCCTGTGAGAGTTGTCTGAGTGGCCCTCTTGGGCGCGGCCGCTTTCTTCGGAGCCGCCTTGGCCTTAGGTTTCTAGGGGTGGCAACAGTCAGTAATAGGCAATTTGAGGCATCGATGGTTGGCTAGCACATACAGGAGCAGGCTCAGGAACGAAGTCGGAGCTGCCCTCATCATCCAAGATGGAGTCCATCATCGAGTCATCATCCATAGTGAAAGACTGGATGTTTTGTGTGTGAAAATAGAAAGGGGGTTAAAGAGTGACGGCTAATCTAGCAGAGTTGAAGAGAGAAACGGAGGGTCAACCTCCAGCACAGGGGAATGTGAAGGATGTAAGAGGGAACGTGAAGGATACAAGAGAGAATGTGAAAGAGAAAACAACAGAACCCCCGAGATGTTCTCCTCTGTCGATACGTTTGTCGAGGATTGCCTTTGTTGACGACTTGACGCGCTATGTCTCAGTCTTTGCTGGCAGAAGCTGTCTTTCCGCCATCGGGATTAGTGTTCTTCCTCCCCGAGTGGCGCATTTGCTGCCCAAAGAGGAAATTCCCAAACACACATGCCAGAAACGGAAGGGGCGAACAAAACATGCAAGGGCGGGGCGGGGGAGGGGGAAGGAGCCTTGTTGGCCCCAGGTATCCAAGCAGAGGTGCCTATTCTTAGCAATGCGGTCATCGAGGAGTTACGGCGACAAAGCTCCCTTCTCGTACCGTCATTTATCCCAGTTCTGGGTTTTGACTATTTTGACGTACTTTGTCTCAACCGTTATGGGAGTCCCGGCAACCAAGTAGCGCAGTTCTCCAGATGATACAGCACACTGATCAGGGGAAATCGCTTGAATAGAACTGTACTCGGTATATAAAAGGGGTTGGGGACACAAGTACTCACTTTCTGTAGAATTATTCTTAACTACTTGTGATTGTATATTTTCTGCAAATATATGATATAGGGGACGAGCTAGAGTCTTAAAAGATAAATAAAGAACCTGTATGAATCGCTTGGAGTTTACGGTAGAAGTAAAGATTGCTTTAAACTAAAATATTCCAAACAAACAAACAAGGGCTTCGAAATGAAAAGAAATAGAGCCTGAAAGCATGGCATGTCTAGACTGTTTCATTTCCAGTCGTGACTCGACATTGGACCAAGATCTCTTTACTATGAAACTAGTCGTTCGTCTGAGGTACAAAATTTATTCCAGAAACCTTTCCCTTGTTATTTTATTGGTTGTGATCTTTCGAGCATCACGCCTCCTAATTCTCTCAATTTCTGTAAAGGATAGATTTCAAGGTGCCCTCAGTAGGGTTGAGGCCCGGAGATAGCTGCAACATAGGGAAAGCAGCGACAGGAGATCGGCTGTCAGGTGTGTTACTACAGATGATAAGGTTATGATAAAGAGACTGGTGACTTTCTATCCTTCCACCTGTAATTTTCCACCTCCCTTGCTCTTGCTCTTTGTGTCTGAAGGGCTTTCTCGAACTCTAGCAGTCCCCAAGTCACCATTCAACTAGAACATAAAATGTCACTGGCTGTGGCCCGTTCCTCTGATTTGTATGTAAGCATTGAGCGAAGCATAGCTTAGATAGCCATCGTCTCCTCTCTATTGAATTTACCCATGCCGATTTTCTCTCGCGGTGCTTGTATTTGCTTTTGAAACGAATGCTCAAGAGAAGCGAAAATAAATCAAAGCTTGTCAGGTGTAAACAAGCCTCACCTGGTTAGACAGAAAGATGTGCCCTGCATTGATCCCCACGTCACTTCTGCCTGCGGTTCAGTATGAGAGAAGGCTTCACCAGAGTCACTAAGGAGGAGATGGGCCTCGGAAAGCTCAACCTTATTTGCTTTCTTCCCTAGCCATACTGGCACAGTTCCATGAAGAGGGAGGTCAACGGGAAGAGGTTGTCCATCAAGTCGCATAACCGGTTCTGTGTCTGGTTCACCAAACTTGTCATAGAGCTTCTCAACAGAGAGTCGGTCAAAGCTAGTTGTCAGGCATATCAGGGCATTTCCAAGATGGATATCTGTGCTTGACGAATCGAAATAATTTCTCGCTACCTTTGCCACATGATGGGCTCCCACTGGACTGACATACCTCCGTTAACAAACCCTTGGGCACGGGTATATGCAACAGCCAGAACAAGTTCAGCAACAAGAGCACGCGCAGTCTCCATGCTGAAGAAACGAGGGAAGCTTACTGCAGCTACACAGCTTTTCGATTCCAAATTGGGTCTGGTGATCTCAACTTCGATGCAAGATTTGTAGAAAAGATTACAAGGGTATTTGATGGTCTATCCTCTCCCTTGTTTAGAAGTATTATTAGCATTCAACTGGTGGATTCTTGAATCTATGCCGATACTTTTCGACTCATTAAAATAATTATAGAGTACTATAATCAACTTTAACAAGGCTGGCGTCCCTTACATAAGTTTAGTGCCTCGGCGGTATTGTATAAGATGTATCATACAGTATTGTGTGGTTTCTCGTTGTAGAAAGAATCCAATCACAATGGTGTCTGATTGCAACTGGCCAATAAAATCCAAGTAAGATAGCCAGCCCCACTAACGGAGACGGTACTGGGTATGAAACATGCCAAAGCTCGTATCGACACTACATTCAGGGGAAATGGCCTTCAGAGTGGTTGTCTGTCACCAACTGATGCAGGGGAATGAATGGTACTTATGCATGCCATCTCCAATGCCTACTGTAAGCATGTTATGTCATTTTGGTATGCACATGGTAGCAGAGCATCAATAGGAGAAGCCAGGGGCTTGATTGATGTCATTCTCTGGATGAGTCCATTCTCATTTCCGAGTCATCTTAGGAGATTAACAGTATGGCCACTTACTGCCTTTTAATCGCCTTGTGGGGGTCTAGACTGGATTCCTGGAATCGTCGATGATTCTTCCCTGTGCTCCGTACTGTACAATATACCACAGTACTCTGTACCTATGATCCATACGGTAGTTAGTTTAATTTAGAGTAGTTAGTTAACTGCATCTGGCTCTTAGATAATACAACTTCAAGAGCTTCTTCTATCCATGGTTCGGCATGTGGAGATTCCTGCCTTTCTTTGGGGTTAACTTTGGAGACCAATAATCGACACATATGGGATTGAATTATTGGGATCGATCGACGGGCCAGACTCGACGCTGGATTACCTGAAAGACATCCGATGCCCCTGAATTTCGTCATACCCCGTCTACTCTGTAGTACGGATAGGAGTTTCCATTCATTATCAGTTAGGAGGATTATCTTTCTACGGTGGTACGGAGTATCTATTTCTTTATTCTCAGTAGTACTTCTAGTGGGATGAGTTCTATTACCATCCCAGTTAGCCTGAAGCTCTAGTGGCCGGCACTAATTACGACTAACTAAATAATCTCTCGCCATTCACTCCGACCCATCCCATCCTTTCAGGGAGTTTCTGAAACCATCATTACCGACCGCTTCCACCATCACCGCTCTTACTTTCTCAACTTCCACTTTCAATCCCACCTTCCAGTTGTTGGTCCCTCGGTCCCCTCAACTAGCATTGGTCTTCCTTGAGAAATGCTGTTATTATTTGGCAGCCCCTCCTGATCCTGTGCTTCTGAATCCACCCCTCCTCGATTCCGACCGTGACGACCGCTATTTCCCCTCCCCCACTGGCGATTGACTGAGGAATGCGCTGCTGAAAATTCAATTGTACAACGGAACTCATTCTAATAAAGAACGACATGGATCCTTCAACTCCGATCACGTCTCATGGGCAGTCAGATGGGACACTGAATGAAGTTGCCCCCAATCATGCCCACACAGACTCGATGGTGACGGTCTCATTGTCCTCCAACTCAGAGCATACTCAACCAGATTGGCGGACACTTGAAATCCCCCAGACACCAGTAGAATTGACATCACCTCCCATGGAAAACCCAAGTGCGAACGAAACCGAGAAAATAACCACACCAACTCTGGAGCCGGTAAAACCAGCTTCTAGCTCAGGTGCTTCAATTCGCTCCCGTAGCAGTGATGAACTTGATCGGGGAGATGGCGACATGGTTGATTGGGAGGAACTGGAAAAGACAGAGGAGCAGGAACCGCGCCGTGAAGGCTCTGATGAGGTGGGTTATCATCCATGGGACGGCAGAAAACGGAATAATTGACTCGATTTTAGTCGACAGCACTTCTCCTAGCTCGCTTAGAGCAAGAAAACAATGCATTGGCAACCAACCCAAAGTCAGGTTTGTCGAATGTCTCGAAATCCAATGGGGTACCACAAAGACCATCCCGATCCCAGTCCCTCCACCATATCAAGAGATTGATTAAGGACGACTCTCGATCCTCTCTGCGCTACTCGCAACTTCCGCCTCCACCTATGACTGAGCTCGAATTTTGGGCGGCCTTGGTTGCAGACTACCCCCAGACCGCCCAGCGACTCCCGACATTGACCTCCAACAAAATTCGTGGAGGTGTTCCACCTCCCCTCCGCGGTGTGGTGTGGCCCAGCTTGGCAGGCGCTAGGGATACAATGCTTTTGGCGGAATATCAAAGATTATGTGGTGAGACGAGCCCTTACGAGGGACTCATTGGAAAGGACATTGGGCGTAGCTTTCCCAACGTTGAGATGTTCCGTGATCCACATGGTGAGGGACAGCAGATGCTGGGTCGAGTATTGAAATGTTTTAGTCTTTATGACACCAAGATTGGTTACTGTCAGGGTCTAGGATTTGTTGTTGGCCCACTATTGATGCACATGACAGATGCAGAGGCATTCTGTGTGCTAGTACGGTATGTCTAGTCACGCAATGCATGGCGTAGAATGCGATGCTGACATGACCAGACTGATGGAGCATTATGATTTACGGACATGCTATCTACCTGATCTGTCTGGGTTACATCTCCGTGTATACCAATTCCAAAACCTCCTTTCCCGCCTTCGACCGGGTCTGTTTGCACATCTGGAATCGTTGCATGTTGAGCCGATATACGTGTCTCAGTGGTTCCTATCATTCTTTGCCGTGGCGTGCCCCATGCCAATGCTTCTCCGGATATACGATATTATCTTCTTAGAAGGGGCGTGCGAGACCCTAATGCGTGTTTCCCTTTCGCTCATGCAACGAAACGAGAAGAAAATCATGGCCTGTACAGAATTCGAAGACGTCATGCAGTTTTTGCTATCTCGGAGTTTGTGGGATACGTAAGTTAAATCAGTCGGATGATTCGAATCCGCTAAAACTAACTTTGCTGCAGATACGCCTGTCATGCAGATGATTTCGTCAATGACTTCGTATCCCTAACTTCGCTTGTTACCAAGGAGAGCCTCCAAGCCTTGGAGGCTAGCTATAACCAATCACAGGGTGTACCCACAGGAATTTCATTCCCTCAAATGCAGGCCGCGGCGTCCCGCTTCTTAGGCCGATTCTGGGCGGGGTCTAGTTCTCTCAACTCCGGCAAGCCCTTCTCGCTCAACCCCAACCAGTCCGGCACGTCGGCGAATACCAGCATTCGCCGGTCGACGTCCAAACAAAGCATGACATCCACTTTGAATTCCATCGAATCCACGTCAGACGCCAGCACGGCGGCAACAGAACTTTCTGCCGATGCACTCAAACCCCGTGCCAAATCCGCTATGTTGCAGCACAAGGACCGCGATCTTCACACGCAAATCGAAGAGCTTTTGATGGCGCTAAGCGATCTGCAGCATCAGCATGCGGACCTCACTCGGGAATTGCAGCATGAGCGGGAAGAGCGCGAGGAGGATCAGGAGATCGCGAAATTGATGCTCAGTTATATCAAGGAAGCGACGGAAAAGCCCCCGACGGAGCTAATCAGCAAAGCGGAAGAGCGGTTTGAAGGGGCTGAGTCTCCTGATCAGGAGTCTATCGACCAAACCAAACATCAGCTTCGCGATGATGTGAATCGATGGAAGGAGATGCACTCCGTGGAAGCCGGTCGGTGCCTCGATCTCACGCGTCGAATCGATGAGAAAGAGAAGGATAATTCGTCGTTGCGAGATCAACTCCGAGAGGCTCGTGGACGCATCCAAGACGGATACCGCGATCGCCAACGACTGGAACGGATGGTCCGCGAGCTGCGGTCCGTCAAGTCACTTAACTCCGAAACTCCGCCGGAGTCGTATGGGTCACCGACAAGCGAACCCGGCGAAGGATTCGTTGCCGGTGGGCTGCGCGAACTTAGGCTCGTACGGACGAATTCACAAAGGAGCACCTTCACCAAACGATCGAGCAGCCTGGGTCTGCAATCGATACTGTCGACAGAGAACAACAAACCGGCGGGCGAGGAGGCTCTGCTCTTGGAACTTGTCAATTCAAAGACAGCCGAAGCGGTAGCCAAGCAAGAACTTGAGGAGGTGAAGGCCAAGATGGAAGGGCTCCGGAAGATGGTTGCGGCTTCGCAACGAGGACAATCGCAAAATGGAATGATCCCGGAGTCTTTAAACCGATCCTCATCCTCGGTAGGGGTAAACAAGGCTGTCACGGAGCCAGCTGTGGGTGGATTCTTTAGTGGATGGGCCCGACGAGCCGTAACCAGCACGGAGTCGTATACGGAGAAGTAGACACACTGATTGATGGAGTGTATTGTATCTGGCAAGGAGTTTTGACCGAGGCTTGGATTTAGGGTGTTCCATTATCTTTGATATATTTCAAGCATATGATATCCTTGTACATAGCCACGAGACATTGACAATACTTGCACACATACGGGGAACCAATTTATGAATCAATCCCGAAAGGCCGCCCAAGCCTGCAACGCACCCATCAACGCAACCACGACGCCATTCCCCATGACTCCCCGTTTCAAATACCACCCCGAGCTAGCCCACACAATCGCCGTCATCAACGCTGCGATAGCCTTGTTGATTGGCTGGTCCAAGAGGGTTGGGTTCTGCGCCCAGTTATAATTAATCAATGCTGTCGATATCAGTGTCATCCTTTCATTTTGGTTTCTCATCCATTCATTCCCATCCATTAACGATAGATAGATACAGCTATGTATACCATACCAGTCATAAGAAAGAACGCACTCCCTTGATACCAGCCTACTTTTCCACACGTGTAGGAGAGATTAGGCAGGGCGCGGAACTGGGGAGTTGATTGCCATTCTTTGGCGGAGATCTATCCCCCATATTAGTCAAGACTGGGTAGTCTAGTAACTAGTCAAAGGATGGACGGTGTACCGTATGTCCGAGGGAGATTAGAAGCCAGCCTGTGGCGGTTGCGTGGAGGGGAGTATTCATTTCTTCTTCTTCTTCTTGCTTATTATTCAGGTTCTTGAAGTGTTATTGATTAGGTTGTGATGGATTGAGATGGGAGAGTGGATAGACGATGAAAGGTGGAGATGAAGTGGTTATCAGATGGATGCCAAGACTGAGTGCCGAGGTAATGTGCATGTACCGGACTTTATAATTATGGTAATGTTGGGAAAGTTTAATTTAGGCACAAAATTCCATGGCAGGTGTTTGGTAAAGATAGCATTCTACCGAGGGATTTATTCTAAAATATTATAGATGCGGAGAAGTGAGACTGGTGGAATGACTTGTGCATGTTTTCTTGAATGATCTGCATTGTACATGCACATCGAAGTGACTAGGGACCTGGCCTGTAATGGATATTATGAGGAGGTAGTTATGCCTACTATATTTATGTAATCTATATCATTTGCTATTGATGTAGTAAATTAGACATTAGCAGGGTAATGCTTCTTTCTGTACATACGCGAATACGAAAATGAGAGCACGATTAGGCCACAGAACGCGGGACATCCAGCTCGTCACGGATCCAGAACATATTGGAATGTCGACTTCTAATCCAGACAAAGTCAGCGACACTGCGTTGTAAGCCGAAGAGGGTTTAGGACGATAGATTAAAGAAGGGGCAAGGACGAAAGTGACGCCTGTCCCATCGGCGATGAAAAAGAGATTGATATCAATGTGTAGGCGAGATAAGGGTCGACGATGGATTGGTAGTATGGACAGGAGAGGACGAGGGAAGTGCTGGAGAAACTCCCCCGGATGATCAGGGCCAGGGATTTTGTGAGACCGTGTTTCGCTCGGATGATGTAGGTATGGGATTTAGGGATTGTTTTTGGACCAGGCTCGGAACAGGGACTCATGGGGTGGGATTACCACATGGCCAAGTCTGGAGCAGAGTTAGAAATGCTGGCCGATGTCGCAAGGGGCATGGGGAAGTTGGAAGTCGGGACGGACGACGTTGCCATCTTGGTCGTCGGGGAAGGAGGCGATATGGGTTTTGGGATATGAAGGCCGAAGGAGGAGGGAGCTGCGTGAGTATGGAAGTGGAGGATGACAGCGCAGGAGCGCCTCGTTTTTCCCTAACCTCCGATAACTACAAGGCAGGCTGTTTTAAATAAAAACCATATACTCTTCCACATTTATTTGTAACTGGAGATCCCCATCAAAAGCGATTGTGTATGTACAGAATTCGAACTCCCCCTTTCGGCCGACCTGTACATATAATGATGTTGCGCATTGTCTAAGGCACAACCCGACCGCCAGCGTATTGCTGATATGCTGCCGGTAGACAAGCAATGATCTTATCAGGATATTCTCTCCGTCATTGAGAAACTTCGTTGCCAAACATGTTGAATCATCAAAGCAAAAAAGCATAAACCTCCTGATAGAGATAACTATATTGACATTAATTTGTTTGTGCAGAAAACCCTATAATGGAAACCCGCCCATGACGATGACCGAGACCAAGGATACCATCTTTAATTGCTGAACAATTAGGTTTTCGATGCTCCAAAGGGAGCCACAGGGCTTTTTGACCGTCAAAAACCACCCAATCATTTGCCAGAGGTGCTTGAGGTGTGGGATTATATGGAGTTGGACATTCATTACCCATATGCTGAAGTCTAAGAGAACCAAAGTTTGTATACAGATATGGGCCTCTGTTGGAAAAGCTTAAGTATTTAATAGGCCCCTCAGCAGGTATAGTCCAATGGAGTGCCCCGGTCTTCACATCCCACAGCTTGACTGTATCTGCCTTGGTATCCACTAGCTTGACTGTATGAGAATCAGAGCCTGAGGCCAGTGTCTGACTGTCCGGTGAGAAGGCCACAGCTCGAACCGAAGCTGAATGCCCCCTAAGCGTGTGATGTTCTGTGAGAGTCTTGACATCCCACAGCTTGACCGTGCCATCACCGGACCCAGAAGCCAGAGTCTGACCGTCTGGTGAAAAGGCTACAGCTCGAATCGCATCTGAATGACCTCTGAATGTGTGATGCGCCATACCAGACTTAGCATTCCACAATTTTACAGTGCCATCGCCAGAACCCGAGGCTAGTGTCTGACTGTCCGGCGAGAAGGCCACCATTTGAACCCAATATAAATGGCCATTGAGTGTGTGATGTTCCATCCCGTTATTAACATCCCACAGCTTAACTACGCCGTCAACGGAGCCGGAAGCCAGGGTTTGACCATCTGGTGAGAAGGCCACGGTTCCAACCAAATCCAAATGGCCATTAAGTGTCAGATGTTCCGTACCAGCCTTGGCATTCCACAGCTTGACTGTACAATCATTGGAGCCAGAAGCCAGAATCTGACCGTCCGGGGAGAAAGCTACAGTTTGAATCATATCTGAATGTCCGTTGAGCGTGTGATATTCTGCACCAGTCTTGGTATCCCATAGCTTGACTGTGTGGTCATCGGAGCCGGAAGCCAGCATCTGACCGTCCGGAGAAAGGGCCACAGTTCGAATCAAATCTGAATGGCCGTCGAGAGTGTGATTATCAGTGCTGGTCTTGGTATCCCACAGCTTGATTGTACAATCATCGGAGCCGGAAGCTAGTGTCTGACCGTCCGGGGTGAAAGCCATGGTTCCAACCGCATCTACATGGGCCTTGAGTTTGTGATGTTCCGCGCCGGTCTTGGCACTCCACAGTATTATCATGCCATCAACTGAGCCGGAGGCTAGCGTCTGACCGTCCGGTGAGAAAACCAAGGTCCCAATCGAATCTGAGTGGCCGTCGAGCGTATGATATTTTGTGCCGGTCTTAGCATCCCATAACTCAATTGTGCCATCATCGGAGCCGGAAGTCAGTGTCTGACCATCCGGTGATAAGGCCACAGTTACAGCTGAATCAAAATGGCCCTTGAGCGTGTGACATATTGTGCCGGTCTTAGCATCCCATAACTTAATTATGCCATTATCGAAGCCCGAGGCCAGTGTCTGGCCGTCAGGTGAGAAAGTCACAATTCCAATGGAATCAGAGTAGCAGTCGAGCGTAAGATATTCTGTACCAGTCTTAGCATCCCTTAGCTTAACTGTGCCATCAGCTGAGCCGGAGGCTAGTGTCTGACCGTCCGGTGAGAAAACCAAGGTCCCAATCGAATCTGAGTGGCCGTCAAGCGTATGATATTCTGTGCCGGTTTTGGCATCCCACAGTATTATTATGCCATAGTCGGAGCCTGAGGCTAGTGTCTGACCGTCCGGTGAGAAGGCGACGGCTGTAACACAATCAGAATGGCCCTTGAGTGCGTGCTGTTCCGTGCCGGTAGTAGCGTCCCACAGCTTAATTGTGTTATCGCTGGAGCCTGAGGCCACTGTCTGACCATCCGGTGAGAAGGCCACAGCTGAAATGTAACCAGAATGGCCCTCGAGTGTCTGTAGTTCTGCATTCCAGACTTCCATTTGTGGTACCGAATATATCCATCTAGGGATTTCTTTTCGAAACTGTCTTCTAATAATTGACCTGCATGGTGAGAACATTAACCCAGAACAATAAAGCTGAAGTGGGGCAGTATTGGCGATTTGCGTATTTTTTAGAACGAATCGTTTTGCGTCGAGTAAGAATTCTGACGTCTCGGAATCTGTATTCTCCTAAATTCTTCCATGTTAGTGCATAAAAGCCGTCGTGGATTGTCCAGACACTTACACCTATAATCGACTGCAATGTTTTTATAATACCAACCACCTCTGGCATATATCCTAGTAAACCCATTGCCTCTAACCAATGGAGAAAATGATTCTTCAAGAAAGCAAGAACATCGGAGGACATGCGAGCTTTGCTTTGCTCTAGATGATACGCCCAATAACGACAAGAGTATTGAAGGTATGCTGGAAGACATTGGTCAACAGACTGGCTGGTGATATCTGTACGTTGAGTTCCATAACTTGGTAGACCACAGATATTGTGTTTCAGGGAGGTATTCATGATGCGAAGGCAGTGCAAAGCTATTTTCCTGTGTGTTTCCTTCTCATTCACGCGGAAGCTACTTTCCGTGTTAACTAGGAAATCTCGAAATGATAAATGCAAAATTCGCACTGGGGAATCCATATTATCTGGTATCCTAAGTACTGAATATAGTACATCCAATACATTTCTGATATCTTCTCTTTGTATGCCAAGAAGTTGCGCAAGAGCATTGATTGAGAGTGGGGTGGCGAGAATAATAATAACCCCAACTATATCCAGAAACTCTTTCACAAGCTCCGTTGATTCATTCTCGTCCTCAGTTGTGAGAAGTTGGTTTAATACAGGCAGGTATATTCTCTCCATCTGAGATGCAGATGTGACTGCTTGCGATTGGAGAAACCTTGCAAGGCGCCTTTCTGGGGACTGCCTTCCCTTCCCAACAAAGCGACAAACTGTGGCAGCAAAAATAAACAAAGGAACAGCCATTGCAGTCAACTTTTCTATAGCATCATCTCCAGGCCATTCTGAAGGGAGTGAGCGCTCGTCCCGTATTTTTAAAAGGCTGTCTTTCACAAAGAGACGTATGTCATGCTCAATCACTTGCTTGGGAATTTTGTGAAGGACCAAGTCCTGATGGTCCTCGTGTTGCTTGAAGCCAAGACGGATAGGAAGTTCAGGCCTGCTTGTCAGGAATATTTGAATACGCATTGAGCTAGATCTCTGCACATGAGGTAAAAGGTTAAGTATAACTTTAATATCGTCTTCTTGCTCGCACTCATCCAATCCATCGATCACAATCACTGTGGTAATAGTTTGTTTCAAATTTACGGTTTCCAGCGGTTGTAGAATAAGTTTATCGAATTGTTCCCTGAGAGACTTTGCAGAAATATTTGGATCAAGCTCAATCGCTTTTAAGATACCAGGTGCCAGCTGCCAATGTTTGATCACCAATTGTTGTGCAATAGTTGATATTAGTCTTTTTGCATTCGCTCGGTCCGCTTCGCCTCTTTTAAAGAAGAAAGTGGCGCCTAGCTGCCCCTTCTCTTTGAATGATTGCGCGACAGTTCGGGCAATAGTGGACTTTCCTGTTCCCGCCATACCGTTTAACCAAAATATACATTTACTCTCTGAGGATTCAGCCCACTCTGTAATTTGGCGACGAATCTCCATCCGGGTGTCTGGGAGGCATATATCTTCATGTTGATTCAAATATGAGTCATAAAATGCGCCTTCCGCAATGTGCAGGTTCAGGAGATTGAACTTCTGAATAACATCTTGGACCGATTCTTCCAACCTATCAGTCTGAGCCAGAAGTCGCTCTGCTTCTTCTTTGCGGTGGAGATGTTGATCTAACTGGACGAACTGGTACAAGTACTGCTCTTCTTCTTTCACGGAAGATTGAAGGCTCATGAGAGGATGGTTAGTGATTGTGGTAACACTGTTTAAAACTCGCCGTCCCATGCTAGACATCTGCACGTTGAACATCTCCGCTGCATAGCGGAGAATTATTTTATAAACTCTGATAATTGTGCTTCTCATTTCGGGTCCCATTTCAGTCCTGTTGTGGTAGAAGTTTATTTCAATATAGGCACATCGTGCAAGGATATCTGCTAAGTATTCTGAGGATTTGAACATGGCATCTCGCAAGTCACAAACGTTCTTGGTCATCTATATTTTAGAGTACCGGTTAGTCTTGCTTTACGTAACGTAGCCTCTGCAATAACACACCATCAATCCAAATAAGACAACTGCCCAAGCACTTGCTGCGTGACTGGTGGGATCAAATGCGGCAACCGCGCTAATAGCATCTTTGAAAGACCAAGCAGCACTGATTATTTTTCGAGACAGTTGTCGGAGGTTAATATCTCCTCCTGTAGGCCTTCGAATTTTCAAGCCTCCCTGTTGGTAGTCCTTATATTGCTCTTTTGTTATCTGAATAACCTCATCTATAACAGCTTTTGTCTGTGAACAGTCTTCGTCTTCTCCATTTGGCGGAGCTGGAACCCGTATTTTCGACAAAATAGCCTGCTCCTCCTCCTCTAGTTGGTTATAAGCAGCTTGCCATAAATCCTGCGGTATAGAGGCTTCCTCCAGCTTCGCCACATGGATGGCAGGGTTACTGGCAGAAGTCGCCAGTGGAGGCTTGGGTCTGTGCAGTTTCTCCCGGACTTCGCTTTCCCACTCTCCCCACTTTTTTGCAATCCGTCGCATCTTGTATCATTACAAGTCTTTTGTAATTATTGAGTGTTTTGGTTGCTCTTGTTAAGAGTTCGTCTCTGAAGAATGAGAGATATTTTTTCTCCCTTACAGTAATACTCTTCCCCTGGTTGACGTGTCAGTGCGGCTGAATGGGTTATGGAGACTAATTTTATGCAAAATACAGCCAATCAAGTTACTGAAAATACGATTCCACGTAATCTCCTTATCTCCAAGCAAAATGCATATTAGGGAAGACCAAATTGGAGTACTCTCTGTACCTAGGCTGTTTACTAAGATAACTAAGCGACCCCGAAGTCATATGGCAAAGGGTCGGTTAGTTAGTACAGCTTAAATAAGTTGCCTTCCCCAAGGATTCTTGTTTATTCGTGTCAGATGTGCGGACCCTTTGGGTGACCGGGCACATTGTCGGCCCGAGCTGGGTCTATTCCAGTAGTTTCCACGCAAACTGGAAAAAATTGGGAAATAGTTGCCTGGCAGATCCAGCTGTTCAATGTACGCTGTATCACTCTGGAGATCACTCGGCTTGCATGCACCAAATGCGCGAATATTGTACTGCAGTAATACTGTAGTGTCTAAATACTTTTATCTCCTCTATTAAAAAAGATCTTGAACGGCATCAGTCAAGTGAGCACAGTGTGATTCCAGTTCTTTCAGTATTCATTATGGGAAAAGCTTATAGAGGTTACTTTAGTCTTCGCAGACAAAGTACCTTAATATGTTAACGGTTGCCATCTGTTAGTCTTAGGAAACTCTTCCCAATCATTGCCCCCAGAATGGCAGGAAAATATTGAACGAAGCTAGATGCTTTCTGCGCCTATTGCTACTCTGCACGGCACGTGCGATTGCCACTTCTACATTCTGTATACGCGAGCACACCTCAGCACATGAAACGGTCAGCAATTCAATGCCGTACACGTGGAGTTGCACATAGCCATATGGAGGATATAATTGTCTCTGTAAAGTAGCCACTTAGACGAAATACCTCAACAGGCTCCATGCCTCTGAATGATCTTTTAGCACACATATAATAGAGCTATGCGATTATCTAGAGGGGCTTAGTTTGGTTGACTATGTGCCTGGAAGAATTAGACTTAGATAGTAAGGCTGAATATGCAAGAAATACTGCTTCCGGCCAATTGATCACTTAGATTTCGGATGCTGCTTGGACGCCCTCGATGTGAGCGGTAGCACGTGCTTAGACGAATGGGTAGTAAGATTCTTCTCAATGCTTGCTGGATCATACAGTATACAGTATCGCTATATTTGTCTTTGTGTAAACGCATATCGGGTATTTAGAGATTCTTTGGATGTCTTTCAAGAGGCATTACATTAGTCAGGAAGTGGGCTTGAGAAATCAATTTGTGATAGTTATTTATGTCATTATCTGGGAATTTACTTGTGCTATACTAGGGAGTGATTTAAATATTTTGCCCTCTACAGCGCAAGGCTAGTCAAGACTACGCAATGTAATTTATTCTAATATTATAGACCATCACTTGCGCTCTAGACCTATGGAATATAATCATTTTCTGGTGCTTCCAGGACAGGAAGCGCTACTTCCAGGGAGAAGATTAGACAGGTCTCCATTCCTTTCAACAAATTCACCAGGTTGCGGAAAGCTTATATCCCGGCCCTTCGGTGTAGTGCATCTATTCCCAATATTGGCCACGAACATGTCTAGAAAATAAGGTAAGGAGTTTTTATTATATTTAGCTAACTTCCTAGTCCCTTCTGCAGCTTTTCTCTTGGATATTTTACTAGTTATAGTAACAGGGGCAGAGTTCATATACATCTCTCGGTTCCCAAGGCGGTTGAACCATGTCCAAGCTAAGGTGTACTTTCCCGGCTCGATTCCGGGGGGAATAGTGAAGCTGAGGTGGGATGGGGTGGCCATTGTTGGATTAGCGGCAAGGTTACCATCAGTGTTAACCGGGCAACCGCCCTTATACGACTTAATAACTATCCATCTTGAGTCCTTCGTAGGGTTCATGTCAGTGGTGAGACTTATCTGGTAAGAACCACCACCATGTGTGGTGCTGCCCATCAGGCCCAACGACACAGATTTACCGATGGTATACTTGTTCCCTTCAAGAGGAGGGTTATAGACTCCTGGACACTGCTTGCAAGGGAAGTCACTACTATTAGCTGCCAAGGGAGAGTTGTTTAGCGTGGCTTTGCCATAGGGGATAGGATTTGTCATGACAAGATAAGCCTCTGCCGTGGTGACTGCCAGGGCAGAAATAAGACCAACCGTGAAGTGCATTGTGTTTGGATCTGCTTACAAATACTGTAGCTCTCTCGAAACTTGGATTGCGTTGATCAGACCTACAAACAGATTGTAGAATTGGTGCCTCATGAACGGAAGACATCGATGATGGCCTTATTTAAAGACAAAGCTGACGTAATGTTATTAGTACTGTAGATTTGGTTGGACCGACACTTTATATCAAACAAGCCAACAGTCGCATCCAACAGTTACCTGAATACCAGCGTAAACTAGTATGGCTCACTAATATTTAATAGGATTTCTCGCATTAATACAGTATCGTGAACATATCAAATGCGCGAGAACAGAAAATTCTTGTTGATTCGGCTCTAAAGTTAAACAAGCATGAAAATACTATTCCTCTGCAAGAAGACACAAAATCTCTAAAACTCCTACCCCTTATTAAAGAACTATATAGTCCAGAAATATATCCACCCCCCTTAGAAGTAATGCGCAGCTTTAGCTAGACACTATTTAATACACTTATAAAGGTCTATTGCAAGCTGCTATATAGTAGTTGTAGCCTTAGTATAATGTACATCCTTAAATTAATAACAGGCGGTGATTCTAAATTAAAATAACAGCACAATTTGCCATGCTATTTCACTTCCGTTGCTTTTTTATTAGGTATTGCATTACCCTTACCCCCACTAAGGCTCTGCTGTTTCCACCCACTGTTGCCAAGGTGCTTTGGCAGTTCTATGAAGTAGCTGAAAATATACTGCCCTCTTATGTCCTGCTCAACAAGCCTTATAGAAAAGTAAAAATGTCCTTAAATCCGCACTGTCCAACTACAACATTGGGTTGCTTCAATGGAGAGACCCACTAAATTTGCCAGTGGTCCTTTTACAATATGAACACAACAGTCCATACTAAAAATAACCTGTATAATAAATAGAGATTTGAATGGGCGCTGAGTCTTAAGTTGCTTAATATAAAAGCTTTGGTTATTTTCTAAAACATTTATAAAGAACTTACTGCTGTTACTTAATACTGCCCCTAACTATATGTAGTCCAAGTTCCCCCCCCACTTAGAAACTTCTAAACATTTTAAAGAATTTTAATAGTCAGGGCTGTTTTGCACCATCCTGTACATATTTTTGTTTGCCAAGTTTGATCAGGGTAAGAGAATTTGTTGAGTCTTAGCGCCTATATGTATTTATTGCATCTTAATAATTAATAATTAAGTGCTGTATTAACATAGAGTGTTCGAGGCTACACATATAAACTTTTTATAGTTATTTAATAGATCCTTTTTTGTTAAGTACAATAGACGTATAGTTAGCATACATAAAGATATACTTAACTATAGATTATTAACGCCATGGACAACATGTCTTTACGGAAAATAGATATTAGTTATATTACAAACACCTTCGAACCCAGCTTCGACCAAGCACTTGCCAAAGAAGGGACACAAAGAAGCAATTTGGAGAGCAAGAACTCCTGTGGAAATTTAAAGAACTACCCAGGCTCAAAAAAACTTGGACATGGGAATAAGGTAGGCTTGGCAGTCCTTTGATGTTTCTTCTTATATACGAAACCTTCTTGTGTAGGAAATATAGTATTAATCTAGTATATAGAGAAAAATTTGGTCTTAGAGATATACTAGGAGTAGTAAAATACCAGCCAGACAAACTCTATTCTAAAAGGGGCGCTGTTGTCGTCTCCAAAAAAGCACGCATGACAGTGACTCTATACAATATAACAACACCCTAGTCCCTAGGAGAATGGAAAATTTTAATAGAGATGTATCTGTAACTCCCCTAGCAGAAGATCTCTATGTTGTTAAAAAGAGTGGAGTAAAAGACCTACAACCTATACTAATTGCCGGAGCAAAGCCTTGGGACTAGCTGTCTCGAGTGCGATCCGCACCACTCTAGACATGGACACTTTAACTAGGAGAGACTATTAAAGTTAATCTGGGGCAAGACGGAAAAGGATACGCAATAGTATCTGATATCCGTCACCTGGAGGATGGCCGTTTTGTTATGATGTATGCGTGGCTATACACTTGAAAAGATATTATATTTAAATGTTTAGTTAATGGTACTCTACCAAGGAAAAGTCGATACTATATTAACCTAAATTGGCCTCCAGGTGCTTACTATAGGTATATAGTTAGCACTAATCGGACTATTACCCTCTGGGACACGGCCATTAGTCCAGCTCCGAACAATATGGTTAATAGTGTGAGCCAGGAATTTGTGTACCGCACTATATTATATATGCGAAAGATCAGCTCCATTTATGGTAGATTAGTAAGATAGGTGAAAGAAATTCTAGACTTGAAATACCCTAAACACAAGGCAAGTTAATAAACATTTGGTTAATTTCTCCCTTATGTAGGAAGCAAGATTGTTAATAACAATGCCTACGGTCTTAGCGCCAGAAGACAAATCACGTTAGCCAGCGCTGTTATAAACTGTTAATATTTATTTTTATTGTTTTTTGTATTCCCCAGGCTTTTCACGGCTATAGGCTACATGTTGGCCACTAGTAGGTTCTATCTACAGTCCTCTAATCATGCCTGACCCTAGTCCTTATATACATAGTTATTTATCCTCCTCTAGCTCCCTCCCTCTTATTATTTCCAGTGATCCATATTATCTAAAAGCATCCTCTCCTGATCATATCTTTTACTACAGTATAGCACCTGCGCACCATTATTGAAATCAAGTGTATTAGTCAATGTTAGTAATTAGGTACTGTAGCTTCCATATCATGTACATAGAGGTCTGTTTCAAACCGTAATTCCAAGACATACTAAGTAGTTACTATTGTTATTTAAGATACTGTTCCTAGATTGAACTGGAAGATACTACTGCGCAAGCTGATGCCCGGCCGGCCAGGACCAGCTTAGTATATCTTCTTTATTTGCAAAATAACTCTATCCACATATATTCCATGTTGCACCCCGAACTTGCAGTTTGCATAAGGTAATGGGGCCAAGGGGACGCGAGAATGTTAATAACCCCCTTTATAACTATAATCTCCTTACTTCTCTGCTCCCCAGCCTATGTCCGCCTTTCTTAGCCGAACTTATTTTGCTATGTCACTGGCGAAGGCTGCTAAGCACCCAAAATCTAGTGCATAATCTGCGAATGGGCTATTTCAGGCTCTAAAAAAAAGCGCTTAAGATAGATCCTATACTGACCACAGCGTAAAACTAAAGCTGTCAGGCGCGATATGGTTCTAGTTTCTTGACGATTTACCAACCTAAATTTAAAAATTGTGCTTTCTGTACTTGTTTCGCATAGCGCGCACCAAAGTGTTGCAATTAATAAATAATCCACTAATTTCGCAAACAATCAGCATATTAGATGGCATTTTCTAGCCGAAACGAGACACTAAGTATGGTGATGACAAGAACAACATGCCTATTAAGGAATAATTCTACCAATAATTAGCGGCTTTTCAGTAAAAGCAGTTTGAAATGCTCGGATATGTACGTTGTTAAATAGTATTAGCTATTCCAGGCTTCTTACTATGGTGCGCTTTGTGCATTAACTTTAGAAGTACTGTAGCATATTATTTTGGCCAGGTCTTAAGTCCCTGCCTTCACTGGTCGGATCTCCGAATGCCGGATTCGCCGACGGAGTTGGCCTACTCGGGATGCCAAGAAATGGCTAATATTCTGCTTTCCAATCATAGTACTATACCTATTTAGACAGTTGGTGTAAACTGTATATATAACTTTATCAGACAGTGTGATAAGCTTAAATTAAGATATTCTCGACAGTATAATTACCAGCGTGTGCCAAATATGCTAAGCTTTTAGGAAGTGGTTTAATCGCGTACAAATCACTATAATATAACAAGGAATTGCACAAGAAGATATCTACAATTTGGTAAAACTGGCTTTGCAATTGGCCTGAAGGAGTTACTAGGGCTGATATGCATGGAAAGCCATTTCTTATATAGCCAGGTAATCGAGAATGGGTTAAAGTTATTAAATATATTAATGCAAGTGGTTGGGCCTTACTACCATGAATTATCTTTAAAGGAAAGGTCCATATAGAGACTTGGTATCAACAACCTCTACCAGCAGATTGGCGGTTTGAAGCTAGTAAGAATAGATAGACAACTAAAACATTGGATTACACTAATTTTAAAACATTTTATTCCTGCTACACCTAGCTGTACAACTGGACGATATCTCCTGCTATTCCTTGATGGACATGGCAGCCATTTAACTCCTTAATTGAGCTCGATATGCAGTAAAAAAATATTATTCCTATCTACGTGCCTATTGTAGCTGGAGGACCAGTTAGTTGGCTAAGTCGCAAAACAGCCAATTACTGCGACATCATCATCTGAAGTGGAATATATCGCGGCTGCGGAAGCCAAGCAAACAATATAGCTACGCCAGTTTTTATATTCTATTCAAAAACAGGAGATGTATGGCAGTCAACCAATAATGCCTCCTGCAACAAGTAGGCTATATTTATGTAGCCGGGATAGTCTTCACTGTGCCCTTTTTCCCAGTTTCCATGAGCTTCTCTTGAATCTTGTAACACCTACAGTACATGAGATGGAACTGTCACAAGTTGTTTAAACAATCACAGCTATCTCTGTACAGTACTATTTTTATTGATGTATAGCCATGGCCTCCTCAAGCCTCAAAGCCTTAGAGGAGTTGGTCCATGTTGTCTGAGTATAACGTATACTCTTGCTCCCGAATCCCTCCGTTATTATCGCATCAGACGAGCCTTTGCAACCCAACCACGAAGTCAGTAATGACGACAAAGCGGACCTGAACAACGACTGGGGTCAAGATTTTACAAGAATAGATGCTAAGCCCTTAACTAATATTAAGGTGCTCTAACAGAAGTTCCTTGATTATATCTGTAAACTTCTTGCGCACAGCAAAAGTCGTGATGTAATTTGGAGGGAGAAGGATCTCCCTCTAGCTTTAGTACTCCTTCAACCAATCTTTCCCTGTACATTTTTTTTTCTTTCTCTCTGTCCAGGCCTATGTCGAACGCTGCCTGAGGCACCAAGACTGCTTTATTTACGGTTGACACTACAACGTAGAGATTCTCCACATTTCCTGTACAATAGAATTCTTTCTTCCTTTCTTCTCTACGTTTGATATAATGCTAAAATTCGAGAATACATAACAGCTATGTGGTAGGCTAGAATGGAAGCCATTGTTAGACGGAATATCTGTTATGTTTATATACATAGGAAATAAGGCGTCACCACATGGGATCAGAGGAGGACAGGTTTGCAGCTCTTGACCCTCCCGAGTTCTTAACCTGTCTTGATCGTGACTCTTATGTTGAGGCATATGAAATCCTTGGTTCCAGTAAAAGTATATAATTTGACTCCTGGAAATATTAGGGGTTCCTTGCGAGCACTGTAATACCTATCACAGCCGCAATTTTAAAATATATTATCTGGTTAAAGATGGTAAAAATGGTCACAAGAATAATACTAATCCCCCCCAGCTTGCCCAGGAAATAATTCGCAAGATCTGGGACCATATTAGCTCTACCCTATTTACAACTTGGTTAGGAAAGAGGTAAGTTAAATTTTATCTTAGTTTAACTAATATAATAGGTTATGGAGAGCCCGACCTTTGCTATATGTTATATGGCCAATTGCGCTAACTTCGAAGCCTATGTAGAACGCTTTCTCTATGCCTATTAGGCAGATCTATTAAGGGAATGCTTGGAGTTCTCGGGACCTGCGCTCCCTGGGCAGATGGCGAAATATAATAACCCTGATATCCTAGTATGTTAAAATCTAACATAGTTAGATTTTTAATTACTAATAATCATTAAAACGACTTATTTCAGTCTCCAAATATGGCTGTCTGGCCGCTCGCATAAACTGGAGAGATAACCTTGATGTTTGTGATGGTGTGGTTGTCTCTGCGCTAGTAGAGATAAAACCACTTGACCATATAAAAAGGTACAAGACGACTGATCGAAGATCAGTCGCATCTAGCGCCCTATATAGGAGCGAAGGCCATGCTTGAGCAATACATTGGGTTCAACCCTTGACAATGTTTAATAGTTCCCTGTCCTAAAGGAATCACAGACACGCGAAATTTTTACAAATAAAGTTAGTATTCTCGCGGTAATAGTTTATTACCAGCAGATTAAATCTTCTATAGTTCGAACTTTGGTGGCTGGTTTTCCAACCTAAAAACCCGGAAAAAGCGGAAAGCAGACAAAGCCCAGGGCCTGATTAAAACCTATGTAAGAAATTCAACTTAGATTCTTACTAATCTATTAGGATAAATACATTTCGCTGCAAGAACAAGCTTGCTAAGTACGCTGACTACTTAACAAAGAACAGCTGGGAACCCGAGTTTGACCCCAACTCATCTGCAACCTCGCCGATCAAACATAGCCCCTGGCCTAGATAATATATTTTTCATCTATGAGCATTCACTTGCAGCATCTGGGCTCCGTGAGTTCTCTGCCTGCTGGGATGATGTTTGCTGACTGAGTTATACCTATGCAGAAAGACGACACTGGGGAACCACATAGGTTTGGCATGCCAGTTTATATTTATTAGTGTTTTTCAGGCTGTTTTAGTAGTGTTTGCTTATTAGTATTATCGTTATTCCATTCTAAATGACTTCCTTAGGAAGTTCGATTCTAGCTCTACTGAAAAATAACAGAACAACCTTGTGACAAGACCACACTTGCACTACCGCAATCCCTAATGTGTACGTAAGTCATATGATGGATTGCTTAAACTAGATATCATTCCATACCTAGGTAGCTGTCCATCGAGAATACTAATGGGATGGGAAATGATGGATTGATTTATAGTGGTACTGTAGAAGTGGCTCTAGTATATATTTTTTTGATGACTCGGAGGAACCATACCCTACCAAGTCCTACTACTACAATGACCAGCTCCATGCGTGCAGTCCAGTTTTAGACACCAACACAGACATAGTATCCCAGCCATAAGTTGCTGCACGCCTCATTGATCTCCCTGTTCCACGCGCGGAACTGCGCAAATGTGATACCCACATTTGTATAGATAGAACAGTAGTTGTCGCCATCCTTGATCAGGTGGAAGGACTTGCAGTTGTCGACAATTCCAGGCATCTGTGGCGTGGGGCCCGGGGGCTTGGTTGGCTTGGGTCCCTGCGAAGTGGTGGCTGCGCCGGGAACGTGCACGCAGACGTAGTAGTCTAGCCAGAGTTTTGTACAGTCTATATATACACCGCAAAAGGGATGGATGTTAGATGATCTGGAGGGATGGTTCTTGGTTGCGTACAGAAATGGGAAAAAGGAATGAAGGCTTAAGGCACACCGTCGTTAATCTCGCTGTTCCAGCTCCTGAAGTGGGCTACGCTGATGCCGTGCTTCGTAGCGATGGTGTCGCATTGGTCGCCGGATGAGACCTTGTAGAAACCATCACAGTTTTTTGCGATACCGGGCATAGTGGGGGAGTTGCTGGGCGCAGGTTCGGTGGTGGTAGTTGTCGTGGCGCGTGTGGTGCTCGGGGGATCATCAGTGACAGTGCCGATCACGCAGTATGACTTGCTAGTATCGAGATTAGGGCAGGTGATGCCAGGGTTCAGCTGCTGGAGAGCGTCGACTGAGAGTCCCCAGCTGTTTGCAAAGCTCGAGCATGTAGCACCCACGTCAGCAGTGGTGAAAAAGTCACACTCAACAGCGCGGCGGGACAGGGCCTCGGCCATTCCTGGGATGACCCCAGCGGCAAGAAGGTATGTCAGGTGTATTATGTTGGACTTGGACTCGGATGAGGAAACGAGCGAAAGAAAGTATGGGCGTCAGCGGGGATACACTGCTTGTGCAATTGAGGATTGGATATGTACTTCGTAGTAAATTGTCAGCCTGAACGAGAGAATAATTGACGCCCACGGCCTGTGTAAGGGTTTATATAGCAATCTGAGGTCCAGAGAGTTCGCACATCTTTTGGCCGCGTCCGAGGGTACCTACTTCCCACCACCCGCTTAGAGTGGTGCAGTACTTCATTTTTCTACTGCTTTAGGAGTAGTTGTAGCTCTGAAATGCTCAGCTAATTGTTACATTACAGCCATGTTTTTATGCTTCACGAGGTGGGGATCACTAGATAAAGGCCGGAGGGACTAAACAGCAAATCGGGGATATTGAAAAAGTAAATTGCTGAGCACGTTGGGCATCCGCAAAGACATGTCTTATCAAGACTCAATATATTTTGAATCCATGGTGGAGCAAGGTGCTGGACGCCCTGGAGGCCAGTGTAATGTCAACTCGTGTATTATCAATATGCATACGCCAGCGGAGAAGCTGCTGGCCAGACGGCAAGATGGAGACTCAAGAGAGACCCACATCGTATACTCGCGCCGAACCTAGTTGATGGCTCGCTTATCTACACCGTACAAGATAGCCAGCTTTGTGCTGAGATGCCGCATGGAGGACCTACAGAAACCCAGTCCATCCACCAAAGGCTGGACTAACGCCGGTACTCATGGCAAGGTTGAAGGCAGTGAGAAGATGGCAGAGTCTCTGGAGTAGATAGCTGAAGCAGTAAAGATAATGCTAGCAAACTTCAGTCAACCCGCTCTGCGGTCAGACTCAGGAACGATCGCAAGCGGATTGGCTCGGAACTTTTTGAATACATGGAAGTTACCCGAAACCGGCCAAGAACCCAAAACATAATATATTACGGAAGTTATCGTAATTTACATTTCTTGGCAGGTTTTGGGTCTGCTCAAAAATGGCACTTCGCCACCAGACTTAGTCGCTGCGACAACGAATGACATCTCTAGCTCAGGCTGCAAATGTCACGATTTGGAGGTTCGACCGACAGAAGATCACCCGGAACTCTCCTGTGCAGTTTGGGCTCCGTTGTGATTGGTCAGTGATGCGGGGTCCGATATCACCGTTGCTGCAAGGCTCGTAAGACTCGATCGCTGATTCGGCCCACACCTTCCAGCTACGCTGCCTATTCCCAGGCCTTGCAAGATCTGAATTGATTTATCAGCTACAGCAAGTATCTCGGCGGGCTTAACCTCTGCTGCATGTATGAACCCGGCCAACATAAGGGTAAGCTGCCTAACCCTAGATCCTGAGAATGTAGTCTATCTGGCGCAATCACCGGTCAGTAGAGCATGGAGAGTGGGGATAGGTACACTGCTCGCTTTCAGCCTCGCATGATTAATGGTGACTCTGTCCTTGTGACATGTGTAAAGGGCTAGAGTCCGTATGACCTCTCGGGCCAATGTCCCTATTATCCCTGTTGTCCCTACTGTCCCCGTTGTCCCTATTGTCCCTATTGTCCCTACTGTACCTACTGTCCCTATTGTCCCTACTGTCCCTACTGTCCCTACTGTCCCTACTGCCCCTTTTGGCCCATTGGCCCTCGATCGATGTCACGTGACTCCCCACCTTGTTTGTTTACCGCTTATTTTCCTCTTCCTTTCTTCCTTTCTTTCCTTCTTCAACGATTCCTTCTTGTACATAACCTATCTTGTAGGTTCTATGGGTTCAGCCCTTGACAACATGTTCTTTTGCTCCTGCAGAAACGGACCACTTAGTGATATGCTAGTCGTTTAAAACTCCCTTGAAGAGACAGTGCACTGTTTTTATCCTTTATTGTATGATATACTAGTAGGCCTTGTTCTCTGAGTGCATACTTAGTAGTTAGTTCTTGGCCGAAGCTAGGGCTGACGCGATGACACCCTAGCCGCCTTACCCCAGTTTTTAGCCAGGTCACGTAGGTCGGAGCGCCCCGCGCTAGCGCAGCGGCTGATCCGAGCGGAACGGAAGTTCGGCGTCTCCACTTTTTTTAGAGTAATTCATGCCAAGGCCATTCATGCCAAGGCCAATTTGACTCTATTTCATATTCCTTTTATTGATCCGGCACTACAAATCCCCCTCAGAGCCATCCTCTTCCGTCCAGCATACTTTGTCTCTTGCTTCACTCAGCATGCACTTCTCCCTGCTCGTGGGAGTCGCTGTCGGCCTGGGCGCCATAGTCGGCGCCTCTGGCGTCCTGGAAGTGGACCTGGTTTTCCCGCGCAACGAAACCTATGCGCCCACCGACTATTTCCCTGTGGTCTTTGCCCTCCAGAATGCCGAGCGCGCGCGATACCTTAAATCCCAGCTGAAGCTCCAGTCCAGCTTATAATGACCCTCGGTCCTGAAGTAACTGAAGAAGGTGTGTAGAAAGTAGGGTTCGTGGCTGGACCAGTTTGTCCATCTCAGATCGGGGGATCGGGCAATGACGTCTTCCCCAGGCCTGTTAGTCCAGTTCCATACTCTGTAGGAGACACCAGGATTGCTGCGACGAGGACGGCTTGTCCAAGAATCCTGTCCGGGGCAATATAATCCGCAACTCGACAAACCGGTCGACCTCTTTCACCATCAAGAATTCCGGCCTCAAGGTGGATCTCGTTGCTGCTACAGCCAACAAATCCTGCCCCGGCGAGGACAACGGCGTTGCTATCAATGTCACCGATAAAACCATGCTCGTTCCCTGGGGGTGGAGGTGGTCTGGCGGTGACTACACTAATGACACCTGTGCAGTGGTGGACTCCTCTACCCCGACGCCGACACCCGATCCCTGTCGCGTCGAGATCGACTCGTCCATACGGCGAGTATGGAAGCCTCCTTGAGAGCCCGTCTGTGCGACAAATTCAAGACCGTGAACCCGCCCGCTGATTGCCCAGACGATGAGAATGCCGCCCAGCAACTGGCGGTTTTCGGCATATCCTGCCTGCTCGCTGCATTGTGAGCGTTGGGGTCCTTGCTAGCGTGAATCTGTCCCTGCATTAATGCTTTGTTGTGTATCTATCGACCTTTCATGTCCACTCTATGCGCGAATCCCCTTACCATTAGCTTTGACGGACATCCCCTGTCTCCTAGGTAGCCTGAGGGGCACGGCTGAGGTTAGCGATTGAATAGATTAACCGTGGCGTGATCCCTCTCCGGAATCCGGACAATGTACTGAAATATCAGGCACTGATCAAGAGCATCTCGGAGTACACCTAGATGCTGAGAAACTGCAAGCCCCTTCAGTAGTCTACATCGCAGTGTTCAAGAAATGGCCCACTCCTAGTCTTCTCGGCTATTGAGGCTCCAATAGAACCCTATAGAATAGATTATAAAGTATCGTTCTGTAGAACCAAAGAGTCAGAGAATCAAGATAACCAATCAACACGATCCTCCTGCCCTATCTGGATACCACCCCTCACCATCTAGTATCTGCCCCTGCAAAACAGAGTCCGGGCAGATTCAGCTCCCCTACAGTCTTACCGCGGCAACTTGGGAAGGGCGTATGCGTATTACCCACCCCACTAAGTACATTCCAGTGCAATAGAGATGTGTAGTAGGTGCCTAGTAATGTTATCACCCCTGGGGCCAATGATAGTTCCGTACCTGACCACACTACTGCAGTCACATAAATTCGCCCATTTGTTCTCCGAGTACTGTAACTCCTAGGCGAGCTGCCACTCCACCCCCAACAGTACCAAGGAACTTGACCTAGTATGTAGTAAGATTAAACAGGATCCCTTCTCCATGGCCAGACGCTCACATGTTGAGGCTAAAGAGCCCTCTATCTGCGGAGTCTACGTGCGGAGTACTCTGAATGATTGTTTAACTCTCTAACTTCTCTCCTGAACACCTGCCGAAATCCTTGCTAGCGAGACTTGTAATGAACCGTACGAGTACGCCCGGGGCCTGCGGGTCTAGTATAGTAGAGCTTTTAGCTGAGCTAAGTGGGGAAATGACTTGATGCAATGTTTAAGGGGAGTGAGAGGAGGAAATTGGAAAGGTGCGAGAAAACTCAGACTCGAGGCCAGGATAGGAGGGAGGAGCCAAGCTGCAGAAATAGTATAAAGGCCACTGCGCCAGTGCCTAGTCCTGTGGAAAATGCTTTCTCATTTATTCTTTACTTTTACATTCTTACTATAAGGCCGTACCAGAATGGTGACATTGTCATCGTTCATCGCGGTCCTTGGTGCTGTTGGCGCCGCGGCCACACCGAGGTTCAGAAACTCTGTCAGTCCAGGCTATCGCAGCGCCGATGTCTGCCCGGAGCGATGCAGTGTTTCCGGACCTACTATCAGGAACTGGTCGGTGTATCCCAACTTCAACCAGATCAAGAAATGCAAACAGACCATGTTTTACGACTTTTCGCTCTACGACCCTGTTGATGACAGAGCCGTGAGCCACAAAATCCACGCTTGCTCGTCCTATGGTCCTGATTTCGACCTGCTCCCTGCTTCGGGTGTGCAGGTTGCCTCTGTTGAGTCAGTTAATGTTGAGTTCGAGATGGGCTGGCGGCTTCCGGGCTGCGGTCTCTTGTCGGCCAGATCCGCGCGTATGCTGAGAAGGGACATGGAGATGGAGCTACAGACAGGCCTTTCATCATCTATGGCCAGTCTGGTCAGGCTACCATTGGTCTCTACGTTGGCCGGGGTTGCTGAGCCAGGGCCTCAGCGAGTCTGCCCTGAAGATCTTCCAGGATAACCTCGAAAACCTGAATGTCTCAACACCGAACTTGGCCATGCAGCTCTGCGGGCCAGACTACGACAGCACCCATATTTTCGGCATCATGGCCACCAGCCGTGGGACATTCTCTCCCATCCAGGACGCTATCAAGTCTTGGGCCAACGCGACCTGCCTGTCGTTCGAGGGTTCCGCCAAGTTTCCTGGCCGGGCGATGTTCACCGCGCCGCTTCTCCACGCGAGCCACACCACCACTGCCAACTCGACTGTCGCGACTAAGAAGCTCCACAAGCGTGCTGAGTGCCGCACCGTTCAGGTAGAACCTGGCAACAGCTGTGCGGACCTGGCTGTAAAGTGTGGTATTTCGGGAGCTGACTTCACCAAGTACAACCCGGGCAATAACATTTGTTCGACACTCAAGCCTAAGCAATACGTCTGCTGCTCCAAGGGAGACCTTCCGGATTTCCGCCCCAAGCCTAACAAGGATGGCTCATGCTTTACATACCAAGTCAAGGAGAATGACAATTGTGACAATCTTGCTGCTGAGTACAGCCTGACCAGGGACGATCTTGAAAACTTCAAGAATACCTGGGGCTGGAACAGTTGTAAACCTCTGTACAAGGACACAGTCATGTGCCTGAGCGAAGGTGATGCGCCTTTCCCTGCTCCGATTGCCAACGCAGTGTGTGGTCCCCAGAAGCCAGGATCTAAGCCCCCAACCGATGGCTCGGATATTGCGGATATGAACCCCTGCCCGTTGAATGCCTGCTGCAATATCTAGGGCATGTGGTATCACTAAGGACTTTTGTATTAATATTAATACCAGCGCCCCGGGAACTGCTAAGCCGGGCACCTACGGCTGTATTTCTAACTGTGGCCTTGATGTGGTCAAAGGCAGCGGAAGCGGCGCTATCAAGATTGCCTACTATGAGGGCTACTGCTTGAGCGGGAGTGTCTGTTTCAAGATGCCTCCCAGATTGACACCTCGGGATATACGCACATCAACTTTGGCTTTGGCACATTGACCCCGGCTTTTGACGTTGAGATTGGTGATAGACTGTCCTCGTACCAATTCGGGGAATTCAAGCGCATTTCTGGCGCGAAGAAGATCTTGTTATTTGGTGGTTGGGCTTTCTCGACTGACGCTGCTACTTACCAGATTTTCCGCAATGGGGTCAAGCCTGCGAACCGGCTCACAATGGCGACCAAGATTACTAATTTTATCAAGAAAAATAACCTTGATGGTGTTGACATTGACTGGGAATATCCTGGAGCGCCTGATCTTCCAGAATTTGATCCCGGGACTGAGGAAGAAGGTCCCAACTACCTTGCCTTTCTTGTTATTCTCAAGAACCTCCTGCCCGGCAAGTCTGTTTCTATTGCTGCCCCGTCCTCCTACTGGTATTTGAAGCAGTTCCCCATCGCGAAAATCACAAGGTAGTTGATTACATTGTCTACATGACCTACGATCTCCATGGTCAGTGGGATGCCCACAACAGTAACTCCCAGGAAGAATGCGACTTGGGTAACTGCCTGCGCAGTCAGGTTAACCTCACAGAAACAAAGCAGTCACTGGCGATGATCACCAAAGCAGGCGTCCCTGGAGAGAAGGTTATTGTTGGTGTGACTAGCTATGGGCGATCCTTTAAGATGGCGGAGGCAGGCTGCTATGGCCCCAACTGCTTGTTCACCGGCGACCGGTTAAATTCAAATGCGAAGAAGGGGAAATGCACTGGTACAGTCGGCTATATTGCAGATGCTGAGATTGCTGAGATCTTAAACGAGCCAGGCCGAGTTGTTAAGCACTTTGTCGACTCCAGCAGCAACAGTAACATTCTTGTCTATGATGACACTGAATGGGTGAGCTACATGAGCACCGCAACCAAGAAGACTCGCACCGCGCTCTACTCTGCCTGGGGCCTGGGAGGCACCTCTGACTGGGCCACTGATCTACAGAAATACCATGATGTGCCGCCGCCGGCAACGAGATGGGCCATGTTCATAGAACTCACTATGTCAGGAGAGGATCCTAAGACGGACATGACGCGAAATGGCAACTGGACCGACTGGACTTGCGAGCATCCGTACATTGTCGCCCCATTCGACCACACGCCCTCTGAACGGTGGAAGGAGTTGAGCGGCTGCAGCGTGGGCGGACGTTGTCAGGATCTGGGAAGACACCGACAGGGACCGAGGGTTGGAATTCATGGAGTCGGTTACAACTACCCTCCAGATAGGGGCTCAGACTCACTGTGGGGACTTGACCATGGACAGCTGCGGCACGTTGGACTGCCCAGCTGGTGCGAATGGGAAGTCGTCGGGACCCGCGGCGCAGTTCATCTGGAACTCGCTAGCTACAATCCATCTCATGCACAAGAACTATCATAACACGCTGTTTGAGGTTGCCTTGGTTGTCAGCACAAAGCTCGATGACATGGAGAACACGTTTGCGCCGATCCCCCAGGCGGATGGCACCTGGACCTTGCTGCTGATTGACCTGATCACCCTGGGAACCCTGGGCGCCGGCGGCCCGTTTACACCGTTCTCAAGGGACTCCCGTATTTTCTCCAGAAGGGCAGCACTTTAGACAATATCAAGGATACTAGCATGACCTTAATCAGTCAAGGGACAACCATTGCCAAAGACGTGTTGCCTAAGGATAGCTCTCCGTGGACGGCTGAAGAAACAGGATTCCTTCTCACACTATATGGGGAACACCATTGACGGCTGGGCCAACATTAGTTCTCTTGCACTCAAGCAATTGTTCACCTGATCTCGAGGAGGTGATCAAGATCCTTAGAGAGTCTATGGCCAATGGAAAGCTCATCGAGGGTAAATCCGAAGGCAAGCGCCCCAGCAAGGAAGAGATTGACACTACTCTGAAGAACGATTTCCGAGCCAACATTCAAAAGTGCTTTTTCGGTTACTCCATCCCCACCCTGTGGCGGGAGTCTAAATCGTACGCCTTCATCATTGACGCAGGCCACGGGTGTGGTGAAAAGCAGCTCAGCAAGTACATCACGGACGACACCATGGACGCCACGGGAGCCTGCGTTGACGGCAAACAGTACTACCTGGTGTATCCGGATGGTAAATCCAAGGTATGCAAGTGCCAGATTGTTACCGATCATGGCCTCTGCCAGACGATTTGCAGAAACAACAAGTTCTCCATGCTCCTGGCCCTGGACTCTCTGACCGATGGAAACTTCGGCGACATCACCAAGGAAGACCTGATCCGCGGCTCAGTCCGCACCTGGATCCAAAATGGCAAGGAGAATGGCGGCGGCTTTGCAGAATAAGTTCACAGTAGTGGAATCATATGCAACTAGATATCCAATATGTGCTCATGGATTAAATCTCTGTTTCCGGTTCAACTTCTTCAGTGCTTCTGTGGTCATGGCGAAGGCTTTGCATCCATATACTTTTGGATGCGCTTGCTGAGGCTTACTGTTATGGACCACTATGCCATCTTGGTGCGCAATGTAGGTATGGAATTGATCGAAAGTTGTTTCCCAATTGTTTTGGTACTGAGGTGTTTGATTGGAAAGATAGACTGATGCACGTACAATCTCTGGCCATAGAAATGCAAGTAATTTAGCATGTTCTCACATTGCTCGAACCTTATCCTTTATCACACCCCCTGAGCGCTCTGCACCGCCATTTTAAGCACTTGTATAAGGTGCGGAGGGCTTAATTCTACAGATCTGACATCAAAAAAGTTGCAGTGCGAGGCTTTTGGCCCACGGTTTTATTGTCACATTTAATAACTTGTGCCTTTATATCCATCCGTTTAAGCACTCCAAGTAGATGTCTCAAAGCATGGATAATTGAGTCAGCCGTGTGGTCCTCTAGGTAGTAATCCCAGATGAGTCCTGACCACTGGTTATTTGCCAGCATCAGGCCTTTAAAGCCACCATAACCAGTCTCAAACCAATGGAAATCAATCGCTATAGCGGCGTTTTACTGTAGCTCCACAACGCAGAACTCAGTTGCAACAGCGAATCATCAACATACTATGTTCTAGCACCTATTAGAAAAAGTTAACATATGCAAAAAAAAAAAAAAAAAAAAAAAAAAAATTGGGCCAGAAAATCTTACCGTCACCATCCGTACTGATACGGCGTAACGCTCGACAAACCCACAGTGAGAAACACTCTCGTCAATGCTCCTCCATAATAATTCCAAAAACGACAAATAAAATAAAACTGAAACCTCTTTGAACAGTTATTTCAACAGGAATAACAATCCGAGCATGCGAACTGTTCCCTCGTTGACTCTCCGAATAATAGCTCCCCGCACCAGAACTCGTATGAATCACACGACGACACAAAACAGTTGTCTTGCCGGTCATCTCGAATCTCCGGTTGACTCAAATGGTGATCATTATCAACCCATGGACCCTCATTATCCATCTACAGCAAATCCGAAAATACATACGGAGCTTCCAACTGTCGCGCTCTTTGATCCGACCCAGGAATATACCCAGTAGTCAAACGCTTGGTCGTATAGAGAACATCTATCTCAAAAACTCCTCCATAGGAGTTTGACAAAACATTCGGAACAAGATGAACAGACCTCACAATATCACGATTCCGCAAATTGCGTCCCACTGCGAGAATATTCACAAACGAACCAGTAGAATTTCCAAAAGCGAATCGAGAATAACTCTCGAACTTAGAAGGCATATGAAAAAATCCGTGCTCAGAGGCATATGATGAACTGTCGGAACACCGGAAGCCATAGCGTCAAGAAGGAATCGTTGGAGGGAAGAAAGGAAGAAAGGAAGAGGAAAATGAGCCGTAAACAAGGTCGGGAGTCACGTGACATGGATCGAGGGCCAATGGGCCAAAAGGGACAGTAGGGGCAGTAGGGGCAGTAGGAACAGTAGGGACAATAGGGACAACGGGGACAATAGGGACAACGGGGACAATAGGGACAGTAGGGGCAGTAGGGGCAGTAGGGACAATAGGGACAACGGGGATAATAGGGACATTGGCCCGAGAGGTCAAACGGGCTCTAGCCCTTTACAAATACCCCATATTTATCCCCATGTCAGGTATTCTACACCAGTACATTGTCGCTTACCTCACATGCGCGACTAGTTAGTTAACTAGTCCAAATACTTACTGCTTATCTCTTTACCCAATCGCTTCGTATTGTATGATGTTTTGGGTGCAGAATTGGTTAATCAACTCCCTAGAGCTGTAGGAGTGCCAAATAATATGGCCGTTGGTGGACCAGAATCATGTAACTAGATCGGGGTAAAACCAAGCACACAACAAAAATAATCATCAAGAATAACCAAGAAGAGAATAATCAAGAAGAGCCCAACCAGCTCAATTTATTCAAAATAAGACCCTTTTACCAATCGTACTCTATTTCCTCTTCGGGAATAGCCGTATATCTAACAGTTCTTGGCGGGCCGGTTGGGTTTTGGGCGGTGTGGCAAGGTACATAAATACAGCCATCTCTTAGGAACAGATAGCATTTTCTTTACACCGCTACTACAGATAATAGCCCCGCTTCTGAATCCCAAGGAAGCAAGACTTGTTACTTCAATCCAACATTGCGTTTGATAACTACATAAAGAATCTGTCTCTCTTCTTCCAAAATGCGGCAAATACGCCTAGACCAGTGGTTAAATATTAATCAGAAGCCTATACTTCTTATTTCTTGCTCTTCCCCCGAAAATACGGCAAAAAATTTATGATGAAGCAGGGTTAGCTTTGGGTTGCACGATTAACCTCTGCTATTGCAAGGAGCATAATGAGGATTATGGCAATTTAAATGGGTGTACTAAAATTTGCTGTCACCCTCCACATCCAGATGATGTGTACTGGGATGGTTGTCCTACAACATACAATCTCCTACAGACATGTCGAACTATATATAATAATATTATACCGGATAATATATTCGTCAAATACATTTATAATCAACTACTGTGACCTTGAAACCTTCCAACCGCTACGAAATCTCAACCCAAATAGTCTTGCTTTCCTTTCTCGGCTGGTTATCAAACTTAATACCTCCTGCTGCGAAACATTAGATTGCAAAACCAGCAATCACAAATGTCAAAAGGTTTATAAAGGTATTAACAGGAAATTGGAGGGAAATTCATATCAGGATAAGCTCAAACTCAAGGAATAGCAAAAACGCAGCTTGGCTGGCTAAGCATATGGCCCCCAACCAGTTAAGAATACGGTTTACGTGCGAAACAACGACTATAAAACTGCTGAGCAGATTCTGGCTCCATTTTCACAGCTTCCAAGTCTGAGGAGCTGCTGCATTAGGCTTAGTTGCTCTCCTAATTGGCAGCTGCGTCAGCTTGCCAAAGAGACAGCAGTCTACAGTACTGGTGGAATTATAATTAGCAGATTTTTATTCTGTTCCCTCCCAAGGGAGCTCCAAATTAAGATCTTATCTTTTTCCGACCTTGTTGCGCCGACGAATATTAGGTGGAGTCCTAGATTTGGCTTTCGGCTCGATTACATACGTCGAGGATGTGAACATGTATGGTGGGGATATTACTGCCCAGTAAGCTATTCTGCATTTTATAGTAAATGCAGATGCTGGGCCCCACTATCTGCACTATTTTCTTGTCAACCAAAATATAAGGCTCATGGCATTAGAGGTGTTTTACTCTCAAAACCGATTTATCATTGAACCTACAAAAGGAAAACACAAACCTGTTAAAGAAAGCCCTGGCACTGTGGAAGCATCCCTATTTTTCGAGAAAGCAATTCCTCTATACGCTATGCGCTACTTAAGGTTTCTTGAAATTACTTTCCCTCCATTTAAGATGGAATATCTTCCCTCTACCTCTTCTGGTTATCAGAGTTGGCTATCTGCTATTTCCTATTTTTCCAATCACGCCAATCTTCCCGAACTGACTCTGATAATTCGCATGGATGATGTGCATGAAGGCTATAATCTCCCATTCCGGCCTGGAATAACTAAGGATCAGAAAACAACAGTCTTTAAAATGTATGCTCGGGTTTGTTTACCACTTGTGGACCTTAAGGGTCTAAGGGACCTGTTTATTGATCTAATTTATCCAAGCGATGCTCAAGAGGGGTATATAGAAAGTAAACAATGGGATTTTCGGATCACATTAATAGAGAAGCTGGAGCGGATGCTGGAACAGAAGGTTATAGGGCATGGAATATAATAGCATGGCTAGAGGAAAGAGAAGCATAATGGGTCTCGAGCAAGACTATGAATCAACCATTGATGAGGATATATTCGACCGAGTGGACACAGATCCGTATTACTTTTAAAGCGGATTTCCGAATACATTTATTACTTGCCAAAGTCAGGTCTTGGATGCTATAATGCAATATTTCTCTAGTAATAGTATAATTGTCTCTGATTATCTATCAGGCCCTCCTGGAACATAGTTCCCTCACTCTGTTAATTTTGACAAGAGCAGTGACGTAGACTGATAAGATCGTAATAAGCTTCCTTATTCGGAGGAGCTTTGGTAGAGGCATAAAAATATCTAGATATTATACACTTGTATATACTGAATGAGAGGAAAATGGTAGAACACCGAAAGAGTATGTCAAGGAAACACTCTTAGACAGTTCAGAAGTTGTGGGCCCCGAGCCCACAAGTTCCTGGTAGGAGGGAAGGCAACATTCCCTTTACGCAACTGCGTCCCGTGGTCTGTGAGAAGGTTGTTGATTGTCTGTTACCTCTTCGAACGAGGACTTAATAAGATAATAGCTATCCATACAAATGTCACGTGCCAATCCCCCGAATTCCTCCACTACAATACCTTCTAGGACTCTGCTACTACTTGTTTATGGCGTGTATGGGAACATACCCCACGATGTTGCACACTATCTGCACTTAAATAATATTCTTATATGAATTGTCAAAGTAAGCATTTTACACCCGTACTACGGCCTGCACGCATGCTTCCGGGTTAGTTATGGCTCGAATGTGCCATCTCTCCCTTAAGCGGACTATAGTTCCTGCATACGCGTAGAAATGTTTATGCCTCGTAATTAGCCATATGTGAATCATACGTAATTATAGCTTTATTGGAGGCGGATACCTCAGGGACCAACAGAAAGGTCTGCTACACTTTTAAGTCTGCAAACATCTATGGGGCGCCGTGTGCTTACTCCAGGCTTTAAATACTGCTTGCGATGCAGCTGCTCCAAACCGGAAGAGGACTTTAAACTGGCGGACCCGACTAATAAAGGGACAATGTCTAACCTGATGGACGTGGACGTCACGACCCCCGGCTTCATGCGCCTCCCTGTCTGCAGCGCCGACCGCGCCTTTCAATCCTAGGACACGACCAAGGAGGGTTCAAGCGCCAACTACCCCTGCGATATCCCTCCGGGCAAGGATGAATGCGGGGACTTATCTTTTGAGGATCAGACCAGCGACGCCTCGCCTACTGTCGAGGACTGCCTGACCATTATCAAGAACATCCAGGGCGACAGCAGTACAGACTGGACCATCCAGGTTATCGGCAAGCACCAGCGCGAGCTTGCCCGGCACGGGTCTTGTGCCTTTGGCGTGGAGACCACCAAGGTCAATGGCAACGTTAACTTTGTTGTCGGCGGGCAGGACGTCATTGATATAATCAACGAGTCCGTTAAGCGGTTTGGTGCTGATGGGAAGGTCGCTGCGAAGGGCAAAATGAATTGCAATGGTAATATCAAAAGTCAGGCGGTTCTTTGGGGGATTTACCATAACAACTAACAACTAACTACTGCGTCTTACCTACTGATGCATCCTTCGTCGGTTGATATCATCTCGAGTCGATGGAGGTTGCTATACTCTTGTCAACTTTTGACATTTTCTTGTTTCTATGTTGACCTCTATATGTTTCTTTCTTATGTATTAAGTACTAATATTGTATTAAAAAAATTTCTTTTTTGTTTCTAAACTGTTAGGGAGTATTAACATTTCTTAGCCGTCTTTTCTTCCCATGATTGTGCCTAGAAGAAGAGAAGGCAAAAAAAAAAAAAAAATTATTAGACCATACTAATAACTGACTTACCTTTCGCATCTTAGTAGGTTGTAAAAGGTGAACAGGCATCTTATCAATTTAGTTATCATTTAACTGAGTCCAGACTGGATTTGCTTTATTACGTGCCTTGGGGTTTAGCTTGCCTCATTTCTCGAGCCGTGTGTGATGAAATCCTACCTATAAGATAGGGAGAAACCTGCCCAGATTTACCGATAACAGGCTAATGCCTAGCTTTCACACCCTTACCCAGAATGCAGGGTCCCGGACTGTAGTATTCTACTTGGAGGAGGCCGCTGGCGTTGCACTAGTTTGCAAGGAATTGTATTTTTTATCAGTAATTTCTATCTTTCCCACCCCCCCCGTTGTGATAAGGTGGACTTGAAGCGATTCGGGGTTGGGATCGGCTAACTCCGGAGGTGACTTCTAATCTTAGGCTTAAACAGGGTACTTTTCCATAGTGTCGCATTTAGGAGTTTACACCCCCTGCCAACTTGTCAGGCTACAGGCATGGGAATGACAAATCGGAGCATAAAATTGATAAATCTAATTTCTACGGAGTCTAGCATTTAATTCAGTCTTTTATAGGCGGATATATTCAATGTGGCACCATGGCGTAGGTCACAAGCGGAATTCTGATCTATGCATTTTGGTGGCTCAAGCCAAAGGATATGCCGACACAAATTATTATCCAGCTGCCTTATGAACGGAGCGAGACTCCTTAGGAAGTGAGGGACACCATGGGCAGATATCAATGGGTTGGCAACATGTGCAGGCAGCACCAATTCGGAGCTTTTCGCAAAATCAGGTGCAAGTGGGCAGGTGGTTCTACAGTTTTATTTCGATGTTGGGAATCCCACCCGCTCTAGTTCCGCCAATGTCCGACGGGGTCTATAAAAGACAAATACGGACCCTTCAGACGATGATTTTCTCATTTGTCACCATCATTGCTCTGATATTTGGTGGTATTCATGTTGCTGAGCATGTTATACTACCTTTGCCTTCGCTTCGAAAGGCACAGGAGCCCGCAATGCTGATTTTGCGATTCACATAGTTGGAACTTTGCCTTTCCCACAGTTGCCGAAAAGATAGCTTGGCGCGTAGTTACAGCTATGGCGATGCCAACGGTATGTATCCCATTAATGCTGAGAGAAGGGCCCGTATCGCCTGTTATCTTCGCTCAAGAGGCATGTTTCCCGTTTTCTTGCGATTGTTATACGATCCCGGTTATTTCACGTTGCATATCCTGTTTGTTGTTTCGAACGGCTCTATAGTATTGTATTTTGCGCGTTTCGCAACTATCGCTCTGATGCTTCATGCTTAAAAGCCGTTCCTGCTGATTCTTACATTACTGTCGATTGGCTGTCAGGCATTCCGCATATATAATTTGCCCATAATTCTGACACCAGAAGATATTCCTAACGTAATCGGTAAGCGAGCGACGCACCTCCCCCATATATCTACGCGTCCCTTTTTAATCTCGTTTAACCACCACCATGCCACCAAAAAGAACTCCGAAGACAAAAGCTTCGGAGGATCAGGAAGAAAGGATTACTCTAGCTATTTCTGCATTTAAAAAAAGTCACAAATTCTGTGTGTATGACAAGCAGCACCGGTGTTTCAAATATCTGAAAGAATACTACGGCGACGGCTTCGAGTAACTCCACGGTCTGAAAAAATCCCTGGGACCGCGCTCTCAACGTCGTCAACGGCCGCCAAATCCAAACCATCAACACCCGCAACTGCGGCCGTATTATCTGGGACTCGTCCGAACTCCCAGACAGACTACTTGCTCGCTGCTACCTTTTCTACACGAATGCGATATGGTACGGATTTCTAATCGGCCGCTGGTGACAGGTACCTCGACAGAAGGCTTCCAGCTGACGCGGCTGAACGAGCGCCTTCGGTTTTTGAAATACAAGGGCGAGGAGTATTTCCGGCCGCATATTGATGGGTGTTATACTACATCGGATGGGACGGAGAGGTTGCTTACGGTGTATTTGTATTTGAATGGGGAGGGAGAAGAGAAAACATTACTCGGGGGTGCCACCTTGTTAGGACTGCAGTCTTTTTCTGGGGAGAAGGTGGTAAGGGTGTTTCCAAGGATAGGGTCGGTGTCGGTTTTTCAGCACAGGGAGCTCTGTCATACTGGAGATGCTTCGGGGGTGAAGTATACTGTTCGGATGGGTGTGATGTATGAGACGGAGAGAATTTGATATCCTTCTAAGCTTTCTTTGCTATTAACACAATAAGAGTGGAAATTTGAGTATATTAAACTTTATAAAGTATTATGGCTAGTAGCGACCTTGCATCAAGTCTAAACAGAAGTATTAAGATCTATAAGTAGATACTCCAGCACAATAGCTATTAGCTTCTTGTTTCTTTATACAAAGAATAAAAAACCAGACTAATATAGTATTTTTGCACCATTAACTGAAATGGACATTTATTGAGTCAATACCTCTCCCATGCAGCGAAAGTACCAACTGCTATAACATTTTCTCTACTGTGGCTTGGAGTCTAGTGAGAATAGGGCTGTCAGGCGTCACCAATGAGAGTTTCATCCAGTCCTAGCATTGTCCACCTTGCACCTGTCTAATCAAAACACAGAGTATACTCCGTGCATGGATTCTATTAATAATAATGGTAATAGAATAAAAATCTGTATTTGATGACCGTATCTGTAAGGACCCACGCACGGTATGTGTAAATAGCCGAACTTAAAGAATTAATTATAGGACAAGATACGCCGATTATTTCTGTTTGATATTTAGCAAGATGAATCTGCGCTAGGTGGTAGGAAGAGACTGACGCGAGGAGCTAATGGTTAGACAAAAAAGTTTATTCTATTTGGAATATCCTCAACTGTGGTCTGTTGGACATTGAAAATAGTATTATTTCCCTAGCTACTAGACAAGAGATGATGTATATACGCTAGCAAAACATAAAATCAGAACAAACCAAAAATAATAACTTAAAATCAACGGTCAAGCGCCCTCCCACACCTGATTATCTGCTTATAAACCAACTCCTTAGTAAGATAATCCTGCGTCGCATCCACCACCGTATCAACCTCCTTCACTCCATCCAACCCGATATCTGCTAATCCATTCGGTACGTCAAACCGAAACAGCCGGTGGTCGTCATCAAGCTCCGTATGTTCTTGAATGAACTTGTTTGTCTCCGCGTCGGTATCAATCGCATCCTTCTGCGACGTCCTGGTCCCAAAGGCCCCCCTAGTAAACCGCTTAATCGAAGGCACTCCCGTCCCGATCGACACCATGCACCTCAGCTGGTTCTCCAACGACCCAGAATACCAGACCCCACGTGCCTCGATCCAGACCTCGCGCATGGGATTGTTGGCTTCCAAGGTGCTGTCGTGGAATTGTCGCTTGCTGGGTCCGATGGTCACGGGATCGAATAGCGATCCGATGGCGAAACTGGCCTCGGCTGCTTCCCAGACCCGCGTGGTCTTGTACAGCTCTGTCGAGCAGTATTTGCTCGCGTAGCTAGTGAGAGGTACCATTTTTCGACTAGAATTGTCGGTGATGCAGACAAACCTGATCAAATTAGACTTTTTCCGGCTTGTTTTATGATTCAGAAGGGGGTTATTCACACTCGACACGAAGGATCCTCATCACGTAAGAGCATATCCTCGTCGAGTCCGAGTTCGCGCAGAATAGCTCGCACGGCGGATCCTACCCGTCGGATCTCGTACTTTGGTCGTACGCGCAGACTGCTATTTAGCGGGAACTGTCTCTTCCGTGCGAACACGCGCTTTAGTAGCCTTGAATACGCCATGATGCACTGATCGATGTCCATCTGGAGACGTCCCAGCATGATCGCAATCACTCTGTACAGTCAGCCGCTGTGCTGATTGATGGAAGAAAAGCAAATATGATTTACCCGCCCGACCCACTTCCACCGATCAAATTGAAATATTCACATGGTTTTGGAGGGTTCTCGCGATCGATGGCTTCGAGAATATGGCGCAGGATGTACAAGGTGGAAAGACCGCGTACGCCCCCGCCGTCAAGACTGAGGAGGTTGAGTCTTCGGTTTGTCATGGTTAGATGAGGATTAAACGGGATGTGTTGGGAGGGACGATCTTAAATGCAGGTGCCAGGATTAGGGTTTAGCGTTGTATGAGTACAGCCAGTTGTTGACGACGCTACATTGTTGGGCCAATAGACTGACCCGCCTGGGCCGATCGTTGGAGAAGAAAATGCGATGCGGGATGGGTGACACGTAGCGGGCGCTTGCAATTGCAGGGTAGGATTATCATGGATGAAGTGAAATTCTAAGTGAATGACCACTAAGCTGTATGATTTCCAGAGTGACACTTACTAACAGTCTACGGAGTGCAGCAGAATTTTAGCAGTAAACAGTATTTTACCTCATGCTAATATAACCTACCACTAACGTACACTATTCTAAGGAGATTATTTAATATATGTTTATGGTCTGTAGTTATATATTCCTGCAGCTCTAATTTAGGTACTTCCTACTACTCCACTGTTATTCCTTTATTTATCTAACTTCTCTTGATTTTTTTAATCCAGATCCTTTATTAGAAACAGGAAACATTGCCTACTGAACTCCTGCAAAATTTCACGTTTATTGTATAAACCATGTAAAATAGTATATATATTTATTCTCCGAGCCGCTTGCGGGAGATCATTCGAGGGTTAGTAGCGCAAAACTGAGCCGTGAGGCGATAACAGAAATACTTGGACATGCATGCTTCAGGTAATCAGTCCTACACATGAACAAGGGCAGAAAAATGCATGGATCTATATACGGCCGTGCATCAAATTGCTAGGTATCAACTTGTACAACTCGATTCGAAACAAGAGCTTAGCAGCCAACGGACCAGGATGGTGGTTGGGCTGAACTGGAGGGCCCATTCACCTATATGGGCATAACTTTTACCTTCAGCATGAATGGTGTCTTGCTGTTGACTATATTTAGTGACACTCCAGTTTTGTGGCCGGCTTCTTAAAAATACGTCTTCAAGGGAATGAGTTTGAATCTTCATCTAATGCAGATTGGCTAGAGGAATGAACATAGGGGAAGACTACTTGCCTAATAAAAAGGAAAAATATAAAAATAGAAAACATACAACAGCAGGGATTCGCTGGTGGTCACCCACCCAACTACTAGCCTGCCGGCGTGTGGTTTGAACGCGGTCGCAAGTCGGGTGGGTGCCGCCCGGGTGAGCTAGCGGGTGAGGCCGCTTTACTGTCGGGTGAGCTTGGGGTGAGTGCACAATAGATGGGGTGAGCCGCTCACCCCCCTCACCCAGCTGAAAACTCTAATACCCACTATTATGTTAGACCTGATCGAATATTGGCTACTTGATCAAGATCTTCAAACGCCGGCACTCTTGGCAGCTAGCATAGCGAACGAGAAAGTTGCAATATATTGCTGCCTGGAGAGGCAGCATTGGCATAAGTTGATCAGGAGTCGGTTTTCGGAAGTAGTGTTGGTCCATTATGATAAACATTGCAAACACCGACGACGCCATTTGTTTGATTCTCTACCCAATGGCCTCCTGGTGCTCAAGACTGCCACTTCGTTCCAATAGCTTTATAAATTAGATGATTCTGGAGAGCATTCTGGAGTTGTAATTACTGTGATTTGGTCTTTTCTACGAATAAGGTAGCTGATGTTTAGAGTGATTAGATAGGAGAAAGTGGCCAACCCAGACTTAAGGATTTTTAGACATTAATCTAGAGCAATATATGTTTACATTGTCTGCTAATATGCTTTTTTTTGTTCTTATTGATGCGATGGAACTTCATCTTAAACAAATCATTCTGGCTGACACATTATCTATTTGTTCAAGAACAATGTGGTCGATGCCAGCCTTGTGTAGTCAATACGCTAAAATGAGCCCGGTAACCGCCCACAATAATTTACTTCGAAGTCTTTATCTCCCATATCTAGATTTTGGTTCTCTGATAGTGAGACGTCTAAAACAGTAGTAACCACTGAGGGTAACTTAGGGAGTAGAAAATTAATAGGGATCACTATATATAAGTATGTCGAGATAAATCAGTAGTGATCGCTGCAGAAAAGGATTACACTTGCCTGATTGAGCGCTTCCGTTTCAACACACTTTTCATCGTACAAGCAATGTAAATTCCGTTATGCCTATTTATCTTCCCTGAGCGGAATAATGATCGTGGTGATAACTGTAAGTCCAAGATTTTCATTCAATGATTGCACTTTAATTTGGAGGTCTATAATGCTACTATATGCCGTCTTCAGTATCCATTCCTTTTGGCCTCGTCTCAAGCACTTTTTGATATCCGCACCGGTATCCGCAGAATACTGGTTAATACTATCCTTCAGCTACTTAAATGCAGCATTTAGATTTGTCCAGTACCGCCTTTCACTTCTATTATGTGCGTTCTTTCGCACACGACTGGTATCTGTCTCATTTTCACTAGGATCTAAGGACGAAAGGCACAGCTGGTTGACTTTTTCTTGAGATATTAGCTGCTCGTGCTTTAGTATTGGCTTCTGTACTATTGTAGGCATTGCCAAGGATACATTATCTACCTGCTTGGTGTGGAAAGGGAGTGTTGTTTTCTAGCTGAAACTGTGCTGTTTCTATAGGAGCAGGCCTCTGGACATTGGCCAGAGATTGTGTTTCGTAATGAGGGCGCTCATGTTGAGAATATATGATCGGTAGAGGGGAGACTTAATTTCCTAAGCAAATAATCTCCAAGTAGTTGACTGGTTCCGGGTTCTGCGAAGGAATGGGTCTCAGAGGACAATGGACGGATCTGCTCTGTACCCAGTTTACTATTATCATTAATTCTACTCCTGGATCCTTTAGTTAGTGGAGCACCTTGAGGTAGAGCACCGAGCACCTTCGATAGGAATGCAAGAGACTCAGTTGGTTGAGAATACTGTGATTCCTGGTGTTTCCACAGACGACATCTACTTCCTATTTAGGCAAAGGATCGGCCTGTAGCTGATCTATAGCTCCCTGCAAATCCTTCCCCTGAATTTCACAACATAAATCAATGGGAGGTTAATTTTCCTCATGTGTTGCGTCCCCTTCCAACTCTCGAATTCAACGCTGCGCCGAGTCCAGCGACGTGGTCAGTGACTCAATCATGGCCCGCTGTGACTGAACCTGTGTCACCTGGGACATCTGGGCCCATAGGTTAATATGCTGCTGCTGGAATTGCTGCAACATCTGTTGCACCTCGTTCAATACCTCCTGCTTTGACGCACACTGTGAGAGCTGTTCCTGAGATCGGAGGATCGGTTGCAGTTCGGCCTTGAACTGTGCCACTAGGGTTTGATACTGCGGGGAATGTTGCTACTTCTCTGGCTGCAGAATATGATGCTGAGTCTGATTCGGACTCGCATCGTACCTAGTGGTTGGAGTTGCTGGGCTCCCACGACGTTGCTTGGGTAATCTGGCTGCCGGTATAGCGGGGTGGAGCCAGCTTGGAGCTTTGGAGGGGTTCCCAGAGGTGAGACTTGCCCAGTCATGCTGTTTTCACGATCAATCTGGTCTTGTCTGCCTTGTTGCATTGCGGTGGTTTGGATAGGATGATAGTTCAAGTTTACTCCAATCAAGGAAAATAAACAGCAAAGAGAGAGAGAGAGCAAGAAGAAATATAAAAATTGGAAAATTACAAGACGAGAAAAATATTAAGAAGAAAAAATGATTTGGTGTGATTGAGAGGTAGTGGAAGGCGATATCGCAGGCTGGGCCTTTTCTGGAGGAAAGCGAGGAAAGTCTGAGAGAGAAGGGAACAGGTGGACGGCCGGGATTTTATAGCTTCAGTTTGCTTAATTAGGTTACGATGGCGATGACTACGTAATAATGGAACTAGCTTGCCATTGATGATTAATGCAGACAGAAATCAGAAGAAGAGTTGTTCCACTAGGTAACCAAGAAAGTGCTCACCAGGTGGTTAATCAGATGGGCAAGAGCTGTTCAACAGTGTAGTCGAGGGTTGCTCAATAGTATGGGCAAAAGTGTTCACGAACCGAAGTATTTGTTCTTTAATGGCAGCATAGGCTACGCACTAACAGATGCGTACCTGTCACGTTGGCTATTGCACCGATCTTGCCATCTTCCAAGACATACATTTGCCCTATGTTTCATCAGTGCGTGGAGTTAGGAGCGCGCCTCATGTTGGTCCTCTAGTCATCTGGATGAGATGGTGACCACGGTCCCAAAACTCGCCACCTCTTACACTAATTGATGTCATATTGAATGGTGGCGCTGGTTTGTGAGATTGAGAAAACGAGGCTTCCTATTGCGGCATAGAAAGCAACGTTATTAATGTGTTTGACTAACCCCTTTGGGGATCAAGGCGTCATTTTATTAGCTGTGCTCTAATTAGATGACTTCATAGGACAAGTTCGAGATCTTTAAAGACCGAAAGCTGTAGGTGGAAAACTGCAATCTACGCCAGCAGTTTTAATCAACTAACAATTTCACACCGATCACTTAGAACCACCATCACACAAATGGATGTTAAGGAAGAACTCCACAATCATTTACAGCTATGTCAATGGCAAGATGAGATTGAATTTCTCTGCTATATTTTATATAGCATCATCGCCCCACAGGACGTAAAATGTGGACATTTCAGTCAGGCTCCGGACATGTTGTGCTTTGTTGAAAGCCTCACAAAGGCATGTAATATTCCTGGTGGAAAGCTAAAATCAATGCTTTCAGAAGACGAACAAACCAATTTGAAACGCTCCCTTCGTAAGGCTAAAAAAATCCGACATTTAGCAGCTCATCATGTTTCCATTAATAAAGCCACCATGATGAAAAACCAACAGAGATTCACTAAGGCAGTTGCATCTTTAGAACATGCAATCCACAAAGGCTCAGAGCGGTACAGGATTCACCAAGTTGGTTTTATCTCCCTAGATTTAAGCCAGTCATACTTAACACTATGAAGGTGGATTGGTACCCAATTGCCCATACTCCAATTGCAATCCCTGACCTAGACGATTTCTTCACAGTAGGGATTGTTTTATCCAATTCTTCAATTCTATCGATCCGTCAAAAATATTTAGAGTGTGGTGCATTTTACATGTCGTACCATTCAAGGCAGGAGAATTTACTCCGAGCGGAGCAACAAGAATACCAGAAAAGTCTCCGGGAATGGAATACCTCGGTGATTCAAAAAAAAAGTAGAAAGACGACTAAGCGGAAGGGAAAGAGGCAGAGAAAGCGAAAGGACCAAATCAGAGAACTTGGTTTATCAGAAGCCGGATATGAGTCATCTCGAGACAGCTATTGGCATATGCAACCTGTCATAGAGCAGTTCCAGGGCATTGCAATATAGGAGCTGTCTCTACGACAGCCTATAGGGAGAGTGGGGATACTACACCGAATGCTATTTGACAGTTTTATTAAATTGTCTCTCGCAACGCGCTCTTTCCTTCACTATGACACCTGGCGGCAATTGAATTTCTGATTGACGAGGTAGAACGCCATATTTTAATCATCACAGCCAACTCAATTTGTTTTTGAACAGCTGCATATGCCTCTCACTTGTTGCTGTTTGCGCGGGCTTCATTTCCGAAGTGGATGCTACGATTCCATATCCAAATCCAATTGCAGGCCTCGTGCTTTTGGCCATAGTTTCGGAGCCAAAAGAAATAACAGAATTTGTTATAAAAATAGCTAGCGACGAAGAGAGCGTAAACACTAAAAATATAAAACAAAAGTTTTCAAAGTACTTAACTATAAACTTGTATCCCTCACAGCAGTTATCACTAAAATACTTTGCTAAATTTTACTATTTTCTCCTTCTAGTCGTTCACTTGATGCCCTTTCTCCTTCGTCACTTACAACCATACTTACGTTTTTTGTTGGCTGCTTGATCATCATGCACGCGCAGTTGGCCCTTCCTCTTGCCGACAGTCCATTTGATGCCAAGAGGAGAGCAGCTGGGTCCACAGCACTGAGACAGTAGTTGACGTACCGGGATTGTCTCAGTAAAGATTCGAATGAAATTTTACAATAAATTTTAAAAAAGCCCTAAGATCCGACAAAATTCCAAACCATTGAGGGTTGTACTATTATTCGTGACTTGATCGAAAGATATACTACTGATAAGCGTACGATCATCTTGTCAGTCCTACCGTTTAAGCGCTATCCATAGTACTGATGAGCAGCAAGGGCGGTGATGGATGCGAGGAACAATCTCGCAAACAACTACACATGTCCACCAGAGTGGGTCAATATTACATATTATTCAGCATCCGCTCGGTTGTTTATTCCATTCTTTTTCACCCTTTCTCCTAGATTCAGATAGCTAGTTACATTTCATTGCAGATACATTAACTATTATTCATAAGATTAGTGATACTAGCGTATTTACCTGGCCAATATTAGCGTGGTTCATCACCTGCCGCCCGGCAGCAGGCGGTACCGACGAACAGCCAATACACATGCCAAGGCGGATGTTACGGTGAAGCAGAACTACCAGCTTGGTATTCTACGGGGTTGAAGAGTTCTACCGAAGTTGTTTTGGCAATCAAGTTCTAACCGACCGTCAACGTTGCCATGTTTAAGTCAATATCACATGGCCGATTATATTACGCCCCCTGGGAGTTTTGTTAGCTCCATCCTAACACCTTCCCCAACGGATGGGAAATCCGATGGCAATATATCCTTAATTCTAAACGCTTTTCAACGCCACCGCAAAGGATTCCGACCGGGTCTTGGGTGTTTACACCTCACCTCTGAGGCGTACACGGAGGTATTGCACCGGTTAAGGTCTGAGCTGACCTAGAGAAATACGTTGAGCGAATTACGGTTAGTTTGATAGTCTTTTGATCGATAAAACTTACTAACACAGTACTTCAGCTACGATTATGATCCACTTCGCTCATTCTTGACAATCCGAATGCCTACACCCCTTCATGAAATACTCTGTGCAGAAGTGGTAGGAGAGATAACACGCCAGCTAGATATAATACGAAATAGTCCCCATCCTGAGGCTGAATTTGCGAAAGAAATCAAACCTTTCGCATCGTCACGAGTCAAGCTACCCGAGACAACAAACAATGGAAAGGTGGAGTATATCATACGAGAACCGGATGCATCATTTGGACATTACAAAGCCCAATTTCCGGCATTATATTGAAATTGCTATTCCCAGAAAAGCCGAGAAATCAGGAACCTTGCCGATGATTATATCTTATGCACTGACGGTAGCGTCAATGCAGTGGTATGCCTAGATATAGAGTATAGAAACTCGAAAAAGGCGACTATATCCATCTGGCGTCCGGCATATAGCATGCGGGATGGAGTAGAGGTATTTGAAGCATTTCCCGAGGTGAATGAAATGGTACGCTTCTTACCCCTCCTAAGAAATATTTGCTCACTGAGATAGATTTTCCGAACCGACAATGGCCACTCCTTAGAAGCAAACTCTCTGCGGCTAAATCTGAAGGATTTCGCAACAGTGGATCTTATAAAGAACTATACAGACCTGTGCCGCCATGAGATTGTCATATCCTCAAAAACACTGTGTGATTTTCTTTCGCAGGCTGAGTCGAGGCAAGAGACACAGGAGCGACACATGGGCTCTACCAACCGGATTCGACCAGGAGTTCAGAAGCGTCGCCGACCTGTAACTCCGGATTCGGATACTCAATCCGAGGAAGAGACAAAGCGAGTTCGTTACGATGATAGTGAATACTACCCTAGTTCATCACCCATACGACTGAACGGCTAAATGGAGGATCGGCGTAACGGTCTAAACCTGGCACTGATTACACAGACATAAACTACCCTGCACCTTTCTGTATCCCTATAACCTTCACTTGGACGATTCATCTCACCCCAGCAACTCACCGAGTACGCGGGATCTCGAAAGGTCATAGATTAGATTGCAAATAAGGTTTATAAGACAGATGAATATATTAACGCTACGATATTTATTCCCAATCAATACATACCTCTCTGGGTAGAGATGTTGGAACATCGGGTTATCCCTCTTGCGAGTACTGCTCCGGACTGTCTTAGTCAGCAACCTGTATGTGGTAACTAGTTAGTTAACTAGTTACCAAGGCAAATTTCTATTGTACAGAACTCAAGTTCAACGCCTAAGAAATATACGGTCAGGCAGATCAAACCGAATCATACAGATAATTGAAGCAAAATTACGAGTTATTTGGATATACATTTGCTGTAGTTTTTCATTTAATTATGAATCAGACCAAGACTCGGTAGTATACAATTTATGTTTGCATTTGTTTGTCATCCTGTAACTATCCATAACGTTGACTAACTGATTCCGAGTTCCCTTGCTGCCCGATCCCACTCCGCGATAAATATTTTCCGGGTACAACTTACAGCGCACCGGGCAATTTTAACTCACCCTTTGCCCCGCCGTGCTTTACAAATTTTTGAGGCCCAGCCCTCGCGACTTGTTCAACAAAAGATTCACTTCACACGTGTATGCAGGATATCAGATGACTCCAATCAAAGCTGTTCCTTTCACAGGACCACTACCAGAACTCGTCAAACAGGCGTGGAACGAGGTGAAGAATACAGTTGCAAGCCTTCCTGCTCCGCCGGATGGAACGATCGCTTTATTTGAACCGTCTACAGCTTGCAAAGTCGTAATAGATTGGGTATACTCGGAAGTAAGCTGAAATATTTCGGAAGCATACTTCCAGGACAACTGTCTAACCCTTCTATCAGGTTATATCTGTCGATCAAGCGGCGAAAGAATCATATTCGAAGTCATGGGGTTACGTCTACTTTCCGGGCACATCCATTATTGGGAAAACGCCAACTGCAGTGGTTCCTTTGAACATCCTTGAAACTTGTCAAATAGGGACTGAGGCTCTAGGAAGCGACTCGTACTACCAAGTACTACAACGGAATACAGTGAAGGTGTCGGAGAATGGAAAGTTAGCAGCGTTGGTTCTGTTATGAATCCATCGAGCAATAAATACTATATTCCCATCGTAAAACATGTAAGTTAGGGAGCATAATTATTATTTCACGGTTCCATATTCACTCAAAATAGTAAGCTATTGTTCCCACACTCGCTCGGAACATCTTGAGTGGTTGCATAGGCAATGTTAACCAAGGTAGGTTGATATGGTGCATTAGGAACTGTGCAGTTGGTATCAAAATGGCCTGGCTGGTAGGGGACACCTAGGGCACTCGAACTTGTATCCAATGGGCCGGGTTGGTATAAGGAAAGTAAATGCATGATATTCGCATTGGATCCTCCTGGTTGATAGGGTTCGCTTGGCCCCGCACAATTTGTTTCAAACAATCCAGGTCGATAAGGTGACCCTGGAACTGTGAAATTGGTATCATATAAGGGTGTTGTTTGGTTGACTGTTCTAGAAGACCCACTATTTGTATGCATTGTCTGGTCAAGAGACTGCCCGCACCAGTCGATATTTTGTCTCAAAGGTTCTCTTTCTTCCATGCCAGTTACTTGACATACTGCAGGCTCTGATCTAGTTGGGCTACTGAGCATAGACATTGGTTGTGTATTATAGCTATAAGTGTCATCAGGCTGCTGAGCAGCTTGATGGATGGTCGCTGTCACACCAGGTGTGCTGAATAATGCATCTCGAGCTGAAGCGCTGCGAGATCCTGTAGTGTATGTCTCCTGGTTGTATGTAGCCAAGTCACACTCATGCGAATCTGGTTCTTCTTGGAGGGGCTCAGTTTCTTGGGCTTGTGCATCTGCTTGGTTATCATGATGTTTAACCAGGCGCGTCCGGGCTGGTTGTGTTCGTCTATTTGACGACAATGTGTTCGACAAGTCATGGTGCTGACGTTTCCTCGGCCTCTCACAGGGGATGGAGGTTGCTATTGTGGCTACAGTCATTTGAGGTGCTGTATGGTTGGAGAACGCTGGATGACTGTCAACGTTTCTAGGCTGTGTCGGGCTTTCTGATGGAGGAGTATAAGGGTCGGATGATAATCCAAAATCGTCATGTAATACTTCTGAACGCTGTTCAAGGTCTGACGGCTCTTCAGACCTAACATCTCCTGAGGTGACGTTAGAGGGAATGGAAAAAGATACTCGAAACGTCCTTACTGTCATAGCTATCTTGGAATTTGGAAAAAAATGGTGACAACGAGGCTATAATGTCCAAAATGTGAAAGGGCTCAGTCCTCGGGTGGTCTGGCATTGTAGTGACTGAGTTAAGAGGAAGTTCAGTCTTCGAAGATTCGAGGAATATAAGGTCAATAAACCGAGGTATATCTTCAAAATTAAGGTGACCAAAGGCAAAGATGCTTAATGCTGTGATAGCAGATATTGCGACTGACTGATTCGACCGTCCCGCTTCCTCGAGTCGTTTTTGAAGCAATGTCTCGACTACCAGTTGTTTAACCCCGCCATTTATGCCACGGAGTAAAGTCCCTCTTTCCTCAGGGGCGAACTTGAAACGATGCAAATGTCTAGTAATAAACCCTGTTCTTTTGCGTATGCGTGCTCTGATCTCAGGATCGGCAGAGCAGATACTCTCACATAGCTCATCTACTCTTGTTTTTGTTTGGGCTTCGTATTGAAGTCGCGTAAATTGAAGACCCAGTGATCGCTGGGCCAAGCCTCTGAATATCTTATCTTCATTTTTCGGGCACCGCGTGCCTTCCACAAATCGGATATCCCTGATTCTCTTGTCTGTCATCTGCGACCTCTTACGCTTTAAGATCTCGGACGGTTCCTTCTCCAAGAAGCTGCGTAACCAGGGGCAGTCACGAATAGACGCTGCAAGCAACTTCACAGGCCAATCTTGAGCTGGTGGGGATTTCGAAGTACACGTGGAACCAGGAAGATTCTCGGAGTCCATGCTGTTGTGGCTTTCGGGATTCACGTCGTTTTCTAATCTTCCAAGGGTAGTCGGTCTGTCCGAGGCTAGCGTTTCTCGGTGACTCTCGACACTGCTCTCGCTCTCGGACACGCCGCCATAAGATGACTGGTCCGAGTCATTTGGTATACTTGCGGAATATTCTGATCCGACTAATGTCTGTTCGTCCTGAATGACTGAAAGGGTAACTGGCTAGATAGGTTGATTAGTTGAGGTTGGCAACTAAGAGTAGAGTTCTGCTCACCTTTAACCGCTGGCCTATCTCAGTCAAGGTCAACAATATCTCCTGATGATGGCTTCCAAGAGCCTCCGTAGTTGAATTTCGCAATACTTTTAAAGCTGATGAGATATCCATCACTACTCCCAACAAGATGCTTGGTTTGAAGGTGGTGGGTGTTACCCGAGTCTCCCTCTCTTCTATCGGGAGGAAGTGTCGCCGCTCCGATAATCCTACTTTAGTGACTAGGTTGGCACCTGTAGAGGACAAGGAGCTAGCTGCGGTTGCAATCACATCATTGACGCAACTGATTCGCTCTAGATTTAGGAAGTCGAGCTTGGCAGTAAGGGACGGTCAATTATATATATACTATTGGCTCATTTCAATGCATTTCAGTCATTAGCGTGCTAAATCGGGGAAGTACGTCCATACTATGCAGCCTCATCCATCCAATCGGCTGTCACATGGGCCTAAAAGCGGTGTACAGCACGCGCCCGAGATTTGCACTAATCAAGGGAAGAATTCGTGCACCTATGTTGCCGATGTAACTTTCCCATCTAAAGATATTCTACCACACAGTTGAGAACAATTAAGAACACTTAAGAACCCCCCGGAAATTACTTCCGTTTTTATGAATATGTTTCTGTGAACCATTGCCACATTCATACTAAACTGCAGTTGCAGTCGCTGGGAAGTAAGGACGCATGACGCGTCATTTGTCGAGTGGCAGAATTCTGTTATAAGGCGGTCAAACTAGGGAGCCGCATATTTAAATGAATGACAGTGTATGTTAACTTTTTGTCTCGTCAGTTTTTATCAATATTAAGTTCTCCAGTTTGCCGTCTTGTCAACCGTCAAATCTGATTATTTTCTTTAAAATTATACTCTCTTTAATCAAGGAGATGGCCTCTATCCCTGAGTTACATCAAAAGCTCAATGGAGACGAATCCGTTCGGATCCTGATCACTGTTTATACCAAGTCACTGAACTCTGAGAACTATCTAGCCTCAGCATCTGATACTATCAGTAAAATTGCACCTGGGTGGGAAAATAATCCGCGGATTCGCTTTCTCCTCGTGGATGTATATGAAAGACACACATTTATCGTTGCTGATATCAATAACCATGGGTACAATTTCGAAACGGCACACAAAGACACAACTCCGATCCCAGTTTATGCTATTCGGCAAGTGAGGAAGACGGAAAAGTGGGTGATGACCAAAGAGCAAAAATACGATATGTATATAGCTCATAGAATTGCGGAACTGCATGATTGGTACGGCTTGCGAAAGCCACCATTTCTAGAAGACCATCACTTCGTGATCGAACACACGGATCTTCGCGAGCCACAAAAGGAAAAATAATTGGTCATGTAGGCGAAGTCAAGCCTGTGTTAGAAACCCTACTTCAACCGGTACTGTACATTTTTTATGTATTTTAATTCAAATTCTATTTGACTAACACACTCAGCCACCGAAGTGCGAATACGACCTTGTAATTCCATAACACCTTATATTTATTTTACAAGATATATTGAATAGAGCAATTGTAGCTAATGAACAGTGTATTTACTAAATTTTAAAGAGCCCACTACCGCAGCTACTGAGGGAACATAAATTAGTGCACATTTTATTATCCAACATGTATTTGATGGGACTGCTTCTTTACTCCGAGTAAAAGCAGTTTGTATGTATAGATACTGAACTCAGTGTGTTCGTACTTCTGTGGTTGATTATGTTAAGGTCCACAACAAGCATGAGTTACTTGAACCTATATGACAATCAGACATTTCCCGATTATAGCTCACTGCGCTGTCTGGGATTTGCAGCCATAAAGTTCCGTCATGCTTCAAAGTTGCATGCATTCTGTGTACCGTTTTTCTACGAGTTTTACATACACAACTCGGCGAGGAGTAAGTTAAGTATTACTAGCGTCAGAGCTGATGGCGATAATCCTTTACTATTTGGTCTTTTTGATACGTAAGTTCTCTGATAAGGCGAATGAGTGCTATATACTTCTTCTAGATATTTAAAACTAGAAATATACGCGTACGATATAGTGCAAAGTTGGGAAGATAGATGCAAAGAGTGTCTTTAGATGCAGCCAAGGCTTCCACGTCAAAGCTAGGAGAAACCCAAAAAGAGATAAATACAATCACTTGTTGCGGTAAAGTTCACGGTAGGAAAATGTCCATTTTCCTGCTCGAGGTCTTCATCTGCTTCAAAGTATACACTAGCTTCTGTGTTGACCATGTTAGTGTAGTACATACCCCAGAATAAAGAAGATGTACCGTGTCTAGAAGCTGTTATCCGAGCTTGAAGGACTGGGAAGCGTATGTTCAGGGCAGATGCTCTCACGAACTTCAGCATTGAGGAAGCGCTGCTGGGGGCTTGTTGTACTTGTGGTGCAAGCTGAGCCACACGACGTTACACGGATATAGGTAATAGTGCAACCGCACGAATGCATAACTTGGCGCCAGCTGCACATTTTAAATGTCCAAGAATGATACTTGAAGGAACTGTATTTGTGTCTTTTGGAGATAGATTTATGTCAAAGTTTGGAGGGAAAAAAAGGTCGAGAACTCAGCTTAAAACAGAAGAGAAAGCCGAAATAAATATAACGACGCAATATACTCCAGACAACGTAATATTTGGTTTCACTTAAGCAAATTCGAGCTCTTTCATGATGCCTGGTTCAAATTAGCGCTTAGTAGGGACAGCCAACTATCCTCAACCCCCAATGAGTCAGGGCCCAAATTCTAAAATTAGTTACTTTATCAACAAAAGCACCTGCCCTATTACAGTGAGACTTAAATGTCATCCTGTGCCCCGAACGCACGCCTCAAAAATAGCGGCGACCCGCCGCAGGTCGCGGAAAATGAGCTTTTATTAATTACACTACTGGTGGAAATTGAGATTCTATGTAGCTATCAGTTATTTTTCTTTCTCATTTTTCAAGGGCTCCACGGCGGCGTAAAGCCTCGAGCGAAAGCAGCTAGCGTTGCATCTACCGCTGTACTTATTCCCAATATTATGTAGACATTTGCTTTGGAGCATGATTGGATAGCAAGCTAGAAGTTGTGGGGATAAGACGGTCTGTGCTCGTTGAGCTCAACGAGCACAGGCCATTCGGTAAAGCTAGTAACCATTTTTGATCATGTTGTAAAGAAAAGGCTTCCGATACCAAAAAACAAAAAACAAAAAACAAAAATAAAATAAAATTGGATCTTGTGTCTGAATTTGTCTAAAAGCGATCTATCTAAAAGCGCGCCGCTGGCTGCCTTTCCATTTGCCTTCGTTCAAAAAAATTACCGCACTATCAATGCTTTGGGCCAAATGTCGAACCACTTCGGCAAGTGTAGACTCTGGAGCCACAACAGCAATTTTGCGACATATCTGTATCTAGACCAATTCAGATTCAGTATAATTCAGTGTCCATAATATTCAACCCTAATATTATGTGTACTGATTATTGATCCACCAGTCAAATTCTAGCCCTTTCGTCTGTTATGTCTCTCTTACTACGTTCTACTTTTCTCCTGGTGGTTGACTTTGTATGCGATTAACGTAGGCATCACTTACTTAACCTGTGTAGGAGATAGTTAATGTTGATATTGTTGCGCTTTGATAAATTAATCCCCACAAAAAAGATCTTACTATCTACTACACTTCTAATTAAATAGACCCAATGGATCAAACTGAGGATTTCTGTCAAAGCCCAAGATATACTGTCCCACAAATCCATCATTTTCTTTGGGCTTCGCTGTATGTCATTTGCACTGCGGCGAGGCTTATTAAATTTCTCCTTACTGCCTCCCTCGCATTGTGTATCTTTCATTTGTGATGAGCTTTGTTTCATTACCAACCAAAGATATGCGTCGCCTGCTTGCATCTATATTACCTTTTTTAGGTTGCCTTGGCTTGTCACGTAAGGCTACCGACCCTTGTTCCCAAGGTTTGTCCATACACGGCTGATATAAAAGTAACATTCTCATCAGGGTTATAGATCCTCTATCCTCTCAGCTAAAGGATGGGCAGACTGAAGAGGATGAACCTCTGGCCTCTCGACTAATGGATGGGCAGACTGAAGTGGATGGACGTCCTGTGTTTCGCAGACACTACATAAAGGAAAAAGTTGGGGATAGCCATTATAGTATAGTGCGTCAAGAGAGTTGGTGCTATTTCAGCAATTTCGGGGAGAAAGTGCAAGCTACTGCATTCAAGCTAATAGATGTTGAAGAGAGGATGCTTCTCGAGTCAGAGCGTGGTCTTCAGCTATTGGAGGATCATAAAATATGCAATGGTCTTGGGTGTATGAAATAAACGAAATGCCGTTTTGTTTTACTACGTTTCTTCCGAGGTAGAGAACCTTGCGTCTGAGTCTCGATTGCACTTGTTAGTTCTCTCTACGCCCGACAAGCCTTTTTCGTCTTTTTTCATCACGAATACTTTGTTAAGGGCGGGCCAGACGTACTGTATTTTCCATACTGCATATATTGGGCCTCATATTAGGTCCTGCCTTTAAATTCAGGTTTTTATCAACTATGGCCAACAAGGCGACACACCTGAATGTACAATTTTGTCTCCAGGATGTACCTGCGCTCCGTCGTCTAGACTTTCCTGGTTTTGAGAAGATTTGGACCGACAGTTATCTATTATTAAAGAGCCAACGCCCATGCAGTATTGAAGAGTGCCAAGGAAGCAAGCCGCTTGCTTTGTGAGTGATATATTAAGCGGTCAGGGGTATGTGATGCAGTATACGAATCTCAAAGACCCGGAAAAACCAAGCTGTGTCGAAGGGGCGGGCACAGATTTACTTCATCTACGGTGGTGAATCTGTATACAAATCCACCAGTCGCCTATCTTAGATGGCACATGTAAGTTGACCATATCCTAGCTATGTACACATGAAATTAATCAAAGCCCAGTACACGTGTCACTACATATGACTGTCTGAAATTACCAGTAAAGGGTGGTAGCCATATGGGTTTGGTTGGCACCATGTTCAGTCCGAAGCTTAGATATTGAGGTCACATAGTTGCAAGCAAGAGTTATTGATGGAAGCAACAAGTGCAACTTAATCGAAATTAGTTCGGATTTAGACCGGAATAATGCAATAGAATGGGTCAAAGTTCTATCTGAACATTAAAGAAGGGTTTGGTATTCGTATGGTATTCGTTAGCCGGTGCTAGAATTGGATCTGCAAAGAAGAATGGAAGTTAATACCAGGTAAAGTAGGCCATACTATAAAGGCGATGAGAAGCAGGTAGGAGTAATAGTTCTACTCTTCCGAAGTGGCAACCACTTTCTCGTTTCCTCTCATTCTATACAACCGCAACAGCTGTTTTATATTCTCAAGGCTTTGCCGAGAATGGCAACTTCCATGTCCAGTGACATTCTCCTTGATACAGATTTATCTGGTTTCGCGTCTCGAAATTAGAATCTCCTAGTTGCCAGTTTATATTCCAGGGAATCGCCTGTTTCTTGCGTGTTAATGTCCTTCTTATCGATAAAGATACATCCCCTGGTTCCATGCTGCTTCTTGAACGTTCTGCTAGTGACAGTCACCCTGGGTGCTTGGAAGGGGCTGGAGGGCAAGTTGAATATGGCGATAAGACTTTGCGTGAAGCGGCTGAACGCGAGGTCAAAGAAGAGACAGGAATTACAGGCTTAACATTCTTTGGAAAGGCTCAAACAAAGTCATGGAACACTACTAAAGCTGATGGAATACACCACTGGGTCCAGTTCACTTATATGGCGACTGTTTATGGGCAACCTGACTGGAAGGAGAGAATACATCTGGCAGAGGATGAGCATCAGAATTGGAAGTGGGTAAAGAAGGACGATGTGCTGAAGATGGAACGGAGTACATTCTATGGGAGTCACCTGGAGACTATTCTTGAGGCCTTTGATGCTGTGCATAATAGATTGAACTTGCGTGGTATTATTAATTAAATTTACCACGGCCTTTGTCCGCTAAGTGGCACGTGGAATACGCAGCTTTGTATTCCATGTTGTTGACACTTTGGACTAGCAATATCAATCCTGCTTCGTATTAAGATTGGTTATGTCAATAGTTTCTGTCCCATTTGTGCGTATGTTTCCTACTCGTTACATTATCCATGACTAAAAAGCAACGGCAGTGTTCAGGTCAAGCTACACAATAGTGCTAATTTGTACTATGCATGTGTCGTATATCATAATGAATGCACCAGAGAATAACAGGGTGGTAAAGGAACTATTACTATAAAGTTGTCTAATCGGCCTCAGGACAATGGTTTGCTTATTCTAAGGCGAAGCTTCATACTGTGTATGATAGTGGTGTCGTCAATTAGTCATCGAGCCTTGGCCATGGAACACGGCAA